CTAACTACACTAATTACACCGTAACTAGCTACATGACCACCAGAATAACTACACTAATTACACCGTAACTAGCTACGTCACCACCAGGCTAACTACACTAATTACACCGTAACTAGCTACGTGACCACCAGGCTAACTACACTAATTACACCGTAACTAGCTACGTCACCACCAGGCTAACTACACTAATTACACCATAACTAGCTACATGACCACCAGGCTAACTACACTAATTACACCGTAACTAGCTACGTCACCACCAGGCTAACTACACTAATTACACCGTAACTAGCTACGTCACCACCAGGCTAACTACACTAATTACACCGTAACTAGCTACATGACCACCAGGCTAACTACACTAATTACACCGTAACTAGCTACGTGACCACCAGGCTAACTACACTAATTACACCATAACTAGCTACAGGACCACCAGGCTAACTACACTAATTACACCGTAACTAGCTACATGACCACCAGGCTAACTACACTAATTACACCGTAACTAGCTACGTGACTACCAGGCTAGCTACACTAATTACACTGTAACTAGCTACGTCACCACCAGGCTAACTACACTAATTACACCGTAACTAGCTACGTCACCACCAGGCTAACTACACTAATTACACCGTAACTAGCTACGTGACCACCAGGCTAACGACACTAATCACACCGTAACTAGCTACGTCACCACCAAGCTAACTACACTAATCACACCGTAACTAGCTACATGACCACCAGGCTAACTACACTAATTACACCGTAACTAGCTACATGACCACCAGGCTAACAACACTAATTACACCGTAACTAGCTACGTGACTACCAGGCTAACTACACTAATTACACCGTAACTAGCTACATGACCACCAGGCTAACTACACTAATTACACCGTAACTAGCTACATGACCACCAGGATAACTACACTAATTACACCGTAACTAGCTACGTCACCACCAGGCTAACTACACTAATTACACCGTAACTAGCTACATGACCACCAGGCTAACTACACTAATTACACCGTAACTAGCTACGTCACCACCAGGCTAACTACACTAATTACACCATAACTAGCTACATGACCACCAGGCTAACTACACTAATTACACCGTAACTAGCTACGTCACCACCAGGCTAACTACACTAATTACAGTGTAACTAGCTACGTAACCACCAGGCTAACTACACTAATTACACCGTAACTATCTACATGACCACCAGGCTAACTACACCAATTACACCGTAACTAGCTACATGACTACCAGGCTAACTACACTAATTACATCATAACTAGCTACGTGACCACCAGGCTAATTACACTAATTACACCGTAACTAGCTACGTCACCACCAGGCTAACTACACTAATTACACCGTATCTAGCTACTTGACCACCAGGCTAACTACACTAATTACACCGTAACTAGCTACGTCACCACCAGGCTAACTACACTAATTACAGTGCAACTAGCTACGTAACCACCAGGCTAACTGCACTAATTACACGGTAACTAGCTACATGACCACCAGGCTAACTACACTAATTACACGGTAACTAGCTACGTAACCACCAGGCTAACTGCACTAATTACACCGTAACTAGCTACGTCACCACCAGGCTAACTACACTAATTACACCGTAACTAGCTACGTAACCACCAGGCTAACTACACTAATTACACCGTAACTAGCTACGTAACCACGAGGCTAACTGCACTAATTACACCGTAACTAGCTACGTCACCACCAGGCTAACTACACTAATTACACCGTAACTAGCTACGTCACCACCAGGCTAACTACACTAATTACACTGTAACTAGCTACGTCACCACCAGGCTAACTACACTAATTACACCGTAACTAGCTACGTCACCACCAGGCTAACTACACTAATTACACTGTAACTAGCTACGTAACCACCAGGCTAACTGCGCTAATTACACTGTAACTAGCTACGTCACCACCAGGCTAACTACACTAATTACACCGTAACTAGCTATGACGGAACGGACCACAGCTTGAGTCCAGGTCCACGTGTTGGAGACTTTGTAGGACGTAGAACGTAGAACGTAGATTCTTCAGGATGAACAACAGCAGGCGGTCCCTCTTGGGGACCCGGCTTATATCCTCCGTGGTGTGGCTGGCTCCGCCCTTGGCCACGACCACCCCTAGCCCCCACCTGGGGCCCCTCTGTAGACTTAACTCGTCACGTGTTCTCTGGGGTCAACCAGAGTTCCACGGCCTTTAGTAACCCCATTCCCGTGGCCGGCACTCTCACACCCTATCCTGTCGGGGTCGGCACTGCACGCAGAGCGTGGTGCCATCCAGCGCTGTCAGTAAGTGCTCACCGAGCCCCTCTAAGGCCGGTACTGCACCCACGTGTGAGTGGTGCCCGCGATGTCGCTAACACCGCACGCCGTGACTCTCTATGGCCGGCATTACACAGTGACATCCGCGATGTCACTACACATGGGATGCTGCCATGGTGCAATGGTTAAGTGTGCTGGACTTGCAATCCAAAGGCCACCTTTGTCCACCCAGCAATAGAAATGGGTAGACCACAGGTAGTCGATGGGCATCCTGGTCAGTGTGGGAGTAGAGATTAGATGCCCTTTTAGAGGGGCTCTAAAACTAAACTAAAAACTTTTTTTTTTTACCAGGTAAGACCCACTGAGCTATATAGCTCTGTTTGAGCGGCCCAAAACTCGAAACGCATGTTGATCCTAAACGTGGAGGGAAAAACCGGAGGACCCGGAGAAAAATAAAAAAAATCCACACGACCACGGTAAGAACATGCAAACTCCAAATACACAGGCGTCTGGGTCGGGATCGAACCCACAAGCTCCTTCATACCAGGCGTTAACGAGATATTGCAAGGCAGCCCCCTTTACCGCCTCTCACGGTACACACAGAGTCCTGTATCTGAAGCCTTAATGCATGAAAATTCACCACTGTCCTGTGATTGGGTTAGGGATGCACTTCAGTGTCCTGTGAATGCTCTATCGTTCTGATATGCCTGTCCGTGCCCTTTCGCTGAAGTGAAAAAAGCCAGGCGACATCGCGCATATGTTAATAAATAAAAAGCCTGCAAATATACCCAGCCGCACAAAATCATAAATGTCTAAATGCTTCATTACTAATGCATGCGTACGCACATGAATATACAGTGAGTGCTACCAAATATAGTTTTAATATAATTTAATATTTATAAAGTCAAACATTGAGCAATACTTTAGAGATAAATAGTGTCTATTAAAATGTTTTAATATTAAACTCACACAGTATAAGCCCAGAAGCAGCCAGTTGAAAAAGACTAACGTTCGTTTTTTTTATTATTTACTTAACCTGATGGCTGCTGCACTACAAAGTGAAAAATTGGCTTCCTGTGATTTACCGTTTTATTTATTTTTTAAGCAATGAACGCGAGAGTATGCGAAGTGCCGGCATTACCGCTAAACCCTAAAACCCCGAGCAAACGTGCAAGGATTGACGAATGAGGGGTGCCACGGTGGCTAGGAGATGTTAACTACCTCGCCTGGTACACAGGAGGTCGTGGGTTCGATCCCGACCCTGGCACGCCTGCTGTATATTTGGAGTTTGAGAGTCTCTCTCTCTCTCTCTCCCCATGGTCGCGTGGATTTTTATTCGGGTCCTCCAGTCTTTACTGTACCTCAAACATTTAGAATCAACGTCACGCGTTTGGAGTCTTTGGCTGCTCGAATCGTCCACGTGATAATCCACTTCGTTGAGCTGTCATTTGTGGTCAGGTCGCTTCCGATAAACAGCTATATAGCTCAGTGCGCCTTACCTGGTAAATAAAATAGTTTAGTTTACAAAAAATATGGTTTTGAAGTATCATCATCGTTAGTTACTGGATATCGCAACCTCACATCAGTATAAAACAATGTATGGTCTGACCCCTGAATAAACGTGTTGTGGGGAGACCTTCACCCAGCAGCCTATCAACAAATGGCTGTACATTATGTGGTGTTATATTGGTGGGAGTCGTAGCCAGCTTTACGTCATTTCACTCATTCCTCTTCACATGGAGCACGGTCAAAAATAAATAAGTAGTGAATAAATAATCAAACCTCAACGTCCCTTGCCCAGCAAACCTGAGCCTTAAGACGCCTCTTAGGAGGGCGCTGCATTCACATATTTGACCAATTCCTCACTGAGTGCCCTTCATGTAAGAGGAAATCGGAGGACTGCGCATGCAAAATGCCTGCGCGTACAAGAAGATAACATTGAAAAGTCTGCACCGATTGGTCAGGGAACCTTCTTCCTGTGCTGCACATATCCTGGTTACCTCACAGCCCAGTGGGTCAAGAGTCTCACAGCACAGAATCAGATCGGCCCGGTTTCATCGCGTATGCGTAAGCGACGAAGCTAAGACATCACATCGGCCGGCCTACATAAAACCCCAGCACCGACCGGCAGCTCTGTATGATCAAGAGATAGCGTGAGCTGCTTCCCAGCATGCGGAGCGAAACGTCGGACATCGTCGTGCCTAACAACCGCGGGCAGGCAATGCGCCAACCGTGCCCGGCAGGAAAAAACAAATTCAGGTCACAGATGCATCCACCCAACGCTCGGCTAAATCCCACAATTCGCCAGCTGTTGTTGGTGAGCGTGTGAGTGTGCGTGTGGGGTGCAGTGGCGTAGTAGTTAGCACCCTGCACCACGAACCTGGCGACCCGAGTTCGATTGCCGCTCGCGAGCAACACCAGTGGCGGTTACCTGAAACGCTTCTGGGCCTTCCCTGTGTCGACTCACACCTTGAATGAGTGCCCGCTGGGGTGCGTAAACAGCACTGGGGAGACAAAGGTGGCTGGGCGTGGTTCCGGCCACCCATCCCTTCGTGTGCCACGCGTGCCTACGTAGGTGCTCGCCAACAGCACTTGCTCCAAAAAGTCTGCCCAGGCTATACGGGATGGTGGGGGGCGGTGGGGGGGATCTTTCTCTTTGTTGCGTGAGTGTGTGAGCAGCTTGCAATGACATTGATCGCTGGCCGCCACTCGTGGCGGGGAAGACGCTGAGCCTGCCGATCATGGGGGTCGTCATCCAGGTGAGGCATCTCATTTTTCTCCACCAATTGCTGGCGATGCGGGCAAGCTGCAGCGGTTCGCACCCAGCGGCCGCCCTGATTAATACTGCGGTGGTGTGTAACAACCGTAAGACTGCACGCCGTCGGCTTCGCAACCTTGCTTGCCTGAAGAAGAGAGTTTTCAGTCGGTACATATTGCCAGCCCCACCTCCGATTAGCACGGTGGTCTACGTACGATGCGAAAGAAGTTCCACATACGAACATACAGCTGTAATGTGTGGATCAGGACTTTGAAAATTGACATGGAAAATCAAACAATCTTTGAACATCTTCTTTGGTTCTTTCGGTAAAGTCACGTAGAATGAGAATAAAATAATAAAATAACATACCACAATAAAATTCTCACGACGTTTCGGCCACAACACAAGTGGCCTTCTTCAGGTGAAAGGAACAAACCTGTTGGGACGACAGAGTTTCAATGAACGCTGTTAAGATTCGTAGCGTCTTTTAAGCTGGTTGAGAGAAGTGAGGCACCTTGACAAAGGGGTTTACATATCAAACAGGAGAATTTAGCATTGACATAACTGAGGGATTAGCTTGTGACTGGTCATAGAAATAGCTATGTTAAAGTCAAAGTCTACACATCCACAGAGGCACCTAGTACAAATCAAACAGGAGAATTTAGCATTGAAATAGCTGAGGGATTAGCTTGTGGCTGGTCACAGAAATGGCTATGTTAAAGTCAAAGCCTACACATCCACAGAGGCACCTAGTACAAATCAAACAGGATAATTTAGCATTGACATAACTGAGGGATTAGCTTGTGACTGGTCATAGAAATAGCTATGTTAAAGTCAAAGTCTACACATCCACAGAGGCACCTAGTACAAATCAAACAGGAGAATTTAGCATTGAAATAGCTGAGGGATTAGCTTGTGGCTGGTCACAGAAATGGCTATGTTAAAGTCAAAGCCTACACATCCACAGAGGCACCTAGTACAAATCAAACAGGAGAATTTAGCATTGAAATAGCTGAGGAATTAGCTTGTGACTGGTCACGTGACTTTACCGAAAGAACCAAAGAAGATGAATCCTTGCAGTCACGAAAGCTTTTAATAGAAATTTAATCTTCGAACAATTACACTGAAAGACGAAGAGAGGGGGCACATGTATCGGAGAACAATCATCTGGCTGTTCAAGAAATAAAACTAGGGGGCGAGAACTATCGCCAAAATAGATGATGGTTGACGGACGAGACCGGTGATGGAATGGCGACAAAGGAAAATAACACGACTGAGAGGATGACCATTCTAGAACAGGGATGGGGAACCTTTTTTCTGCCAAGGGCCATTTGGATATTTATAACATCATTCGCGGACCATACAAAATCATCAACTTAAAAATTAGCCTGTTTATATTTGGTCAAACATTTAATTAACTCACCCCTAATGCGATGACTGGAATTGCTTCTCTTTGGCGAGGCGTGTGATGATGTTAGCTGGTATTGATGTTGCTACTCGCAACTGCTTTGCCAGGTTTGCTCCTGGATTGATTGAATTTCGAGTCCTGCCTGCGGTTGCCTTGGCAGGGCCACACCAAATGATTTCATAGGCCTCATACGGACGTTCCCCACCCTTGATCTAGAATATGGAGAAACGAGATCAGTGCAGTGAGAATGCAATGGGTTGTAGCATTGCAGCACCACTAGGGACATAATTGGCATGGGGAGGCCTTCATCCAGCAGTGGATATACCGTGGCTGCTGATGAATTTTCACACGTGATGTTTTGCCCATACCAATAGCATGCTGTGCTCCTCTCGTGCGAATTAACGTCACGGGTGTATTTTATGTCCACTTTGCAGTGGATACGCGACAATGGTGGTTTGATGGCGTGTGTTCCTTTACGATCCGGCCGTACGTTTAGGTGAGAATCCCGACTCGCAACGAGAAGTTGGGAGCAGCTCCGCTCAAGCAAACCCCAACGGAGGTAAGTAGCACGGTCGCTCCTCGCCGTCAACCGTCGTGAAAGTTTCAGTTTTCAGTTTCTTTATTTTGGTATAGCCCTGTGAGCCATTCGGCTCTTGAATCGGGTGCAACCTCAACAACCAAAAAAACAAAAACACGAACAAAAAAACATCTTAAAGTGACTATGTGAGTGTGCAAATAGAAAATCCATGAAAAAACAGCAAAAATATTCCTGAACAAAGAAAATCATCGTACACCAACGCTGTGTGCAAAAAAATCCCAGTGGGATGCAAGTCAACAACAACAACAAACACAAGAAAACTTAGATTAAGGCCATCAGTCTAACTCCGTACTACAATAAAACACACATGTCCAAACCAAAAAACGTTTTAGAAATCACCAAACAATAAGGCCATAATTGCAACGTAACAGTGATCATAGGGACTGTGACCGAATTTTTACAATAAACTACATAAATAAAAGGAGACTGATGTTCACTATGTGCGTTGAACTTCGTTCGCACCGTGCGTAGCCAACCGTGCTGATCCGTAAATGCGGGGGAAGGACAGCAAAACTAAATGCAAAAAGCCGTTCACAAGAAATGGGTTTTCAATCTAGATGTTTTAATGTCTAAATGTCTCCCTCGGCAAAGCAGAAGTGAGCCGGCACTCATGCCCATTGGGGCTCTCGAACCGGCGGTGGAAATTCCACGTTTCTATGGCAGGTGCTCATCTCCATGGTGTAGTTTTTTTTGGGTACCCAAAAAGAACCCCAAAAAGCCTGTATTATGAATGTTGTTGGTCGCGACAGCCTACGTGTTAAACTGCCCATCTCCTGTTTATAGTTCTGAATCGCTGGTCAGCGCCGTACCCGAATGGCGAGGGTTGAGTGTCAATTGGATGAGCGCTGTTGACTTCCCACGAAGCAATACTCGTGTCATATACCCTGGACAAATGACTGGTTGAGTTGACCCCTGACCTGGACTTGAAACTTTCAACGCTTTAGCTTATGAGTCCGGTACTCCAGCCACAACAACGCCAGGTAGGATTCAATATTCAGTGACTTCATCAAACGAGCACTCGGATATTGTTTCACATCCCCGCGGTGGAGACCTTTCCTTCTAAAGGACGACCAGAGTCAGATTCATTTTGAGGGGGACTTGGGCTAATAAACTCTAGGGGGCCCTCTTTATATATAATGAATTTCCCTTAAATTTTTGTACCACCACCCATGCCCATTACCAAACGCTGTTTTGTTATTCCCCTGGATCATTTTCAGTTCTCGTTTTTTTACGTGATGTAAGAATCGTAAATCTGAACTAAAGTTGTAATTAACCATGCTATTTTGCTTTCGGCACATACCCGGTAGTAATACGCACGGTGATGCTACAGCTTATATTACCAAATTACGCTGCAGGATATAGGAGAGTGCTACAGTATTGAATTTCAATCTAATCCAATTACTTTTCATATTTATCGAGCACCCTTCACTCAAGGCGCTTGACGTAGTTTAAACAATGGTGACAGAATATAATTATTTATATGGCAAGGGGCGTGCAAGGATTGAAGAATGAGGGGCGTCACGGTGGCTAGGAGATGTTAACTACCTCGCCCGGTACACAGGAAGTCGTGGGTTCGATCCCGACCCTGACACGCCTGTGGTATGTTTGGAGTTTGAGAGTCTCTCTCTCTCTCCCCGTGGTCGCGTGGATTTGTCTTCGTGTCCTCCGGTCTTTACCTCCACATTTAGAAGCAACGTCACCCGTTTAGAGTCTTTGGCCGCTGTAAATGTCCACGTGATAAGCCACTTCGTTGAGCTGTCATTTGTGGCCAGGTCGCTTCTGAAAAAAGATCTGTAGATCTCAGAGGGCCTTACCTGGTAAAATAAAAAAAATAGTTTAATTTTAGTTTCATGAGTGACTGCGTTAAAGGGTAGGGGAGGCATGGGAAGAAGTGGAGAGGTGAGGGATTAGCACGTTTGGTTACGTACGGTGCGAAAGAAGTTCAACATACATACGAGAGGGGAAGGAATAGGAATGTGCAATTAAGAAGAGAAGAGGTGAGCTTCAAGACGAACGGAAGGAGGTTAAGGAGGGGGACTGCTTCATGTGCAGGGGAAGTTTATTCCAGCTTGAATGAGAGTTTGTTTTTTTGGAGGGGAACCTCAAAATCTATGGGCCGGGTCTACAGTCCATGAAGCCCCCTGGGTTAATTCGGCCCCGAGGATGACCACTGGAGTGTGTCACTGACTGGAGTGTGTCACTGACTGGGGAGTGTCACTGACTGGAGTGTGTCACTGACTGGGGAGTGTCACTGACTGGGGAGTGTCACTGACTGTGGAGTGTGTCACTGACTGGAGTGTGTCACTGACTTGAGTGTCACTGACTGGAGTGTGTCACTGACGGGAGTGTCACTGACGGGAGTGTCACTGACTGGGGAGTGTCACTGACTGGGGAGTGTCACTGACTGGGGAGTTACACTGACTGGAGTGTGTCACTGACTGGGGAGTTACACTGACTGGAGTGTCACTGACTGGAGTGTCACTGACTGGAGTGTGTCACTGACTGGAGTGTCACTGACTGTGGAGTGTGTCACTGACTGGAGTGTGTCACTGACTGGAGTGTCACTGACTGGGGAGTGTCACTGACTGGAGTGTGTCACTGACTGGGGAGTGTCACTGACTGGAGTGTCACTGACTGGGGAGTGTCACTGAGTGGAGTGTGTCACTGACTGGAGTGTGTCACTGACTGGCGTGTGTCACTGACTGGGGAGTGTCACTGACTGGGGAGTGTCACTGACTGGAGTGTGTCACTGACTGGAGTGTGTCACTGACTGGAGTGTCACTGACTGGGGAGTGTCACTGACTGGGGAGTGTCACTGACTGTGGAGTGTCACTGAGTGGAGTGTGTCACTGACTGGGGAGTGTGTCACTGACTGGGGAGTGTCACTGAGTGGAGTGTGTCACTGACTGGAGTGTGTCACTGAGTGGAGTGTGTCACTGACTGTGGAGTGTCACTGACTGTGGAGTGTCACTGACTGGGGAGTGTCACTGACTGGGGAGTGTCACTGAGTGGAGTGTGTCACTGAGTGGAGTGTGTCACTGACTGTGGAGTGTCACTGACTGTGGAGTGTCACTGACTGGGGAGTGTCACTGACTGGGGATTGTCACTGACTGGGGAGTGTCACTGAGTGGAGTGTGTCACTGAGTGGAGTGTGTCACTGACTGTGGAGTGTCACTGACTGGGGAGTGTCACTGACTGGGGAGTGTCACTGACGGGAGTGTCACTGACTGGGGAGTGTCACTGACTGGGGAGTGTCACTGACGGGAGTGTCACTAACTGGGGAGTGTCACTGACTGGAGTGTGTCACTGACTGGGGAGTGTCACTGACTGGAGTGTCACTGACTGGGGAGTGTCACTGACTGTGGAGTGTCACTGACGGGAGTGTCACTGACTGGGGAGTGTCACTGACTGGGGAGTGTCACTGACTGGAGTGTCACTGACTGGGGAGTGTCACTGACTGGGGAGTGTCACTGAGTGGAGTGTGTCACTGACTGGAGTGTCACTGACTGGAGTGTGTCACTGAGTGGAGTGTGTCACTGACTGGAGTGTCACTGACTGGAGTGTCACTGACTGGAGTGTGTCACTGACTGGAGTGTCACTGACTGGAGTGTCACTGACTGGGGAGTGTCACTGACTGGGGAGTGTCACTGACTGGGGAGTGTCACTGAGTGGGGAGTGTCACTGAGTGGAGTGTGTCACTGACTAGGGAGTGTCACTGACTAGAGTGTCACTGACTGGGGAGTGTCACTGACTGGAGTGTCACTGACTGGGGAGTGTCACTGACTGGGGAGTGTCACTGACTGGAGTGTCACTGACTGGGGAGTGTCACTGACTGGGGAGTGTTAATGACTGGAGTGTGTCACTGACTGGGGAGTGTCACTGACTGGAGTGTCACTGACTGGAGTGTGTCACTGACTGGAGTGTCACTGAGTGGAGTGTCACTGACTGGAGTGTCACTGACTGTGGAGTGTCACTGACTGGGGAGTGTCACTGACTGTGGAGTGTCACTGAGTGGAGTGTGTCACTGACTGGGGAGTGTGTCACTGACTGGGGAGTGTCACTGAGTGGAGTGTGTCACTGACTGGAGTGTGTCACTGAGTGGAGTGTGTCACTGACTGTGGAGTGTCACTGACTGTGGAGTGTCACTGACTGGGGAGTGTCACTGACTGGGGAGTGTCACTGAGTGGAGTGTGTCACTGAGTGGAGTGTGTCACTGACTGTGGAGTGTCACTGACTGTGGAGTGTCACTGACTGGGGAGTGTCACTGACTGGGGATTGTCACTGACTGGGGAGTGTCACTGAGTGGAGTGTGTCACTGAGTGGAGTGTGTCACTGACTGTGGAGTGTCACTGACTGGGGAGTGTCACTGACTGGGGAGTGTCACTGACGGGAGTGTCACTGACTGGGGAGTGTCACTGACTGGGGAGTGTCACTGACGGGAGTGTCACTAACTGGGGAGTGTCACTGACTGGAGTGTGTCACTGACTGGGGAGTGTCACTGACTGGAGTGTCACTGACTGGGGAGTGTCACTGACTGTGGAGTGTCACTGACGGGAGTGTCACTGACTGGGGAGTGTCACTGACTGGGGAGTGTCACTGACTGGAGTGTCACTGACTGGGGAGTGTCACTGACTGGGGAGTGTCACTGAGTGGAGTGTGTCACTGACTGGAGTGTCACTGACTGGAGTGTGTCACTGAGTGGGAGTGTGTCACTGACTGGAGTGTCACTGACTGGAGTGTCACTGACTGGAGTGTGTCACTGACTGGAGTGTCACTGACTGGAGTGTCACTGACTGGGGAGTGTCACTGACTGGGGAGTGTCACTGACTGGGGAATGTCACTGACTGGGGAGTGTCACTGACTGGGGAGTGTCACTGAGTGGGGAGTGTCACTGAGTGGAGTGTGTCACTGACTAGGGAGTGTCACTGACTAGAGTGTCACTGACTGGGGAGTGTCACTGACTGGAGTGTCACTGACTGGAGAGTGTCACTGACTGGGGAGTGTCACTGACTGGAGTGTCACTGACTGGGGAGTGTCACTGACTGGGGAGTGTTAATGACTGGAGTGTGTCACTGACTGGGGAGTGTCACTGACTGGAGTGTCACTGACTGGAGTGTGTCACTGACTGGAGTGTCACTGAGTGGAGTGTCACTGACTGGAGTGTCACTGACTGGGGAGTGTCACTGACTGTGGAGTGTCACTGACTGGAGTGTGTCACTGACTGGAGTGTGTCACTGACTGGAGTGTCACTGACTGGGGAGTGTCACTGACTGGGGAGTGTCACTGACTGGAGTGTGTCACTGACTGGAGTGTCACTGAGTGGAGTGTGTCACTGACTGGGGAGTGTCACTGACTGGAGTGTGTCACTGACTGGGGAGTGTCACTGACTGGGGAGTGTGTCACTGACTGGAGTGTCACTGACTGGGGAGTGTCACTGAGTGGAGTGTCACTGACTGGAGTGTCACTGACTAGGGAGTGTCACTGACTGGAGTGTCACTGACTAGGGAGTGTCGCTGACTGTGGAGTGTCACTGACTGGGGAGTGTCACTGACTGGAGTGTCACTGACTGGGGAGTGTCACTGACTGGGGAGTGTTAATGACTGGAGTGTGTCACTGACTGGAGTGTCACTGAGTGGAGTGTCACTGACTGGAGTGTCACTGACTGGGGAGTTTATTCACTAGAAACTGAGTGACGCTGATGACGAACTGGTGAAAAGAATCCTGCAGGTCGTCTTTGACTTGCTTCGAGTGTTCATTCGCTCCAACGAGGCCAAGCTGAGTGGGCGATTCTTCCAGCATGATGCAGACGGGACATGCCCCGCGTGCCCTCTTCCTTCACACAGGAAAGCCTCGCTGAGTCTGAAGACTCTTTCACTGAGGAGGTTCCTGGCGAGCCTCTTTGCCGTGTTTGCCCGGGTTGGCGTTTCAAAAGTTCAACTCGGAGTTGAGAGTTGGGTCTTCAGGAAGGCCCTCCTCGGGATGTTCCGGCCAATGTGCGTACGGGCGTTGAACTTCTTTCGCGCCGTACGTCGCCAACCCCGCCAATCGGATGTGTGGCGGATGGACAACAAACTTAAACACAAAAAAGCTGTTCTAAAGCGACGAGTTTTCGAGTATCGTATATACATTTTTGTTATTTAATTTCATGAATTTCATTAATTTAATTTATTCAAACTTGATTTGGAGCTTTCGTGACTGCAGGAATTACCCTTTGGTTGTTTCGGTGAAGTAACGTAGAAAGAAATGTCATTAAATAATAGAATACGACGTTTCGATTGCAACACAAGCAACCGTCATCAGGTACACACAGACAGACACACAAGCAAGTTGTCTCGCTCTCTCTGCTTGTGTGTCTGTCTGTGTGTACCTGAAGATGATTGATAGTGTTGCAATCGAAACGTCGTATTCTATTATTTTACTTATAATATTTCTACGTGGACTTTACCGAAAGAACCCATGAGCAATTTAATAAGTTTAATTTAACAAACGTAATCAATCAAATTTAACTACAGGGGTGGACTAGAGCAGGGGTGGACTGATTGGGGTATTTTGTAAAACTACGGGGTGCTTCAAAAAAATGTTAACACTTAAATGGAAAATCGTTTTTATTGGGGAAAGAACGATAATAATGCACCTTAACATGATAACAAGTGTTACGTTAATAGCTTCAAAGAGTCAAAGTCTACACTTGCTCGCCATCGTCGTCAACACGTGGCCTGGAATCTTCTCCAGGCTGCCTCCAGAGCCTGTGGAATTGTTATAAAATTCTCAGAAGTGGTAAACATTTTTTTTAAAGCACCCTGTACGTTTAACACGTAGGCTTTCGCGACCAATATTATTCATAATAAAGGTTTTTGGGTTAGATCGCGTTTATTTATAAATGTGTCGTAACCCTCCACCACCCGACATGGCCAATCAGCAAAAAAAGTGTCACGTTGACAAAAGACAAATAATTCTGAAGTAGTGAATTATTTGTCTTTTGTCAACGTGACACTTTTTTTGCTGATTGGCCGTGTCGGGTGGTGGAGGGTTACGACACATTTATAAATAAACGCGATCTAACCCAAAAACCTTTATTATGAGCAACCTGTACCTTTGACCATAAAAAGCGACTCACCAAGTGCGCCCACAAGCAAGGGAGATGTCATTCAGCGCTAATTGCCCGCTCCGCAACACGGCTCGAAACCACGGACACTGCCTCTGCGTGGAACAAAACCGGAGAGGCTTGGACGGGCGCAGCCTTGGAAGTTAACACCGACAGGCAAGGACAACACTGGATCAGAGAGCTAACACCGAGAGGCAAGGACAACACTGGATCAGAGAGCTAACACCGACAGGCAAGGACAACACTGGATCAGAGAGCTAACACCGACAGGCAAGGACAACGCTGGATCAGAGAGTTAACACCGACAGGCAAGGACAACGCTGGATCAGAGAGTTAACACCGACAGGCAAGGACAACGCTGGATCAGAGAGCTAACACCGACAGGCAAGGACAACGCTGGATCAGAGTTAACACCGACAGGCAAGGACAACACTGGATCAGAGAGCTAACACCGACAGGCAAGGACAACGCTGGATCAGAGAACTAACACCGGCAGACAAGGACAACACTGGATCAGAGAGCTAACACCGACAGGCAAGGACAACGCTGGATCAGAGAGCTAACACCGACAGGCAAGGACAACACTGGATCAGAGCGCTAACACCGACAGGCAAGGACAACGCTGGATCAGAGAGCTAACACCGACAGGCAAGGACAACGCTGGATCAGAGAGAGAACACCGACAGGCAAGGACAACGCTGGATCAGAGAGCTAACACACGAATGAACCGGTTCAGGTCCTACCCATTCACCGACCGGCGCTGGCCACCACGGCGAAGTTACGGTTCAAGCGACCCACCCCCCGCGAGCCACGAGGGCACGGGGGAGGCCTTCGTCCGCCGGCAGTGCGCTGGCGAGAGAAACGCGATCAGCGCTGGACGACTGTGCACGAGACGCACCGTCCTGTCCCTGGCGTAGAGAGAGAGAGAGAGATCTATATCACAGTCGCCCTCCTGCTGCTTGAAATGCCTCAACCCGCGGGCGTATTTCTCACTTGGCCCTGGCCGCTGACGTTTTCTGACGGACTGTGCCCGCAGAATCTTCTTCCCGCTCCGCTGGTGCTTCCGACCGTCCACGAACCCGACCTCTTTAGGTACCCATTTGTCTCAGTGGCGCGCTCCGCGCACTTTCACTTGCGCACGTTTTGCATTTTGACAATCAGCCTTCGCGTGATATCTAAATTTTTGTTTAAAAAAATGTTTCTTTGCTCAATATTGATTTCGTATATTTTCTTGTACTGCTGTGCTTAGAGGCCGTCCATAAATGACGTCACGCACCTAGGGGGTGGGGCGGGGGGGGGGTCAGACATTTGTGACGATGTGTGACGAGGGGGGGGGGGCGTTTGAGAAATGTGACGTCACATCAAAATACGCAACTTTAAGTAAATATAGACAACACGTTCTACTTAATTAAATAGACTTTGTAATAAATGTTTTCTCCTACAACATCAGAGTGCAGCGCCATATTAAATACGCACAACAATGACAATAGTTTAAAGCGATTTGAAACATATATTTTTGGAGGGGGGGGGGCAGAGCTTTGTGACGTCATATTTGAGGGGGGGTCTGACTGTGACGCCGTGTGACGAAGGGGGGGGGGTCAAAATCGTCCAAAATCGCGTGACGTCATTTATGGACTGCCCCTTACCTTTCTCATGCGAGTCTTTGTGCACGGTTGCACATCAACTTACGCGCGTTTGCAGTTTACTTTGCTCAGGCGGTGTTAGCCGCTGAGGGACGTCACGGGACTCCCTGTCACTCCAATCGCTCCGTGCCCCCTGCATCGTTTCACGTTCGGTTTTCCTGCCTCTCGGTGCAATTGGCACCGATGCCGACTTTATTTGGTGGGATCGGGAGGGGGGTGGGGGGCGATATTGGCACTGTAAAATAAAGACCGATTGATTTCACCCCACATCGCTTTCACCACAACTGAGACAGGGAGGCCTTCACGGACGATGACGACGACGACGATGATGATGGTGGTGGTGATGGTGGTGGTGACAATAATAATTTATTTTCATTTGTGCCCCCCAGGGCATTGTCTCCAGTGCTGCCCCACGTGCAGCTGCTGTGGGAGTTGGTGCTGCTCGGCGAGCCGCTCGTCGTGATGGCCACGTCACCGAGCGTCACGTCCGACAGCGTGCTGGCCTTAGTCAGGTGACCTACGAACCCCTACCTCGCCCCACACCTTCTCATAGCCCCATTGATTTACTTGATTAATCTTCGTTATCAATAAGGATGCGAGTCATTGTTTCAAAGGAAACGTGTTTGGAGCGATCGGTCTTCTTCAGAGCATAGAGAAGGCAGAAAGCCGGGCTGACGTATGAAGTCAATCATTCTGCCCTCCACGTCTGTTCTGAATAAGGATCATTCCCTGAAACGTTAGCCTGCTGTATATTTGTCTGCTATCGAAGTGAAAATGACGAAGGTGGTGAGGTTTTGTTTTTCTCGTGCACTGCTGCTGAAACTAAAGAAGTTTTTACGATTTTTATTTTAATTAAAATGCAATACTCTGGTGTAATATGTACGGTCGTGCAATTCAGTCTTTAGATTTTAATCATTTTCTCTATAATTGCCGTTAGGATGTTTTCCTTCTCCCAGATGACAGTTACAAATCAAGAGTTGCACTAAATCCAATCGACATTAACTATTAACAGCACATCTTTTAATGTCATTGCTTCTGTAATGATCTCTCTTCTGCCGTTGAAGAGCTTGCAGAGGGTCACCCCAGGTGGCTGTTTTTAACGACGGCAGACACTGAAAAGTACGACCCAGCCAAAATTCTGACATCGGAATTTGCGGGGAATTATGTTTTTTTTTTCCCCGGGAAACCTGCGACAGGGCTGAAATTAATTGCTACTTTATAAAGCAGTTGAGAAGAGACGACGCAAAGGGCTCCGTTTATTAGAAGGCACACAGCGGAGTGATAGAGGCGGACTGCACATGGTGTGGGATGCATTTACGTTGAGCGCTAAGTGCAGTGGTTTGTGCACAGCGCGCCCATCCTGTGAGCGCCATACGTGGAGGTCTGCCGCTCACCACGACGAGAGGGCTTCAGGAGAGAGTCTGCGTAGTTTTTGCCACTCGTCCGTTGAAGGAGTGCAGACGACAGTGATTTACTGTAAGGTTCACAGGTTGGGTTGAATGGCCGCAATCGGTAATTATTCGGGCTCACATCCAGAAGGCGTTCAACCGGTGCCCTTGTTCTGAAAGTCTGCACCGTGTAAAGCTCTCACCTGGATAGACTCGGCATGAAACGGGGACCGCATTGAGCAAAGTCAGTCTGGCCCGTGGTGAATGGTCACGCCACACTTAAGCGTCAGTGCAGTGTGTTCCCATCTCATTTGAGAAAATCTGCGCGCGCAGCGAGGCGCACGTGCGTTGCCTGTTTCCCTACGTAGGTGATTGTACCCTGATGGAAATCTCAGCACTGGGTGACGTTTTGCTTTGACGCCCTAATCCACTTTTATCCACGATACCGAGCCAAGCAAATGTGCCTCCGTCCTTTTATGCCGCGGCATCTGTCTGCGGCCACTGGCCGTCTTCGTAATGTGTCGGGCGACTTTGTTCTTATTACCTCGTCCGAATCGTGACTCCGTCTGCGTGTGCTCGTTGTGTTTGGTCTGTCCCGCCCACAGCTGCATCGCACCGCTGAGGTTCTGCAGCGACTTCCGGCCATACTTCACCATCCACGACCCGGAATTCCGGGAGATAACCACGCGCACGCAGGCGCCGTGAGCCGCGGCCATGCGGCCACCGCCCGCCCACCCAAACCACACGGCCACCACCAACACCACCACCTCCACCACCACAAACACCACCACCACCTCCATCAACACCACCACCTCCATCAACACCACCACCACCTCCACCACTTCCACCTCCACCACCACCACCTCCACCACCTCCACCAAAACACCACCACAAACACCACAACACCACCTCCATCAACACCACCACAAACACCACCACCACCTCCACCAAAAACACCACCACCACCTCCACCACAAACACCACCACCACCTCCATCAACACCACCACAAACACCACCTCCACCACAAACACCACCACCACCTCCACCACAAACACCACCACCACCTCCATCAACACCACCACCACCTCCACCACAAACACCACCACCTCCATCAACACCACCACCACTTCTTCCACCACCACCACCTCCACCACAAACACCACCACCACCTCCACCACCACCACCTCCACCACAAACACCACCACCACCATCACCACTACCACCACCACAAACACCACCTCCATCAACACCACCACCACCTCCACCACCACCACCTCTACCACCACCACCTACACCACCTCTACCACCAACACCACCACCTCTACCACCTCCATCACCTCTACCACCACCACCACCACCTCCACCACCTCCAACTCTACCACCACCTTCACCAACAGCTCCACCACCTCCACCAACACCACAACCAACACCACCAACACCACCACCAACACCCACTCCACCACCACCTCCACCACCACTTCCACCACCTCCACTTCCACCACCTCTACCACCACCACCACCACCTCCACCACCATCACCACCACCAACACCACCAGCACCTCCACCAACACCACCACCACAACCTCCACCACCACCAACACCACCACCGCCTCTACCACCACCACCTCCACCACCTCTACCACCAACACCACCACCACCTCCACAACCACCTCCACCACCTCTACCACCACCACCTCCACAACCACCTCCACCACCTCTACCAACACCTCTACCACCACCACAAACACCACCACCACCTCCACCACCACCACCTCCACCACCTCTACCACCACCACTACCACCACCTCCACCACCTCTACCACCACCACCACAAACACCACCACCTCCACCACCTCTACCACCAGTACAAACACCACCACCACCAATACCTCCACCACCACCACCACCACATCCACTACCTCCTCCACCACCTCTATTACCACCACCAAAAAAAAATCATAAATCAGTAACTTTTTAAATAATATGATTTCTTCCGATGACGAAAATGTTAAATGTTCTATTTCATTGACATGTGACGAACATTGTTTCCCAAGCGAGATGTGTGTGCCCCTCGTGTAGAGAACAAGGTCTGTGTCAGTTACTTATGTACAAGTGCAATTTGTACTTCCACACTGCATTTGTACTTATTCATCTCCGAGTGACTTGCTCACCTTTTGCCTATCTTACTCTTCTAGCCTTTTCTTTGGGTCTTTCGGTAAAGTCACGTAGATAGGTTGAAAGAAATTAACAAAAAACGACGACGTTTCGATCGCAACACAAGCGGTCGTAATGTTATTTATTCTTTTTTCCTGACGACGACCGCTTGTGTTGCGATCGAAACGTCTGAACTTTTTGTTATTTTCTTTGAACCTATCGACGTGACTTTACCGAAAGACCCAAAGAATATGAATTCCTGCAGTAACGAAAGCTTCAAGTCAATATCTTGTATCCTTTATTGTAATTTTTTTGTTGATGTAACTTCCTGACCCGACCCTACTGGATATCTTTGAAAAAGAGCGTCATAGCTCATCGGATTCCTCCAGGACACGTATTGATTCTGATTCTGATACTTCAGAAAGTAGTTCAGCGACCCTGTCCTGCCGGCCTGTTCTGTGGCACCAGGCGATGCACTGCTCACTCCCAGAGCTCCGAATGGAAATATACTCTCGTCTTCTGGCATTACGTTCAATTGATGGTGGGTGTGGGCGAGAGTGAGAGCCGTTGTAAAACACAACCCAGCTACGAAGGTCCGTACGCTCCCGCCATCAAGCTCCTCCGATTAGCACGGTAGGCAAGGTACGGGGCGAAAGAAGATCAACATACATCCGTACAAGCTAGTTGTCCACAAGTCAATAGACATTGTCTAGACTGCTGCTGCTGCTTTTGCCTCTGCTACAGCTGCCTGCTGCTGCTGCAGTTAATTTGGCCTCCGCTGTTTTGTGCTCAGCCCGTCGGTCATTCTCGGTGTCACGAACCCATTCTTCGCCAAGACTCTTCAGCACTGGCCTCACATCCTTCGCATCGGGGAGACACGGCCCTCGGGTGAGTCTGGGCGCTCCTCTTGTCTCCCAAAAAGTGCCGGGGGGTTACATCCTTGATCCCGGAACTTTGGAGACAAGGAGCAGTGGGTTGGCGTGAGATCGGGTTCGGTGTAAGTTGGTGAAGCATCGACAGCTACAGCAAGGTCAGCGTTTGTTTTTTATCTTCGACATAATTATCATCATGTTACCATATGATTATGCTATTTTTGTTTCCTTCCTCCGCACCTGTGATTGGCACGGTTAACTACGTATGGCGTGAAAGAAGTTCAACATACATACATATATCATCAACAAAATCGCCATCTTTGCATACTTCATAATCAATTCAATCTTTAATCATGATTATCAACATCACTGTTATCACGATCGTCGTCATCGTCGCCATCTTCATCATTAACAAGCGCATGCAGGTGGCCGAGTGGCCCAAAGGTCAGAGCGCTGAGCTCGCGCCGCTCAGATGCTGGGTTCAAATCTTAAGCAGCCACCCGTGATTAAACACGGCGTTCTCAAGTCTGCTGAGTCGATGGTCTCGTGCGAGTCAACGATTATTCGGCCAAAAAACGCAATTGACACTCGACTTAAAATGAATAACAAAAAATAAATTGACATTTCTTTTGGCTCTGCGCTTAATCGGGCCAAATTACAGCTCTGACGATGGAAATCGTGGTTTGGCTGCCGTCGATTGACATTACTGTCAAGATAAAGAGCGGGTGGGAAAAGTGAAGCCCTCTTAATTTGGGCTGTTCTACAACGTGAAAGGGGCTGGCGGCGGCGGCGGCAGCTGCTGCTGCACTGCACTGAGAGCACCGCTTGGACGCTTGCGTCTCGTGACACTGACGTCACGATCCGGGTAAAATTGTGCGGGAAATCGAAGTGGAAAACTGGCACCCGTCCGAATAAGTCTTAACGAGGTGGCGTGCCTCTCCGTGTGCAGCAGGTGAGCAGCCGCGGCAGGTGAAGCTACGCAAGGCGGGCAAGCTCAAGGCACTGGATGCCAAACCAGGTAATGGGCTTCGAGCCGAAAGGCAGGGCCACGCGCGACGTAGAGTTTAGAGCACAGGCGTTCAACCCCGACAGGGTAGACGTGTCTGGATTATTCATATCATGTATCACGCAATACCAGGCTCAGATTGCATCATTCATTGTTTTGCTCAAAAAGCAAGTGCTGTCCAAACCCAGTCGTAGATTTATTCATAGATCCAATCAAAGATGTATTTTGGTCATTTCTGGTTTAAATTGAGATCCCTTCCTTTTATAGCTCACTTATCCTCCGCCATTCCCAAGTCAAAGGCCATATATACTGACCCAGTAGCATATCTTGATATCTAGAGGCAATCAACAATTTTAAGCATCATTTTCATTCTCAGTGACCCAGAATTAGCAAAGTTGGACTACATTTATTTCGGAAGCATTTTGGCTATAGACCAGTGTCATCAATCATGCCATGATAACCCGATGACCTGCTCGTAAGGCATGAAGTCGTTAACCGTCCCTTTACGAGATTCCTTGATCCGGATCACAATTAGATTCGAGAGTCGAGTTTTAATGATCTCGTTAGGATTGTCTCACTTGTATTGTCTCGTATGTTGTGCCATGCGTCTTATGTCTTGTTCGGTGAAATGCGATGAATTGTCACGATTTGGGGCCACAATAGGATTCAAGAATATGCATTATTGTTTGTCGCGTTTGCATCGTCTCAATTGTATTGCGTGTCTCATAAGTGGTGTCCTGCGTTTTGCATATGTTCTCTTAGGCTGAATGTTATGGAATGTATAATTCACATAAATCGTAAACTTATTGTTTCCTGCAAACACAATCTGATTCATGTTTCGCGAGTGAAAGCATCAGGCTTATTTGATAAATCAATATCTGCCCGCCAGTGAATTACTCAGGTGTGTTAACCATCAACATACTTCGCCGTCTGCTTCACAACACAGTGCACGTTCATGAGCAGCTGAAACATTTTCCACAAACCATTCAGTTTGGATTACACATCGCAACATCATCCGCCCCCTACTGTGAAACTACTGCAGACTGTGTCTCTGAAACTTAGCACATTTGTGATAGCCGTACACTATAAGAATGGTGTGCATACCAAATGCACTACGTTATGTTTTATACATCTAAAACTACTCTTAACGAGCTCACAGCCCACTGAGTTGTGAGCTCGTTTTCATAGGCAACCTGGCCGCACATTGCTAGTTCATAGAAGTTGATTATATGATGATCATCATAAGACGCGGGAATTCATAGGAGCCAAATATTAAAAACGCATGTTCTAAAATGCGGTGGAGGGAAACAAGGAGGACCTGGAAACAAAAGCCACATGACCACCGCGGAGAGAGAGAACACCTGATCTCCAAATTTACAACGGGCAACGTCGAACCCCCGACCTCCTGCGTAGCAGGCGAGGGAGTTAACATCTCCTTGCTATCCAGCTTCAGTTGACACGTGGTGGATTGCTTCATTGCCCCCACTCACTTTTTGGAATTTGCAAAATAATTGGTGCCAAAACACAACCAAAACAAAAACTGCAGGGTAGGCTTGTTACTAACTTCATAACGACTATCATTTGTGGAGTATAAATTGGTGGTGAGGAGTAGTGTGGCATCAAATGAATTGGGCTAATTAGAGTTTGTTTTGACCCCATCTGCGAGATGTCATTAGCGTCTTAATTACGATGCTGCAGCTTGGCGGGAAATATGTGATGGTACAATCACATGGAATAAATTAGGGGCAATACATTTCTCAATCATGTCACAATAAGTGATGAGTTATTCAACCTAATTGTACAGTTATTTTGAGTGCGTGTTCGCCGTCATTTAACAAAATAAGTTAGAGGTATCAGTGCTGTTAGAAAATGCTGTGTAAATTTTCACTTTGCTTATTTGACCATATCATTTTAATGCACATTGTTCCATGAAACCTGCATGCATTTGGTTTAGGACGAGGCAGCCGCTTGTATTGTTAGGATCAATAATCCCGTAAATGTAGATAGACAGTCTTAGCTCCTGTAAGCTACACACTGTGTGCCCATAGGCGGTGGGTGAAAAAAAAATTCCGTGGTGACTCAGATCTTTCTGCTTATAAATTAAACAAATAAATACGTGAAATCTATTTTTTTAAGGAATGCCTGAACATAATAAAGCACGTTTTCGTTTTTAATTCCACCGGCTGGGCGTGTGGTAGACCTTACGGCATCATGTCACCATATGTCACCAGCATCATAAACGAAACTAAGTTTATTTTACCAGGTAAGACTCACCGAGCTACGTAGCTCTTTCTCAGAAGCGACTAGGCCACAAATGATAGCCCAACAAGGTGGCTTATGAAGTGGAAATTTCTAGCAGCCAAATACTCTCGATGTATGTTTATAAATGTGGAGTGAAAAACCGCAGGACCCAGAGAAAAATCCACGCGACCACGGCGAGAGAGACAAACTCCAAATATACAGGTATCAGGATTGGGATCGAACCCATTAACCTCCTGTATACCAGGCGAGGTGGTGAACATCTCCTAGCCACCGTGGCACAATCGCCGTGCTCTCTGCTCAAGCTGACCTCGTTCTCCTTCAGCGGGTGCAGCTTCCAGATGACCTCCTCTTTGCCTTAAGTCTGAATCTCCTACTTCGTGTGCTTCTTCCTCCTAAGTATTTGCCCTGCGAGGCGGCGTCCGCTTCCTTCATCCCCCCCCGCAGTCCTCAACCTATCGCCACCCCCACAGTAACGCCTCCCATTAGCTCCGTTGGCTGCGTGCGGCGCGAAAGGAGTTGAACGTCCGTGCACCCCAAGGGCCCTCGTCGATAGCCTCCAGCCACGCCCCCTGCGGTCTCCCCGTCTCTTGGGGGCCGTACATAAATGACGTCACGAGATTTTGGACGATTTTTGACCCCCCCCCCTTCGTCACACGGCGTCACAAAAAGTCAGACCCCCCCTCAAATATGACGTCACAAAGCTCTGCACCCCTCCCCCCCCAAAAAAACATTTCCATTTTGAAAATGAAACATGCTTCAAATCGCTTTAAGCTGTTGTCATTGTAGTGCGTATTTAATGTGGCGCTGCACTCTGATGTTGTAGGAGAAAACATTTATCAAAAAGTCTATTTTATTAAGTAGAACGTGATGTAAAGCTTTCGTGACTGCAGGGATTCATATTCTTGGTTCTTTCGGTAAAGTCACGTAGAAGGGAAACAATAAAATAATAAAAATATAAAACAATAAAATTATCACGACGTTTCGACTGCAACACAAGCAATCATCATCAGGTGTGAAAACCACAGCAAGGAAATTTGAAAAAAAGTGGCGGTTATTTTTAACGTTAGCACCACGGAGAGCGATTTGACAGTTTGTTCAGATAGACGAGTCCATCTATGTTCGGAAAAGAGGAGCGGGGAGACGAAAATAATTACATGCGGTCTGAAAGCCACCGTAAGCGTGAACAATCAATTAAGACCCGAAATGGTTTATCAAATCCTTCCAATGATTGCGAAGCCAGAATCCATCTTCTCGGTTGAAATTGTCTCTGTGTTTGTATATGTGGAGAGCCTCATGAACGAATCTCTCATGGTAGCCAGATGGCTTGCAAAGAACCTCTGTCTTGGAGAAGTCAATGTCATGTGAGCCTACTGAATTATAACAGTGATCTGCCACGGCCGAGGTGTTGGTCCTACCGTGTTTCAGGTCTGCTTTGTGTTCACGAATGCGGTCCGAGACATGTCGTTTGGTTTCTCCAATGTAACTACTACCACAGAGGCAACCACCCCAATCTCACTCGAGTGTAAAAGTCGTTGAGTTATTATTTGTGGTCAGGGTCGCTTCTGAAAAAAAGGAGCTACATAGCTCGATGGGTCTTACCTGGTAGAAGACAAATAAACAATTGCGTTGCATTTTTGATTTAAAGCTTTCGTGACTGCAGGGATCCATCTTCTTGGTTCTTTCGGTAAAGTCACGTAGCAGGGGAAACAATCAAATACTAAAAATATAAAACAATAAAATAATAGAAAATATAAAACAATAAAATGTTGTTTTATATTTTTTTGCGTTGTAGTTTACAACTGACGAGTGTCCTGAGAGCTCTTCACGCCTTCCTCCCTTGCTTGTGCTGATGCCTGCCCTCTTCGCTTCTCTGCGCAGGAGTCTACACGGCACACAAACCCTTTCTGGTCCGAGACCGAGCGATCGTCAAACGGCTGCTCAAGGTGAGCATCGTGGAAGAAGGCGCATCCAAGTGGAGCTGGGAAATCCGACTGGTGGAGCAATCTTTTTTTAAATTCTTACTCTATAACTGATTCACCCGTTCGATTGCTCGACTCGTCGGATAACACGAAAGTAGTAAAAAAAAGAAAGGGTCTCGTGCCGCTGGACAGGAGGTGATGGGCGGGGCTTGATGACGTCGTCAGTAATAGCGGCCGTGTCACCCTGGTGTGGCTTGCGGGGAGGGGTGGTGGATATCAAGGTGGCCACCGTTTATGTAGGGGCGTAAGTAATCAGTCACAAAATAAGTCGTTGATTATACTTTTTTATTTCATTTACTTATTCATCTAACCGTGTCTGCTTTAATTATAAGTGTTGTCCTTCCCCCGCCACCTCCGATTATAATCACGGCTGGTTACGTATGGTGCGAAAGAAGTTCAACATACATACGCACATTAAGTGCACTCTGTGATGGTCTTATCTGACGAGCTCTCTCTCACTTAGGAGACCCAACTCACTTGATGGCGACCGTCCCTTTTCCTCCATGCCGATCTCCATGGCCCAATTGTTCAGGTTCACATAAAAATCCGTTCCGCTCTCTCTCTCGCCCCCCCCCCCCCACCGTGCCTCCCCCCCCCCCCCCACCGTGCCCCGACACCCTACCCCACCGTGCCCCCCCCACCCTCCCCCACCGTGCCCACCCTTCCCCAACGTCCCCCCCGGGTCCCCCTCCCTCCCCCCCGGGTCCCCCAGGGCGTCCAGAGGAAACGCCCCGTGGAGGTGCAGAGCGCCATTCTGCGCAGGTACCTGCTGGAGCTCACGCAGAGCTTCATCATCCCGCTGGTGGGTGGTGGTGCCACGCGAACAGCTGATCCCACATCTGTTGCCCGCCGTGCACAACAGTCGATGGAATGGCGGTGGAGCAAGTGGGTTTCGTGATTCCACGTGTGCGGAACCTTTTGAGTGGTTATCCCCTCTGGTGTGTGGCTTTTCTCCTGGGTAAATTGGATTGTCTATCACAATTAAATAAACGTTCGACAAATTGCAATTGGCGAAACGTCCCAAAGTAGCAGGTCCTTCCCGAGAAGGAGCCTTGCCAGCTCGGCGAAGCTTTCCTAGACGCAAATGACGTGATTTATTCAGCTGTAGTCACGTGCTGATTGTGCACGTGTTCCACGGAGGTGTCAACTGATCGGTCCCGCGTTTGTGGCTCAGGTTGGTGTGGCTCTGCCAATGCGCCTCAAGATTAAAGCTTCCCCGTTCGCAGATACGTGTGAAAGAACGTGGACTCTGGCGAAAGAGAATTTAGCAAAATCTGACAGGGCACAGAGGACAGAAGTGGAGACGTGCGTCCTTGACATCACCACGAGTGATAGCGATGGTTTTTGGGTAACCCTTCATCCACTTAGTGAGTACATTATGGCCGGTGATGATGACGTGACTGACGACGGTTGCTCTTAACATTCTTCCCAGTTAACATGCCAACGTTGGGACAACGTTGGGACAACGTTGGGACAACGTTGGCATGCGGTGGAAGCCATTGGCCCAACTTTGGCCCGACGTTCCACGTCTACTGGGCTCTGGCTATCGTTCGCGAAATCCACTCAACTGCCCCTCTCCCGCCACGAACCTTGGCATCTGCCTATCTCCCCTCCCTACGTGTTACCATCGCAGGAAAATGTATTACCACAGGCACACTGTGTGGTTCATGCAGACGTGATGCCTTGTAATAGGTTTCTATTTGGTTTTTGAACGTCTTAACGCCTCCTGTGTTATTGCCGAAGGGGGTAAAGCCTATTATTTTTTCATAATTTTGATACCTGCAAAAACGGTTACTTCGATATAATTGTTCAAACTGAGCTAGTAATGTTTCGGTATTTGCATTGCCTATGTGCCTATCGCATTTTCATGGTTTCTGGTTGAGAGACAAGGCCGTGAAGGAGGCTGTCTCTGCTGTCGGCCAATTACTTTCAAGGAAATTGCATACATTACCAAGCATGTTTTGTTTGCATGTTTTACAATAAGTATGATGTGTGGCGAATGCACACTTGATGCCTTGCGATAATGGGTGTCCATTTGGTGCGTGAACATGTTACCACCTCCTGTGTTATTGCCGGAGAGGGTAAAGCCTATTCTTTTTATTTTATTTTATTATCAGGAGCGCTACGTGGCCAGCCTCATGCCCTTGCAGAAGAGCGTCGCGCCCTTCAAGGTGACCCTCAGCTTCCCACTCCGCATTCATGCGCTGATTCACACGTGATTTTTGGGGGGGATTGGGCGCTTGTTGTGAAGTCTCTTTGAAGAGGTAAAAAAGAAGCCAACAACCAGCGCAGCGCGGCGGGGCATTTACTCACGCAGTCGAGCGTCTTATTTGCATACCTGTCAACCCCTTACCAGTGCGCTACCTTATTACAGACCAATTCAGACATTGCTGGTCATCCCGTGCCCCTTATAAATCTCAACGTTCATCCTACAAAGTTCCATCACAAGGGAGAAACAGAACACAAATGGACAATTGTTTTTGTTGCCCGTATTGAAACGGCTGTACGCCGTATGGACCTGAAAAACTCAATTTCCCTGTACAAGAATACGGGGTGAACCGTATGGGGTTGACAGCTGTGTATTTGTGACGCACCTCCGGTGAGCACGGTTGGCTACGTATGGTGCGGAAAAAGTCACCCCTGGGTGCTCAACCTTTTTGGCGGTGTGCGTTATTGACCTTCCACGCCCCCCGCTGTCTCCCGCCAGCCTTTGTTGCGATCCACATTCCGGCTCATTAGCCACGACACTCATTCCTTGGATTTCTCAGTCTTCCTCGTGATCTCTGTCCGGGTGTAACGTCCTTTTATGTTATTGACCATTTTGTTTCTCTCCAAACAGATGAGGTGCCCGTAAGAGTAGGTTTTTTTTGGGTAATTGGACCCGTTTGTGCTCACGTGAGCTGTGCGTGGTACATACAGTATCTGTGATGCAGCACTTGAGAGGCGAGGTCCGGTGGATCACGGAGATTTGTGACTGATGCTGCACCCCCTCTAGAGAAGGTTTCCCAAACTCCTTTTCTCAAGACCCACCACAGTTTCGCCAAGTTTACCAATATCGCTCCTTTCAAAAATAAAGTTAAATCGTTACACGCCACACATTATCCGATGATTGATCAACAGCTAGGCACGTCCCAGGTAGTGTCGAGTGATCTCATTAATTTTGATCAATGCTTTCTCGTTAGTGGATAGATCATGGCTGACGCTGATGATGATGATGAACTCATAGGACATGATATTCAACCCAATCATATGGGATTTTTGCCGTGGCCGAAAATTATGTGTCGTTACTGTCCTGTTGCCTCCGTAGTACAAACACTGCATGTGTGCCTCTGTGTCTGTGTGGTGTATGCTGTGAGATAAGTTTATTTTGTTTAACCAGTTGTGAACTCAAGGGACTAGGAAAGTCTCATTTGTTAGAATGACCTGGGCCAATGTTCTACCAGTTGGGGTGGGGGGGGGGGCGATGACTGCTATATATAATCCCAATTTAATAATTAGTGGTTAATCGAATATGGCAAATATTGGACCCTGACACCGGCACACAATGGCCTACCCTTGTAAATTACTTCACGGGATCTTGAACATCCACTGCGAAGCAGACCGCATACAGCATCGACCACCACCATCGTTAAAACAAACCCGCAGTAATAACCAGGGCGGCCGCTGGATTCAAACCGTGAACCCCTGCAACAAGCGGCGAGCGTGCGCTGCCACCGCTAGGCACTCCCTGTTGTGCAAAGCGCTTAAATAGTAAAAGCCAATCTGTTATCGTCATTGCGCATTACGTTAATGTCACACGGGGAAAAGTGAAATATTTATCGGCGACGAGCCAGCGGATCTAAATCAGCTGCGTGGTTATTGCTCAGCCTCATTGCAGCATCAGGGATCGTGGCAATGGTTATGCAATTATTACTGCGACACACGACTGGCTGATTTGGTGCACCGATTTTATATTCATGTTCCGGACTGATCAATACGCAGTTCATTGGACCAACTCCTGCCAGCTCAAAAATATTCTCGCAATGTGTGTGGCTATAAGAGGCAGTACAGCGAGTAGGGTTGTGACCCAATTGTATGCGTATATTGAGTGCTTTCTCAAATGTGTGTGTGTGTGTGTGGGAGGGGTCTTCTGTGGGTCGTCGCTTCTTTACCGTAACCAAAAATGCCCACAGACATCAAAACCCAGTTCCCTTGTGATTCGACTCGGCGAGGATGACCTGCATCAACAAGTGACTTCGATTGTCTCACGTATGCACGCGCTTCCCACACCGCCCATTCGTGCGCCGTGCCGGCCTTAATAGGCGCTCGCCGACCATCGCTCGCGCCTTGCGACAGGAGTCTGCGGGGCTAAACGGTGGCGGGGGGGGGGGCGCCGTGTTCTCTCCGCGCACACCACTCAGAGCCCCCCGCAGGTCCGTCCCTTCGTGGTGGACGAGTTCGTGGCGACGCTGCAGCACGCCGGCCCGCAGCTCACGTCGCCTCTCCGTGGAGACTGGCAGGGCCTGTACCGGTGCGTGTGTGTGGTTAGCACGCCGTGCTACGAACCCGGTGACCCGAGTTCGATTTTTCGTTCGCGGCCACCAACACCAGTGACAATTATCTGGACCGGTACTGGGCCTCCCCTAGGTGAACTGAGCCTAATATGAGTTTCCTGGTGTGATGTGTAAACATTGCCACGAGGAAGACGCTGGAGTATAATGTCGGTCACCTATTACGTGTGCTGTGCCGGCCTTCACAGGTGGTCAGGAACAGCACTTGCCCCAAAACAGTCCGTTAAGGCTATACGTGGGGGGGGGGGGGGGTCTTTGTGTTAGTACGCACTCTAGAATTGTGTATGTACATAGTACAGGGTGTTTCAAAAACATGTTTAACACTTCTGAGAATTTGCAACAATACCACAAGAAAATGTGCATTCCGGACTCTGGACACCACCTGGAGAAGTTGTGTTGACAATGGTGGGGACTCTTTGACTTTTGGAAACCATTAACATAAATTGTCTTGTTATTTTAATCATGTTACAGTGTATATTATCCGTTCTTTTTCCATTAAAAACGATAGTCCCATGTAAGTTTCGATTTACACACAGCTTAAAGGTCGCGGTCTGAGCTGGGCTGTGTTCGCTCCAGCGCTATCCTCGAGACAGTCTCGTCCCTTCACCTGATGAAGGCCACTTGTGTTGTGGCCGAAACGTCGTGAGAATTGTATTGTGTTATTTTAATTTTATAAATTTATTATTTTATTCTCATTCTACGTGACTTTACCGAAAGAACCAAAGAAGATGAATCCCATGTAAGTGTTAACATTGTTTTGAAGCACCCTGTGTACGCGTGTGCTTTGTCTGTGTGCTGACACGCAGCCGGTTCCTCCGGTCTCAAAACTTCGAGGGCTGGCTGTCGGCTCGACGGCGCGACATGAACCACAAGCTTGAGCTCCTGCACATGGAAGCCCTCCTCAACGCAGTTGAGACACGCAAGCACGCGCACACGCACGCAAGCACGCAAGCACGCGCACACGCACGCACACGCCGAGGGCCCTGTTCTTAGTCGCAGCTCGGCTCGGGCTTGAGGCGCTCAGTTGCTTTCAAAGATGCGTGAGCGGCTCAACCATAGCTTGGGCTCAGGCTCAGCCTCATGGAACAACCGGAGCACGGCTGGGACCGTGCTCAGAGCCGGCTCAAGTTAAGCGTGGCTTTTTCGACGGCTCACCTGAGCCAGAGCCAGGTCTGAGCCTGGCCGTGAGTAAGAATAGGGGTCTTAAACACCCCGTACACACACAACAGCGGTGGACATTCGCCACTAAGTGACGGTGATATCACCTCCAATGTTTGTTACAAGGATAGCTCGCTGGCAGGAAGTCGCAGGACAGACCCAGGTGTCATGGGTTGACTGACTGAAATGACTGGCGGATCCACCACCTGGTCTCCTCACTGGTCCACACAAATACAAAGCTAAAGATCCACCGTATAGCCTTAACAGATTGTTGGGGCAAGTGCAGTTAGTGAGCACCTATGAAGGTCGGTACAGCACACGAGGTGGTGGGTGGCCAGCACCATACCCAGTTCCCTTTGTTTCCCAAGTAACAATGTTTATACACCACACCAGGTTCTCATTTGAGGCTGAGTCGACCTAGGGGAGACACAAAACTGGATCAGATAATAGGCTACTGGTGTTGGCCGCGAGCAGGTATCGAACTTGGATCGCCGAATTCAAAGCATAGCGCTCTAACCACTACACCACCGCTCCCTACAACTGTACCACACACGCACTCACGTACGCGCATGGACACGCAGACACGCACACGTACACATGCACACGCAGGCGTACCCTGTGTCACCGACGTTTGCAATAAAACTAGAAGTAACGCATCTATGCGAAAAATGAAAATATGAAAACCTGTAGACGTAGAACGTGTGCATGCTCACGTTCACATGCGCACCTGTAGAGACGCGGTCACATTGCGTCTCTGTTGCTGCTGCAGGACGTGGGTGGGTGGGTGTCGGGGCGGAGTGAAGTGGAGGCCGTGGATCTGGTCTTGCAGTTGCAAGACAAACTTGTGAGTTGTGCCCACACCGGCACCAGCACTGTTACAGCTGCTGCTGCTGCTGCAGGACAGAGCCTGCTGTTTGCGTAAATAATAATACTTTCGTTTTATATCGCGTCATTCATGCTAACAGCATCCCACAACGCTGTCCTGTACATTAATTATATATAAGGACTACATCTTATATACGTGGTTGGCTATGCACGCCGCGAAAGAAGCCCAACACACACACACACATACCAAACAAATGAAAGCCCTACAACGAAGCAAAATAAAAAAAATGTATAAACAAATTAAGAAATCGCACCAAAACATTAAAAGCAAAAACAACAAAAAAAAGAAAATGAACATAAATGAAAACCAAAAAGTTATCAAAACAAAGAACTGAATCGATTCGGTCTCACATCCCAGACCACAATCACAACTTACCAACCAAGCCAGGAAGACCTTCACAGTCACAAATCCTCGCCAGAAAATCTTCACAGGTTTCCTGGCGAGGATTTTTAAGGCGCGCCGGTCGTATTCACTCTCAGAGAGAGGGACGACGATTCAGGGGCACGGGAAACCACAGACAAGCGGCTGAGCGGCTAGAACCGGCGCCAACAAATGCCCGAGTTCTATGGTCCTACACTGGGATGTTTGTCCAACTCAATCCATGAGCGTTTAAACCATGTGGTAGACAACCAGACTACCCAGAAAAGCATCCTTGCATGTGAGGGTGGGGGGGGGGGTAACACTCAAACCCAGTACAGATGGAATACAGATGGAAATTAATCCACTTCCTTGACTGCCACCATACCCTGGCAAGCCAGGAAAGGAGATGGCGACCTCGACGCCCACGTGACGAAATTTGTCCGGTGATCCACCAACCCTTGCTGCCTGCACGGTGCCGGATTACAGGCCACGTGCGACACCACCGCCCGGATAAAGAAGTCTTAGTTTGGCTCCCTGAGCCACAGGCATGCCTGCGGCTTCCTCGAGGCCACGACAGTGTGCGTATGGGCGCGGTGGGTTTGTGACTCGGGGTGGGTTTGTGACTCGGGGAGCGTTGAGTCGATACCCGCAGAGTAGGCTAGGAATGATTGGATTCAAATCAATTCCTTTTTTTCGGTTCTAACGCTCATGCGGCAAACCTCAATAATTCGTACGACAATGTACGGTGCGTGAAAACGACGTGGCAAAATGCAACATTTTAGACGGGACAACCGAGATGGAACAAGGAAAACAATCTGATAATGGTAATGAATGGCACAAACAAATCATCTGCTTCGACTCTGTGACCACTGCATTGCAAGTGCAGCGTGCGAACCATCACACCGCGGGGCAGCCTCCCTCCAGCGACGTGCGGTGCCGTATGCTACCGACCGTACATTTGTAAATATTTCAATATTGCCGCATCACACGAGATCACAATTATGAATGCTCTAATGGCTGGGCAGAACCCTCGTGCGCTTCCTGTTTACGGCGTCGCGGTTAAGCCGGCCCCGGCAGTGCGAACGTATTCCGTGCTGTCTCCTGTCTCCCTGCCAGCTGCTGGCGGAGCGTGCCGGACTGTCGTTGCCTGAAGACACTCAGGCCAAGCTGCGGGCGTGCATGCACACAGCTCTGGGGGCCTTGCCCAAGGACCTGCAAGCGGTTCTGAGCCGAATGTAATTCCACGCAGTGACATTCGGGGGTTTGCCACCTTTGAGATAAAAAGACAAATTGTGGAACACGTCGCGGGAAGGAGAATATCCCGCAGTACAGGAAGAAGCGTAGGTACATGTATGGGCTTGAGCGCTGCGTTATTACCCAACTGACAGAAAAAATCTGGGCTTCTCATGTCCCCGGGACGATTTGCAGATTTCCCAGGGCAGCGGCCTCACCAAGAGTGCGGTCGTGGGAAAGCCAGGTCAGGTGGTAACGCTAAAGGATCACAATTATGTAATTGTCCACATTGGGGAATCAATTTACCCCAAAACCAGGGATCGACAACCTGCGGATCCGGAGCCGCATGCGGCTCTTTAAGCACTCCTTCGTGAAGCTGTTTACTAAGGGCCACCGCCTGGTATTCACGTGTGCATTGCGGCTCTTTCAATATTGTTGTTATTCTTTTGTCAACAAATTCGAAAAAAAATGGCTCCTCTTGTTATTCTGGTTGGCGACCCCTAGCCCCGTACTAAGTAGCTGCAAGACTGTTTGTGCATTCTTTATTTTAAATGTGCGCACTGTTGCCAAGCTCGATTTGTATAACACAGGTTCGGCATTTTACCCGTTACTAAATAGTAGGCGTGTAACGGTGCGTCGATTAATCGATTTAAATCGATCGTTATGGTCACGAAACATAGATTCAAACCGTCCATGTGAGAGAATGGATCACTTTTGATTTATATGCAAATCACACGCACATTATGTACTCTTACTAATGTAGTAGCAGCAGAAGGAGAAGAAGACATTAAAAACAATTAAGCAAATCACCGAGTGGATGATGCACATGCTCACCGGTGAGGGATAGCGGTGCGGATTTAGTGAACTGTCCATGCAGTGAGTTTATTAAGGGCGCTGCGATGACGATATGTTAACTCCCTCGTCTGGTATACAGGAGGTCGCGGGTTCGATCCCGACCCTGATGCCTGCTGCTGTATATTTGGAGTTTGCGAGTCTCTCTCTCTCCCCGTGGTCGCGTGGATTTTTCTCCGGGCCCCTCCGGGTTTTTCCCTCCACATTTGGAATCAACGCCACGTGTTTCAAGTATTTGGTTGCTAGACATTTCCTCGTGATGATAAGCCACTTCGTTGAACTATCATTTGTGGCCAGGTCGCTTCTGAAAAAGAGCTATATAACCCAGTGGGCCTTACCTGGTAAAAGAATATAAAGTTTAGTTTTAGTTTAATTTAAAAAATTGAGTGTTTCGTTTATTTTCGAAGGGGGGCCACTTTAAGATGATACCGCTGGGTGGCGCTGTGGGGGGGGGGAGAGCACGTGGCTCGCAGTCAGAAGGTTGAGTTCACAATCCCCGGGGGGGGGGGTCGATAAATCGTGTACCACTTTGTGGGATGCCGGCAGTTGGTTGTCCTATGGAGACACTGGCCTCCCGCCATATGAATGTGGAATGAACTTCACCGGCTAAAAGCTGTAGAGATGAGCACTGCACCGTGCTCGTTTACAGGGGGAAACAGTGACTGTTTTAAACAATTCATTCAAATGTTTTGTGTATATCTGTTAAGGTTAGTTCATGCACTGCTACTTTCACAATCACCGCCGGTTACCATTAATGCATTAGCGAAACCAATAGGCAGTAAGAACATTTCATATGGCGCACTCTTACGAGTCCAGTCCATCACGAATGTGCATCGATCGCACGTCGAAGTAGGCTCTCTGGAACAACAACATCGTTTTAAGTCTGCTGCGGAACTGTCTTGAGACTCAAGGATGGATCCCGAACGTGCACTGGCAGCGTGTTCCAGGTCGTTTCGCCGGAGACCCCGAAGCTGCGCTGGCCGTGTCGCGCGCGATGCTCACACGCGGCGGCCAGAGCGGCAGGTCGCCGCGAGCCACGGGGTCGTAGTCGGAGTCGATTTGGGTCTGTTGAAGCTGGTACCCACCGATCGGCGAGATAGGACGGAGCGGATTGATGGGGACCCTTGAAGATGAGTAGGCGTCATTTATACGCGATCGTGTTTCCTATCGAGACGAGCTGCAGCATCTAACAGCCACTGGAGTGGCCGCAGGCGAACAGAGCCGGCACAGCCGGAGACGCTGTTGCAGTAGCCCACGCGGCTGATCGTGAAATGCGTGGACGAGCATCCTCGCAGTCTCCACAGTGACAGCCTGTGCGCAGTTGTCGAAGCGGGGTAGAAGCACCGTCTAGTCAGGCGCCTGATGCGAGCACTGGTTCCCCCAAACTCCAGGTTTCCACCTGTACCAATCCCATGCAGGCAATGCGTGGTTGGTGATGTGGGCCAGCGGTGGCACGACCACCACTTGTTGCAGAGCTTCTGCAGAGGTTTTGCAACAATAAACCACGGCCGGCCACCCTCGTTAAGACTGCGGGTGTATTAACAATAACCCACACCTCCGATTAGCACGGCTGGCTATGTACGGTGCGAAAGAAGTTCAACGTACGTACATAGAACGTGTGTGCCGTCCGCTTCACAGTGGACGTTAAAGCCACGGTCCATGTCAGGGTACATGTTTGTCAAGTTTTGAAAAAGTGCACGTGAATTACTCAATTGGGGTTACGCATAGCAATCATCGCCCCCTACTCGCAGACTGATTCCCACTTGCAGCCCGGTGCTGAATCAGTGGCCTGCAGGTGGGCATTAGGTACCTTTTTAAGTCACCTTGTACCACATAGGGACAGCTGCTACTGGGGGTTCCCCTTCGAATAGCTGACATGAGATGTGATCTAAGGCACCTTGAGATACGGAGATGTTTAAGCGTCATAAAAGTGCACAAATTGTGATATTCACTATTTTTCGTGAAAAGTTGACCGTAAATATTGGCACGCATGGAAAGATATCGCTGATTGGGGTTACGAAGACTGGAGTTTGGGAAGCCTCGACTTAGGCGTTTGCATGACGGTTTTATTTTAAGAAAACCGCACAGGTCACCAGCCTAACACACAACTTGCACTTAATATACTCTATTGCCTATTTATTGAAAATAATAGAGTACGTGTCGAGTTCCAAAATGCCAGGCGTGCCGACACATACGACACATACCTATGATCGCGTGACTTCGAGATGGGGCTAGTGGATCGTGGAAAAGGTGGAACAACAATCGCATTGTCGAGGCACCCTCTGGCAGAGCAGAGATGTATTTGGGAGACAGTACAGCAAGTCGGCGTTTGCCTTGTGTCAGTTTCGTAAAATCGTATTTGCCGAGCATGGGCCCGAATGTCTGTGATGCAAATCAACAAGAACCTGGGAGCACTGCAGAGAGCAGAGCAGATAAGAACTAACGCACGTCTTGAATTTAGTGTGGTTATAGGGACGTAGATGATGGAAAGGAGTTCCAAATATCATCGCGGTAAGAGGAAGGGATTAAGGGATGCGGTCGCGTCCTGCGCGCCGGTCGTTGAAGACTTTATGGGCGAGGGGCAACAGTCGGTCTCATTAAATGGGTCCCGAACATTGGTTGCGGTTCGAAGCAAGAGTTGAGCTCTCCAATGATTTAAGTCGCCCATTACTTGACCAATCGGATGACGCGAAAATAGTTTGCAAAAAACGAGTGTCACGTCTGTTGCCACGTGTGCCGCTGGACGGCAGGCGATGTGCAGGGTGACGTTATTGGCATCGTCAGCCGCCGTCACGCTGGGCGTCGCTTGTAGGGGGGTTTCCTGCCTTCAGGGGATGGGATGTGGGGGTAGCCATCATTGTTAAAATGGCCCGAGTAATCGGTCACAAAAAAATGCAATCTTTCAGTTTTTAGCAAATTTATCGACTAAACGTCCCAGCGTGAGTATCAAGTCGTGACCGCTCGTGAGGACGTCGGACAGTTCGAGTATTTATCAAATACTGCGCCCTTTATTTCCTCCAAAGTCAAACAACCCAAGCAGCATCCTCCTGAAAAAGTCTCGAGACTCCAGCTTTCTTGGGTAAACAAGTAATAATGATCATTATTGCTATATAACTCTACATAGAATATAATGACCATTATTGCTATATAACTCTACATAGAATATAATTATCATTATTGCTATATAACTCTACATAGAATATAATGATCATTATTGCTATATAACTCTACATAGAATATAATAATGACCATTATTGCTATATAACTCTACATAGAATATAATGATCATTATTGCTATATAACTCTACATAGAATATAATAATGATCATTATTGCTATATAACTCTACATAGAATATAATAATGATCATGATTGCTATATAACTCTACATAGAATATAATGATCATTATTGCTATATAACTCTACATAGAATATAATAATGATCATTATTGCTATATAACTCTACATAGAATATGGAGCCCTCGTATTTTCCCCCCATAAGACGTTTTGTTAAATTTTGCCACGAGAAGTGCGACTTTTCATTCACAAACTAATGTTGGCTCGAGCAGCTGTAGGGAAAGTCGGGGCGATCGTAGAATACGGTCAAGAGGGCAGCGGGCGCGAATTGAGAACTTGTGCTGGAGATTGCGCAAAACCCACATTCCGTTACGGCCTCTTGTTACTGCCGAGATTCGCCTGCAGGCTGTAGGTCCGCTTGGCCCGAAACGAAATACTCCACCACTGCTCGGCGAAGGAGTTGAAGCGTCCGGGTGTGGTGCTGGTCACCCGTCACTTTGTGCCGAGCCCATGCGGTGGTTGCTGTTTTTGACGTAACGTTGCTAAATTATAGGCACGTTAACAACACGGGCGCTGCACAATTTAACCGCTACGCAAGGCTTAAAGCATATACGCCTGTGATAAACATTGCAATACCGTTAAGTCCCTTAACGCCACTGTGTGTCAAGACACAGTGGTACAGGCGATTATGTCAACGGGTGGAACCAAAAGTACTGTGTAGGTGGGGTAGTAATAATAATAATCATGTAAAGTAAAATCGCTTTACAAAAAGTAAGGCAGTTCAGACTAGTGTTTCTCCTATCGTGCAACCGTGTAAAGTAGTAATGACAGGTTTCACCAAATTCTCCTGCCTGTTGTGTATTTCCAGTCTAACAAAATCGGTCTTAAGCCACCAACTACCTAACACTCGCACTCTATATGTGTGTATGTGTATATGTACTTGTGCGTCACATGTTAGTTAAGTGAAAGTACACAATGTCTACACGCTATATGTGTGTATGTGTATATGTACTTGTGCGTCACATGTTAGTTAAGTGAAAGTACGCAATGTCTACACGCTGTTGGCAATTGCTGCTGTGGCAAGCCTGGTTATATTCACAAAGCGTCAAATTGTTTATCTTGACTGCTTAAGTATACAAGCAGCGCATTCATAACACACGTGACTTTGTCGAGTTTTATTATAGATAAAAAAAATAAAAACCGGTGATATATCCTCGTACCAAAAACATCGTTACATACTTGTTTAGATTAAAATCAAGACACAGTTGCATCATTCCACTTTTTAATCATAAAAGCCACTACAGGTATTAACATAATTACATGACTGTTCCGAGTACAGATTCAGAGGCTCAAGACGGATGCATTTACAACAATGCACTTGAAGGTTGGCTGTTTGTATTTTACCGAAGGCTGTGAATAGACGATGGCAGTGCGCTTAAGACGTACGAATGTGTTTCTTAATGACTTCGAATGGAACATCACTGTCGCAGCTAATACTTGGGACAATGTATGACTCAAGCGGAGCCGGTGAACACACCCACAGATGAGGCAAGGTTCCCTTTAAGAGAACAAGTGTCGGAAGGCAATTGTGAAAACTCGCCCATGGACATGCGTACGGGTTTATCAGAAGAAACTATTGTGACATGTCAAGAGTAATAAAATGACGGAGACTTTCTTTTTGTTTCGACAAAGTCGGTTCTGTGGCTGTTAACTGGCCACGGATAAAGCCAGGCGTCAATAGCAATGGTTACTCTTTGGAGCGCTGTGCGGTGGAGCTTTAATAACAGGAGAGAAGCAATGATGCGCTGAGTCTGGACACAAATAAAGCACGTGCTGTACATTTACCGAGTGGTGCCTAATGTGTGGTGTGTGGCCAAGGCGATGTGGTGCCTAGATGTTAACTTCCTCGCCTGGTATACAGAAGGTCGTGGGCTCGATCCTGACCCCAGCATATTTGGAGTTTGCATGTTCTCCACGTGGTCGTGTGGATTTTTCTCAGGGTCCTTCGGTTTTTCCCTCCGCATTTAGAAACATGCGTTTACAAGATTTGGCTACCATAAGTGTGTGCGCGTGATGAGCCACTTCACTGAGCTACCATGTATGGTCAGGTCGCTTCTGAAAAATAACTACAGAGCTCAATGGGCCGCAGTTTTGCCTTTTGAAGAATTACAAAATTTTGTCATTGGTCCCTTAACCTTGGAGTCAAAAAAGTCTCTGGTCATTGACGAACACAACTCATGGGCCGACACTCATGAAAAACACACGTGTGTGTGTGTGGACTCTTGAGTGTTCCCCTTTGGCGTATATAGTATTCCTCCTACGTACATTAAAAATACTCGAAGGAATTGGCCTAACATCTCAATCAAGGTCCTCCTGGAAGTTCTGAAGACTCATTGAGGCTTTTCTGATTTTTTTATTCTACTATTTCAAAAAACGTAAAGTTTTTATGAATCAACTAATCAAGATCGGTTGATTCTGAAAATATGGACAGCATGCTAACTGTTGGCCTAAAACAACCAATCACTAACCCGACAAATAGTTCAGCATCATATGGGGAGAAAGTTGTAAAGCTAAGGTTTTGAATGCAAGGTTCATACATACACGTGCATGCCATTAACGGTCAAAACCTCGTGTTTTACAACAATGCAGCAGTTTGAGCACTGTGCTCCAATCATGGCAACCTGGGTCCAATTCCTGACCACACACGACCCTGGTGACAATTTATTTCAAACCCTGGCCTCGGCTTCCTCTTGGCCAACTTGCTATAAAATAAGTGCTCTCGACAAGTGTGGACATCAGAACTTGTGGTTCTGGCCCTACCGCCCACTCGTGTGCCAGAGCGGCCCTTAACAGATGCCCGCTAACGTTTGCCTGTCAGCGTTGTGCGTGTGTACAATGCATGCAGTTTCAAGATTAGTTTGTAGTTTTATACGCGAGGTGTTAACCCTGATGTAATAACATGGGGTGTGAAAATCGAATACATTACAACTGAAAATATTCTTATTTGCAATGGTACATTTACAAGTGTAAACTTGGGTCACGTAAAAAATGTTTTATGCTGGCATTAAAATATGCTAAACATTTTTTGTCCACACCGTTGCTCTTGTCTGTCCGGAATATATTACGATTATTCTCTGTGGCATCAGCTGCGTGCATGAACTATTGTGAGATTTGGTTGAGTACGTGTAACATGAATGTGTGCGCGAGTGTAAACTGGCCTTGTATTCTTGCGTCCACGTGTGCATATGCATGTGTTGATGTGCGTGCATTTTGGGCAGCGGTGGTGCAGTGATGTAAGCAATCAGATATGAACCAGACGATCTGGATGCCATTCCCAGCCAGGGATAACATCAGTGGCAAATGGTGTCTGGGCCTCCCCGAAATTTAATCGATACTAAATGAGTATATGATGCAATGTACATACACAGCACCAGGATGACAAAGTGGGCAAAGATGTTATGCTAGAGGCACCACTGCTTCTTTTCACTATGGGTACTCATAACAGCACTTACCCCAACAGTGTAGTTATAAAAGTGGATCTTTATGTGTCTGAGAGCGATTGTGTGCATGTGTGTCTATGCTTGCAAAACGTGGAGCCATTTAAAGCAACATCCATGCCGGTTTAGAACATTCCGGCTGGCCTGTCCACGATCCATCCTGGGTTTAACCACACTGCATTGTGCGAGGAGCTCAAAGATCTGGACACAGTCCCATCACAGTGAGCTCCTCAGGCAAGCGAGGATGTATTAGCTGCTGGGTCTGTGATGCCTGCATGCCCAGCCACTGAATGCCAAAGCAGTTTCTGTTTGGCCAGATAGATTGGGTTAAATGGGCGTGGCACGGGCTACTGAAGAGATAGCCTGTGGTACAGAAGGATATGGAAGTGATTGGACTTGCTGATGACTGATACCAGCGGTGTCAAGATCGGCCTATGTGGAGGGAGCTAATGAAGGATGCTACTAGGCAACAACAGAGGGCAGAGGAGGGCGCTCACAATGGGCAGAGCCCCGGGAAATTAAAACACAACAAGTTGGCACAGTCGGGAGCACAGGTGGTGCATCTGCCAGTCATCTTAGTCAGTCTATCCATGGCACCCCTTCTGTTCCGTGACTTTCTGTCGGTGAGCCTTCGACACTTCAGATGGCCTCAAGGTGCACCTAGCCTGGCACAAGTTGTCGTGGTGACATCACCGCCACTTAGTGGCCACCCACCCCTTTGTGTGCCGTAGCCGCCTTCATAGGCGCTCGCTAACATTACTTGTCCCAAAAGTCTGTTAAGGCTATACGGGGGATCTTCATCTATGTTTGTGTGCATGCATAACACGTGTCTGTCCTGTGACCTTTTGACAGTGAGCCATCGACACTTCACGTGATGGCCTCACAGTGCCACCGCATGCACCTAGCACAAGAGCTGTGGTCAGGTCACCTTCACTTAGTGGTGAATAGCGCTCATTTGTTTAGCACGTTGGTTTCCGCAGACACTCGTTATCCAAACGTAGTCTTCCGGGTTAGGCCATGAGTTAGAAAATGTTCTCTCATGCTTTTTCCATGCACAATTATGGGCATCGTCAACTCCTGAAGAGAAACTCCGGAAGTTGCCCGCAGGAGGGCGGGACGAAAGCTTGAGAGAAGAAATGCTAGAGGTGCTCGTAGCGGTGCGTGGCAAAGGCTTGAGAGCATTTCTGAAAGATGCCCGCGGTAGAGTGCGGCATGTACTTGCGCACCGTCAGCTCCTGAAGATAGCCGCAGTGGTGTGTGGCGAAAGCTTGCGAGAAGAATTTCAGAAGGTACCCAGAGCAGTGTGCGACATGTACTTGCACATCCTCAACTCCTAAAGACGTCGACTGTAGGGCCTGGCGAAATCTTGAGAGAAGAGATGCTCAACACGTGGCCTGAATCACAACACCACACTTGGTTTGTTGTTGTTGTTATTGTTTCAGCGATGTGAACACGTGTGCATTCACGTGCAGAAGACCATACTTGGTTTGTTGTCGTTGTTGATCTGTGAACACGTGTGCATTCACACGCGGAAGACCATACTTGATTTACTGTTGTCGTTGCTACTATGTGAACACGTGCATTCACCCACTCTTGGTCTGTCGTCGTCGTTGCTGCTGCTGCTGCTGCTGCAATGTGAACGTGCAAGCAGTCACGCGCGGAAGACCACACCTTGTTTGTTGTTGTTGCTAGGTGAAAGCGCGAGCAATCACGCGCGCACGTCGAGATGCAACGCGAGCGCTTACGAGCGCTACGAGTGCTTGAGCGCGACCGCCTGCCGCTCCACGGGGCTGAAGTGCAGCACAGCGGCGATGGCGTTGAGCGCATGCTGCCTCCCGCGCGCGTCGCCCAGCGTCAGGTAGCGGTAGACCACGTTCTTCAGGTACTCGAGGCTAGCACCGTCGCGGCCACGCTCGCGCGCCCGCTCGTCCAGCATGGCGCGCAGGCTCTGCACCTCCTGAAGGGCGATGGGAGTAAGGGGGGGATAATGCGCGTGCACGTGTGAGAATACGATACCCAGTGTGTGTGTCTTGTGCGTTCGTGGGGAGCAGTAGCGTAGCGGTTAGCGCGCTGCGCTACGAACCCGGCGACCCGAGTTCGATTCCCGCTCATGGCCAATACCAGTGACGATTATCTGAACTGGTCCTGGGCCTCCTCTAGGTTAGCTCGGCCTCAAATGAGTACCTGGTGCGATGTGTAAACATAGCCACTCGGAAGACAAAGGCGGCTGAGTGTGGTGCTGGCCACCCACCCTCTCTCGTGAGCCGTGCAGGCATGGATAGGTGCTCGCTAACAGCACTTGCCCCAAAAGTCTGTTAAGGCTAATATACGGGGGATCTTTGTGTGAGCATTTACCTGTTGGTGCTTCTCTTCAGCCGTAGCTATCTCCTCCCTGAGAGCCCTCACACTCCTTTCCAGGTCTCTCTTCTCTCGACGCAGCGCGGCCATCTCCACCTCCCTAAAGCGCACGCACAACAAGAGTTGCTTTGCGTGGTTGCCGATATAGTCACGTGTTGGTTACGTGCAAGGCTACATTATGGGCAGCAGAGGGCGGTGTAGCAAATGCATTGTCCTGTTCTAGGCTCCCACATCACTGCTCCTTCACCAACCCGAACTAACCCGTGCTACCCACACGGCATAGGGAGGGCTTTCATGTAGCAGTGGGGTTGACAGAGAGCTGTGCATGTGTGTTGTGTATGTCAACATGCATGCTACTGGCTATCGGAGCAGTATTGATATACATGAGCTACGCGAGTGCTCAAGTTGTACGATTGCACAATGCTAAGTTAGTGCATGTACACATGAAGCAAGTACGTATGATGTACAGGATGTGAATGATATAGTTGTCTCTGTATATTTAGGTTTTAATGTGGTTTAGTAGTAAATAATTGAAAGTGGAGGAGGCTCGTGAAGGACGCTACTGGGCATTTGTAGACAGTCGCTATCCAGCAACAACGGAGGGCAGACGAGCGATGCTCACAACAACGAGCGTAGCGCCGGGTGGCAAAAAACACAGCAAGTTGGCACAGTAGAGAGCACACGTAGTCATTGGCCAGTCATCTCAGTCAATAAACAAATGGCACCTGGGTCTGTCCCGTGGCCTCCTGCAAGCGGGCGTTCGACACTTCACGTGGCCTTAACGTGCACATAGCCTGGCACAACCACCGTGGTGACGTCACCGCCACTTAGTGGCGAATGGCGGTTGTTGTTGTTGTTATAGGTTGTAATTTGTAGCAATATCACCATGTGCTGTGTGCAAACCATAGTTGTCGATATTTTATGCATGGTTTGTATGTATTCTGTATGCTTTGTCAATGTTCTCAGTATATGTGGCCATGTTTCTATACGAGCTGTAAGCTAACCATGGTTTCTTACGCACTATGCATGTTCGTTGTATATTGAGCTGCAACCCCTGTCCTGTTTCTGTGGGTGCTGTGTCCATGCTGTGACTGCGTGCTGTGTTCATGCTGTGTCTGTGTGTGGTGGCTATACTGTGGCTGTGGGTGCTGCATCCACGATGCGACAGTGGGTGCTGTGCTGTACTCTCACCGCCGGGACAGCTGCTCTGCGTAGTGCAGCAGCATGGCCTGGCTGTGGGCCGGTAGCTCCAAAGCTTCGTGCGAGAACCCTGCCGCTGACACCTCCTGCCCGTGAACACCGCCCTCCACCGGCCTGTAGCCCAGACAATGGCCATTGAACAGCATTCACTGCTTAAAACACATCACACTTGGACAAGGTGTTCATTCCCGCCGCTTTGACCTATGAGATAATTTCTCCCATAAAGGAAGATATTTAATTTTTCATTTCAATTTCGTAGCACTGCCATTATATAAGATGTCCGACTAATAATTTCAGAGTGTTATTTAAAAAGATATACTTTATCGTAGATTGTGTGCTTTGGTGATACATTAACAGGCAGTTACCGGACTCAGTGCCAAATTGTAAGAAAACAGACCTGCCCTACTCTCACGACGGGCTTTTGCACGCCTGTTATCCAACGATCTGGATGCAAGATCGAGATATGATCATGGCCAAAGCCACATGATGGCAGCACAACTCGCCAATGCTTTATAGCTTTGGCCAGATCCCTCAGCTGCTGTGCAGTACACACGTGACCTCCAATGTCGGCCCTAAGTGTCCCGGCATCTGCTCTGAGGTCTTCCCCTCAAGTCGCCGGACTTGTGGCGACCACTCCGATTGGAGGTAACGATTGGTGAATCACGAAAATTAGTTCAACGCTCGGCTACGAAACTCTCCACTACAGCTGGACCCAGGTGAGATGTTAGGGGCGCCATGGTGGTGTGATGTTAACTACCTCGCATGGTACACAGGAGGTCGTTGGGTTCAATCCCAACCACGACACCTGTATATTTGGAGTTTGCATGTTCTCTCAGTGGGGGCGTGTGGATATTTCTCTGGGTCCTCCCATTTTTTTCCTCCACATTTAGAGTGGCTGCTAGAAATTCCCAAAATGATAAGCCGCTTCGTCGACCTATCATTTGTGGCCAGGCCGCTTCTCAAAAAGATCCGCGCATAGCTCAGTGACCTTACCTGGTAAAAAAAAAAAAAAAAAAAAAAAATTACATCTTTAGTAAATAGGCGCCACTGGGCCCGCGGGGCCTCACCCGCGGTTTGACGCCGTCACGTGGGGTTCGGCACGGCTCCCCGCGGCCTGCGCCGCGGCCCGGAGCGCTCGGATCTCGTGCTCGCGCTCCGCCAGCAGGGCGAGCGAGCGGTCACGCTGCCGGTGCATCTCGCTCTCCAGCGCGAGCACTCGCTCGCGGAACGCCGCCTCGGCGAGGTCGCGCTCGCGCTGCCCGCGCTGGCGCTCGCGAGCGCCGTCCGCGCGCAGCTCATCCAACTCCCGCCGATGCCGCCCCACCAGCTCCTGTGGAGGCACGGGGGGGGGGGAGGTGAGCATCACGGCGTGTTTACGTGTGCGTGTGTGTGTGTGTGTACGCGTGTGTGTGCGCGTGGGGAGCGGTGGTGTAGCGGTTAGCGCTACGCTGCGCTATGAACCCGGCGACCCGGGTTCGATTCCCGCTCACGGCCAACACCGGTGACGATTATCTGAACCGGTCCCGGGCCTCCCCTAGGTCGACTCGGCCTCAAATGAGTACCTGGTGGTGTGTGTAAACATTGCCACTAGGGAGACAAAGGCGGTCGGGCGTGGTGCTGGCCACCCACCCCCTCGTGTACCGTTCCGGCCTTCATAGGTGCTCGCTAACAGCACTTGCCCCTACAGTCTGTTAAGGCTATATGGGGGATCTTTGTCTTTGTGTGCATGAGAATGTGGGGAGTGGTAAGGCCTCTCTTAGGTCGGTTTGAATAGATGCTTGCAAACAGAACTTGCCCCGACAGTATGTCGAGTCTATATGGGGAATCTTTGTCTTTGGTGTGGGAGTGGTGATACAATGGGTCATACAAAGCACTGTGAACCTGGCGACTAGAGTAGGATTCCTGGCCAGGGCTAACATCAATGACAAGTGGTATCAGAAGTTAACCATAGCTTCCCATAGGTCAGCCAGTGGAATTTCCATATACAGGTAGTCCTCTACTTATGATGGAGATGCGTTACGACGACACCATCGTAAGTCAAAAATATCGTAAGTCGAAGATGGCCGAGCCTACCCAGGAGTCTTAAAGAATGGTGATAATTTAGCAAAACAGAGCAATTTACAGTGCAGTACTATATAAACTATATACTGTATGTATTTATTCATTACAATACTGTATTGCACAGTAAAAAGTAAAGTAAACAAACAAGGTCAATTCTTAGCCTAACTATATTAACTGTAATTTAATAGAAAGTTTTTTTCAGGAAACAATCCTATCTGCGTTTGCCTGCCGCGTGAAATTTAAAATATTTAACAATTTTGTCGTATCGCTATCGCCATCGCAAGATAGAAATATCGTAAGTCGGACCGTCGTAACTCGGGGACTCTCTGTATTCTAGATTTGAAGTTTTCGTGACTGCAAGAATCCATACGCTTCGGTTTTATTCGGTAAAGTCACGTGGGTACAGCTCATGTCCCATGAGCCATGTGCCCAGCTTTGGGATTGGCTCCCCCAGCCCACGCTCCGCTCCCATACTCACCCTGCCCTCGTTTCCCCTCCCCCCACCCTCCTCAGCTATATAAACCCGTGTTAGAGCGATCTTTGACATATCTCAGCAACTGTCTTCGCTGTGTTTGTCCCCACCTGATGACGGACGCTTGTGTTGCACCCGAAACGTCGTGATTTAATTGTTGTTTTTATTTTATTTTTTACCTACGTGACCTTACCGAATAAAACCAAAGAGTATACTATCTGTATTATTTACTTCTGAAAAGCACGTTACCATTATATTTATGTTCTTGGTATGAACAAAACACCCACAACAACCGCCATTCGCCACTATGTAGCGGTGACGTCACCACGGCGCTTGTGCCAGGCCATGTGCACGTTGAGGCCACATGAAGTGTCGAATACCCGCTGGCAGGAGGTCACGGGGCACACCCAAGTGCCATGGGTCGACTAACTGAGATGACTGGCCGATGCACCACCTGTGCTCCCTACTGTGCCAACTTGCTGTGTTTTAGCCACCCGGCGCTCCGCTTGTTGTTGTGAGCGTCGCTCCTCTGCCCAGTAGCGTCCTTCACGAGCCTCCTCCACAGAGGCCGATCTTGACACCGCTGGTACAAGTCCACTCAGCTCCACATCCTCTTGTACCACATCACTCCATCTCTTCTCTCGCCTGTGCCGCGCCCATTTAGCCCCCTCTATCCGGCAGAACAAAAGCTGTTTAGGCATGCGATAGCTGGGCATGCGAGCTACATGACCCAGCCAATGCAGCTTTGCCTGCCAGAGGAGCTCACCGATGGGACTTTGTGAGCTCCTCACACAATCCAGCCTGGTTAATCCCAGGATGGATCGTAGGTAGGCCAGCCTAAGTTTCTAACCGGCGAAGATGTTCCAATAGGGGGGTCCACGTTTCGCAAGCGTAGAGAAGGGAGGCCATGACTGTGGCCGAGAAGACCTGAAGCCTCATGTGGAGCGACAGACCAGGTAGCTTCCACACAGCATTACGCAACCGATGAAAAGATAATGCCGCTCGACTTATTCGGAGTGAGACCTCTGCTGTCAAACCGGAGCCGGTCATGAGCACGCTGCCCAGGTATGGGAAACTCTCCACTCTCTCCACAACTGCCCCATCACCAATTGGGAGTTGTGGGGGTGGAGTGTCTGATGGTACAAAATACCCAGGCAGGTGCTTAGTTTTGGTGGGGCTGATGGTTAGTCCCCACCTTCTAGTGGTACGCTCCAGGTTCAGCTGCAGCGCCTCCAACTCCTCCTCTGAGTGAGCAGCAATTACCAGATCATCGGAATACATAACGTGGTTGACCAGTAGGGAGCCATCCCTTGACCGCACCACGCAGCCCAATACAAACAAGACGGACAAATAAAAGACGTAGAAGCATCGATTCATAGATCGGATCATGACCCCCCCCCCCCCCCCCCCCCCGATAAAGAGGTTTGAAGTCGGGAAGTCGGCACCTGCACCCACCCGCCCCTACCTGGCAGTGAGAGCGCAGGGCGGCGTTCCGCTCGCTCAGCTCCGCCAGCTGCCGCCCCAGCTCGGCCATCTCGCCCTTGTCACTGAGAGGGCGGCCCCAGCCGCGCGTCGAGGTGCCCCGCAACCTCCGCGCCGCCTCCTGGAGGCCCAGCACGGACGCCTTCTCGCAGTCGGTGAGCGGGTGCTGCATGGCGTCGTCGGCGTCGTTGTTGGCGTCATCGTCGTCGGCGCTGCCGCCGCCGCCGCCGCAGTCATCGCCGTCGACGCCGATCCTTTTCATGGCAGTGTTGGTGGCGCGGTCGTGGCCGCGTGCCGACGCGAGGAGGGCCTGCACCCTGGCGAGCTCCTGCTCCAGTGAGGCGACGTCCGGGTGCCGCGCGGATTGTGCCCCTCCGTGGCCAACAGCTTTCAACGCCAGCCCTGCAGCGGGGCAACAGCCCCTTTTGAGCCGTCGTTGTCGCGTTCACAATTCAGAAGTCAAGTTGAGATGCGGAATTGAGGTGGCCGTTTGGCTCGGATGACAAGAGCACCGAGCTGGCACCACTGAGATCCTGGGTTCAAAGCTGGGCAGCCACCCATAATTAAACCAGCTTCTTAACCATACAAAGTTGATGGTCTTAGCCTAATCAGCAACAAGTACGCAAAAAAAATATTTGGGATTTTGACATAGATTGATAAAGTTCCAGCTCTGAGAATTGACAATATTGGTTTGACTGTCATAACGGAAGGCACATAGAAACGTGCAACCACGGGGAGAACATGCAAACTCCAAATATACAGGCGTCAGGGTTGGGATCGAATCCACGACCTCCTGTATACCAGGCGAGGTAATTAACACCTCGCCACCATGGCTCCCACTTCCGAGATATGATTAAATCAGGTGCATTCCCGATCATTTGGTTATAGCCCTGGAAGCCCAATTAGATCATAAACAATACCACTGTAAACAATTCACCCGAACCTGAACCGAGCAACGATCCATCGGCATCAGTCGACGAAATGTCCACAAAACCTCCAGTGGACGACGCTGCAGGCTCCTCCGCCTTCCCTCCACACGCGGCCTCGGCATCGCGGAGCGACGCGCTGCCGCTAGTGCTGGCGAGCGCGGCAGCGAGGGCAGCGTTCTGCTGCGCCAGGCGGGAGACGGAGTCACGCAGGCGGGCGGCCGTCTCCTGGTCGCGCTGGCGCTCGCGCGCCGTCGCGCCCAGCGCCGCCGAGATCTCGCCGATCCGCTCCTCCAGCCCCGCGGCGCGCTCCTCGCTGCACTCGGCACGCGCCCGCAGCGCGGCCTCGGCCTCCAGCGCCTGCAGCCACCACCAGGGGAATACGAGAGCATGCGAGCACCAAATACAAGAGTTTGTTTTGATGAAGAAGAAATAAAAATGAAATGCAAAACAAAAGAGTTTACTGTCTGTATGTAACATGGAATTTATCCTGTACCATACGTAGCCAACCGTGCCAATCGGTTTAGGATGGATACAATTTTATTATTCAAGCGTCGGAATGTGACCTACAGTGTAAATGGCTACACCGCAGGTCTTGCGTAGAGGGATAAAGTGTGGGTACTCCCACCTCTTCCAAAATGTCCAGCCAGGGTGGAAGAGTAGGCCAAAAACACCCTGTAGAGGAGCTCTCTGTAGCTCCCTGTGTCGTGAGCAAGACATTTCAAGGCTGCAAACTTAACAATACGCGACTGCATCTCATAACTTTCGTTGCCCAGTGGAGGTGTTTGTGGACGCCCCCTTCAAGTTTCAAATTTGTTTAGTTTAACCAGTTGAGAACTCAGGAGAACAGGATAGTCTCATTTGCAAGAGTGACATGGGGCATAAAGACTACCAGTACGAGACATTGATTGCTATGTAGAATCCCAATTATGCAGTAATTTCTGCATAATTTTCTAATTTGGCAATGTTGGACCCTGACACTGGCACACAATGACCTACTCTTGCAAATGTCAAGGGATCTTTAAGGTCCAGTGTGAAGTGGATGAAGCTTATTATTACGGTTCTTACAACCGCAGTAAAAATCAGAGCGGCCTGCTGGATTTGAACCTCTATTACAAGCGGCCAATGCACAACCACGGGGCCATGTCATCGCTAATTCGTCGATTAGTTATTGTGCAGGATATGACAAAAGTTTTTATTTTACAGGCCACACATCCTCGGTAACGCGTCCTGTGGTGTGTATTATGAGTTACAAGCTTCATTAATCAGAAATAAGACCAGGCGTGACTCCATGCTCTGACGTGACATTAACCCTCTGAGCCACCCCAGCTACTCTGCAGATTCCGGTTTTAGCCGACATACAAAAAAATACTTAACACATAATTCATCAACCATCCTAAGCAGGACCCTCCTGAGAGAGTCTTGAGACTGATGAGGCTCTCTTGGACGACGCGAATGAAGCTCTACTGTGGCTCGCGTTCGTTACACGTGCGGCCGGCTGGTACCTGAGTCGCTTGCAGTTGCAGCTGCGCTCCCAAGCGGGCGGCCTCCTCTCCCGCCTGTTTGCGCGCCCGCTCCTCGGTGGACACGGCGCGTCTCAGCTGCTCCTCAGACTGCGCGAGCTGCGCCCGCGTTGCCTCCAGCTCCCGCTCGAGCCGTGAGAGAGTGGCTCGGTGCGACGCCATCTCCTCCGAGCCCACGCTCGCCTGCGTAGCGGGCGCACATCCGGATAAACGCCCAGGAACTTGTTCGAGCAATAACTACTACGGTTACGGTTGACCGACAGAGGGTCGTAACGCAGAGAGGTCCGCGTCCATCTCGATCTGGCACAGCCAGGGGTGATTGAGGCCTGCCAGCTGGACACGCTTCAAATCGCCACTTGGCATCACTCCGCACCTCGACGTGACACCTAGCCGTAGAGGAGGGGGGCATGGATTTGCATGTCAACCGGCATTGGCAAACACACGGCCACTTACCAAGTAGAGTGACGCGTGCCTTTAACCCAGAACTTCGGCGACATAGGTTGATGGAAATGTAGATTGGCACAACAGCCAACAGTGCTGGACTACAAGGTGGTCAGGAGACATCAGCAAGTGAATCCATCTGTGTGGACCCTCGACTGTTGTCCATCCATATGCATGGTGGTTTTTCTCCAAATACTCAAATCAGCACAAGGCAGTGCTCATCTCCAGTGATTAAACTGATCCAAAATTCAGTCGCAGATCAAATTAACATACGAGTTTTGGCCAAATACATCGATACAGGATGGCCTATTCTTGCAAATGACATTACAGGGTTTTTAATTTACACTTTTAAGCATAAAATAGGCTTCGTTAAATTCCCTGTAAAGCTAAAAACAAAAGTGACTCCCTGCTCAGTCAAGCAATCTGTCGGTGCTCATCTCCGCTGGCTGCCCTGATGCAGCGATGGAAATTTCACGTAACTACCAGGGCCAGACACATGACAGTAAAACCACCATTGAGTGCTACTCACGCTATCGACTCCCGGAGGGATGGCGAGTCGAGTCAGGGACCGCTACTCAGAACGGGCAGCACGGGGAATCGAACTGTCGGTTCGCACCTGTGCGGACTTGGCCTCTTCAAGGGCAGCCTCCGTGCTGTTGGAGCGGGCACGCTCCTCCGCCAGAAGCCTCTGCAGCTCGCGTAGCATGGCACCATGGTCAGCCTGCTCCTGAAGCCCGCACGCAGCAAAGAGCGCAGCACAGAGCGACGTCAGCATAGCGCTGGGGTAGCGGCGCCGCCACACTTAAGAATGGTTCCCAGCAGTTACTGGTCAGATAACAGGAAGAATGCGTGAACTTGACCCCACGCTTTATCACGCATAAGGGTTCTGCTACACTAGTTATATTAACAGCTACGCAATTGCAGGCTACCGATTCAGTACGAAGCGTACTGTTCGAGCGCTACTATCTCCTTAAAGGTTCTGTCATCAGGACAATCAGCGGTTATGTCACCTTGCTGAAGGGAGAACAATGGGGGTTCAAAAATACCGTGAATCTTTTGTGAGCGTCTCTTAGCCATATCTAAAAACTACTGGGGGGGGTGTCTGGACATCCTCTGCTGCCACACAGGCGGCTGTGCCCGTGACGCTGGCGGACACGAGGCATCTCGCACAGCTCCCCTTCACAAATCGCTCGCACCCGAAACGAGTGCGGCAGCCGTCCCTGGCACAAACCTGCTCCCTCTCCTGCTGCTGAGCCAGCACGCGGGCGCGAGCCTCGGCAAGCTGCTCGGCGAGCCTCCGCGCCTCGTTCGCCTGCCGCGCACGCTCCTCCTCCGCCCGCCCGCTCGCATCTTCCATCTCCTGCACACGGAGAGGTGCAGCCGACAGTTTCAGAGAAAGTCAAAGTGGTTCCCACGTCAAGCTAACCAACGTGGAAGGATCCGTTTCAAAGCCTACAGGGTGCTAACTGCAGTGAAGTGCTAGCACGAATCGTCATACAGCAAAAGTCAACCAATTTCAGGGGAAAGTTCGTACCTAACTCCCCAACTACAGTTCAGGGCATGTAAGAATGTGTCTCCTCGGATTGAAATGAAGATGGGGTGATGTTATGCACTCCTACATGCACTGTGAATTAGAAATTGTATGTTCCTATGGTGATGGTGAGTCTGTTTGTGGGACAACCACTTTTCGCTCACTAAAATGTGGTGCTCAATGATATCGTGAGATTAATAGATTTTTAAACCTCCAACTGGGATTTTCTAATGTGAATTGTGAATGTGAATGGCGGTCCAACTATTACGTTACACAGCCAGATAATTGTTAAACGATGTGAAATTATCAAATAAAGACTTAACTAGAATGATGTATCATAATATGTGACCAACTGCTTAATTCAGCTCAAAATTACATGCGAGTGGATGCAATAACAAAGGTGAAGGAATTGGAAAAAAATGAAGATTGCTGTCGTTAATCTATCCACGCGAGGTCACATTGACATCATGTCCTTTGGCTTCCATCTCTGACCTGGCGCAAGCGTCTCTTCTCAGCCTGGTAGGCGGCCTCCATGCGAGACTTCTCCTGTGTGACCGTGGCCAGTGCGGATGTCAGAGTGGTCAGATGTGACTGCTCTAACTCGCCAGCACCTACGATTGCACACAGACATACGAAACAGACCAATATACATCTACAATAATAGTGACGGAATAGTTTGAGTTCCCCGATGCGTTTTTGGGTTGTGCCGCGTGTTGTTCGGCATGACATCCGACATTTCGCCAGACCTACTGGAAGCTTCTAAATATTCAGTTACTGGAGAAGCTTCCAGTGCTCTAGTGAAAGATCATGAAGTTTAAAATATCTACACTTAATCAAAGGTGGTTTCCTGGATACAAACCCAGAATATTAATGGTGCCAAATCAGTTGTTGCACAACCCGGATTCTAATCCGGATTGCTCGGCTCATAGTGCAGTGCATCAATCATGATATCACCACACACACATACAGACGAAGATCTCCTATAAAGCCACGCAGAAAGTTTAGAGCAAGCGCTGTTAACGAGCACTTCAGGCCAACATAGCACATGATGTGGTGGTGGCCAGCTTTTTTGTGATGTTCACACACCATGAGCGGAGGTGTACGTGCTCCCAACATCTCCAGATACCAATTGCACCGGTGGGAATGCATGGCCAGAAATTTAACCGGTGTCAACAAGCTCAACGTTCACTGTAAAAAGCCACTACCCAACCACAAAGATACAAACAAAGATCCCCCATATAGCCTTAACAGACTGTAGGGGCAAGTGCTGTTAGCGAGCACCTATGAAGGCCGGAACGGTACACGAGGGGGTGGGTGGCCAGCACCACGCCCGACCGCCTTTGTCTCCCTAGTGGCAATGTTTACACACCGCACCAGGTACTCATTTGAGGCTGAGTCGACCTAGGGGAGGCCCGGGACCGGTTCAGATAATCGTCACTGGTGTTGGCCGTGAGCGGGAATCGAACCCGGGTTGCCAGGTTCATAGCGCAGCGCGCTAACCGCTACACTATCGCTCCCCATCAACCAACCACAAACCCAACCACAAACGTGCAGACACACACACACCTATATGCAAATTAACACTCACGAGTATCATCATTTTCTTCATTCCCAGAGCCCACAGACTCTTCCTTTCCATTGGTCCTTTCGCCACCTCTGTCCACGGACGTGCCGGATTCCGAGGCTCCGCCCCCTGCCGAGGATGAAGCTCCACCCACACAGGAGGCTTCTCCCAGACCCGTGGTGCTGCCGTCCGTACCGCAGCTCGCCCCCGTGTCCCCACTGTCACCCGTCTCGGTGCTCCCGTCGCTCCGCACCGACAGCCCGTCCTCGCTGCCCGCGTCTGTTGGTCAGGACGGCAACTTTAACGTCTGTGATTTGACCCGCCCCCCCCCCCCCCCCCCCGAGGGCCAAGACTTATGACGGAGTGGCAGCCAAGGAATAGAACGTATCTCAGAGAATATCGCCCATAAAGATGGAGCAATGGTGTGAGGTGTTTACATTGTAGGCTTGTGAGAGATGGCAATGGTTTGGGAAGGTTTTCATCCGGTAGTGGATTGATCATGGCAGACGGTGATGATTATTTCACCACTAAGAGTCTGTCATTTGAAAAGGAGACTTTAGGTAATTACAATCTGCATAAAGACGGATTATTATATTGTGAATACAATTTTGTCTGTTTATATGAAGTATGAGATTTAGCCAAGGACAATGGGCTGCATGATGTTACTGGGATTACTGTTCGTTTGTTTCCACCACCCCATTATATTCCAATTGTGCAAATGGAGTATTGTCACCAGATGAAGGAATTCCAGTAGGACCACAAACAAAGAGCACAGCAACACCATGCAATGTGATTTAATGGCCCCAGAAGATTGTCACGGAATTATTTCTGAAGTAACTTTATCCACACTCGGGGTACACTTTTATTTGTCGCATGCTCATCAAACTGAGATTGTGAGTCCTCAGTGCTATAGTACACCAAAGGGAAAACTAAATTTAGCATGAAGCTTTCTTGTATTGTCATGCATGAATGGGAAGCATTGACTCACTACGCTTGATAAGCTGATTTTACCTAAGATGACTGAAATTGAGCTTCGTATCTCAGCATTCCTGGTTTGGTGTTCTGACATGGGATTAAAAATCTAAGTCACAAGGCTCCTTCAACATTACAGGCTCTTGTATGGAAATACTCTTCTGTAATGATTCTTGGTAAAATGTCCAGATGGCTATAGAAACCACGCCATCAACTCCATACAGACTGGCTCAATGTTGAGTATCCTAACCACTAGACCACAGATTTTATTGGAAAGATTTAAATATGAATCTCAGCACTGTGGTGATGAGCACTGCATCTCACCGCTTTAATGTTCTGACGGCATAGCAAGCAAACCTGCATCCGTCTGCATATGCAGGCCACATGCAACATAACGTTTGGAATTACGTAAGGGCAATGGACGCACTTACTGAAGGGAACCGAGGGCGCTTGGGAGCGCTGGCGAGCGCGCTGGGAAGCGCTGAGCGCTGTGAGCGATGCCTCCAGCGCCTCCTTCTCCTTCGCCAGGCCGCGGTAGGCACGCACCACATCGCGCAGCCGTGTCTGGTAGCGCTCCAGCTGCCCCCGTTGGTTGTCGACCAGCTCCTGCAGCTGGCGCCGGTTCATCGGAGCTGCACCACCTCCTGTGCCGCCCCCAGAACCCCCGACCAGGCTGGCCGCCAGCTTGTCCATCCTGACCCGCTGATGCCTGGCAGCCAAGCAGACGGAACCAGGCACTCTTCACTGCTTTACCTGTGAGACGAAAAAGGGTTCGCTTTGTGACCTAAGATGCTGAAACAAAAGTGGTGACGCTGCCTCAATAGCCGTTTGGCTGAGCTGTGCCACACAAAGCCTTACTCCGACACAGCCAGTTCACAGCATTCTGTGCAAAATTCCACATTATTATATTTGAAAATATGAAAGACAGCATTAACTCTCACCCTCACGTGCCATCCAGTGTCAACTGCCATCCACGAACCAATCGCCAACTTCTTTACCTTACAGGACAATGTTGTGACATTCTCAAACGAACCCATACACGTCCCTTCCGCTTAAACTGCACAGGGTTTGGTTAGCATTGCTCTCTTCACAGTTAGAGGACCAAGAACAAGATCTTGCAACTACTGCCACTGCGATACTTGCACCCGTATTATCAGTATCATCTTTGTGTACGTGACCAAGGGAACATTTCCACGCGAGACGTGACTTTACATGTTTACCACAACCAATGTGCTTATGCTGCATCTCCTGCCAGAAAATATCCTGTTCACGGATACAGGTGAAACACAAGACGTGATCTGATCATGTCCAACTATATTATCTCACAATTACCCTACCCACTACCAGTAAGGCCCTTACTCTTTAGACCTTAACACGGTCTAAAGGCGCAAATATACCCTTTCGCTCAGTAACAATACAAAATGTTAATACAGTACTTGCATATATATTATGTTGTGTACAGTGTATAAATACAAATTCGCATTTCAGTATATGGTTTGCATATTACATGTTGCACTTTCATACACACGATTATTTAAATATCATTGACAGTCAGTTGCGTACAGGTACACGGCATGATTATGAACATCCTGTGCACATAGACTACACAAAGATCCCCCGTGTAGCCTTAACAGACTGTAGGGGCAAGTGCTGTTAGCGAGTAGCACCTGTGAAGGCCGGCACGGCACACGAGGGGGTGGATGGCCAGCACCAAGCCCGGCCGCCTTTGTCTCCCCAGTGGCGATGCTTACTACACACCGCACCAGGTACTCATTTGAGGCTCAGTCAACCTAGGGGAGCCCTGGGCCGGTTCAGATAGTCGTCACCGGTGTTGATGGCCGTGAGCGGGAATCGAACTCGGTTCCCCGGGTTCGTAGCGCAGCGTAGCGCTAACCGCTGCACCACCGCTCCCCACGCACACACACAACCACAAACTACTGTGCATGGGTTACAACTGACACTTCACTTATAGTACACACACACATTCACATTAATACCGTACTATAATACAGTACAGTATATGCATATACGCAAAGCACGATGCCTGTGACCGAAGCGTCGGGGAGTCCTCTTGACTTCAGTAAAGACCTCGGAAGCAAAGCATGCACTCCGCCTGGATAGTGCTTGGGTAGGTGACCCCCCCCCCCCCAATATATCAGGCGTTACAGGCTGTGGGGGGGGGGCTACGATGTGGGCAGTGCAGCAAAACTCCACTGTTGGTGTGTACTCCTACGCTCCCACGTCTATGTTCCCCGCCTTGTCCAACCCGCACTGACCAGCGTGGTTGGAGTACGGCGGTCAGGTAGGCCACGGCGTGTGTGGAGGCCCTCATCCAGCAGTGGAGAGACCAAAGGGTGCTGCTGCTGCTGCTAACGCGTTCATCACGTGCTGTGATTTTTAGACACGCCGCATAGCACCGCCGTGAACGAACGCGGGGCAGTGTGACAAATTACGGCGATTCTACATTCCTGTGCCGGGGTCAAGTCCATCCCACACCGTCGGCAGCCGATTGTTGAGGATAACGCCGAACTTTAATGAGTCACCAGTTGACGAAAACCACGGCCATGATACACGCCTACTGAACGATAATTGGGCGTTAAGTTTTACGTTATATTTGTTATTGTTATTATGGTGAAACCCCCTAAACAATCGAGACAATTCAAGCGGATAACGAAGCGGCGTTACCTTGCGCTGTGATAGCGGCCGACCGGGCGTTACATTCCCTAGAGCGCATAAGGCGAGCTCGCCTTCTGATTGGTCAGAGTGGCGCGTGTCCGGCTCGGGCGTTTTATATCCGCTCTAGATTGGATAAAACCGAGAGACGTGACGTCTGAGTAGCCAATCAGAGCAAGGGGATCGATGATCCAGCGCGCGTGTGCACTGAGAAAAACAATGGGGGGGATTGTGGGGGGGGGGGTGGCGGAGGCGGGGGTGGTGGGGGGTGGCGGAGGTGGGGGTGGTGGGGGGGGCCGTGGGGGGTGACGGAGGTGGGGGTGGTGGCGGAGGTGGTGGGGGGGGGGGGACGTGGGGGGAGCAGCGAGATGCAGTAGGAGCACGTGGCACTTGAACTCCACCAGGAGACCGCACGTGTCACTTATTACTCACTTCACATTTTTCAAGAGGCACAAACATTGCAGCGTATATATTCCGACTGTAACTATTTTCATATGCCATAACGCAAGGCGTCAAGTTACACATGGTGAAGGATAATGACGGGAGTGGAGGCGAATGAATGGAACTCTCGCGAGAGAAAACGTCGACCGGGGATGATGATGGAGCGATGGAAACTCGTGTGCAGGTGCCATGTGACAGAACTCAGGATCACGAGAGATGGCTGCAGTTGTGGGGGAGGCCTTCATCCAACAGTGGATTGATCATGGATGATGGGGATGACAGTTTTGCTTTGTTTAATATACAGTATACCGTACATTGTACTATACAACTGGAACGGTGCTATGATACATATTTAACGCTGTGTGGCCTGAAATTTTTTTAAAAATTGCAGGCGAGGTTTCGGGAAATGGCCCTTCATAGCAACGTGGAACTACTTAACACAAATGGGGCCTTATGAATTACATTTAAAAACACCTTTTGTGATGACCAGTTTTTAAATTGGCATTTCAATAAATGTAACAACAGGCTTTTGCGACAAATTATTCACCATTGATGCTTGGGTTAGATCGCGAACGAAAAATGGGTGTCAATTCATAAAGTCGTCACGTGAACAAAAGTGCCAATTTATTTCCAGAAAATTTTGTATGGCACCTGCCTGATGATGATGATGGGTCGCAACAACAAAGCGAAACTTCGTACCCAATTTGTTAAAATGTTGCGGAGTGCTCTCCAACACACCCGCGTGCCGAAGCAATAATACATTTTACCTGTCGATTATTTTGTGATATAATAACAATGATTATATGAAATAATATGTTAACAATATAATTTCACTACGCGGCACCAGCACACACACACACGTTACTCGTTACACGTGTACAGCAGTGACGGGTTTGGGCCACGTGGTGGTAGATGGGTGGTGGGGGGGTGTTTGAGGGAGGGGGGAAGGGAGTTGAGGGGGGGGGCCTCTTCCGGTCGGGGGCTCAGATGACGTCACGCGCGGTGACGTGTCCGCCGGAGCGGCGGGGGGGGAGGGTTGTAAACCGCCGGTGACGTCACGCGCGTTGACGTCATTTTCTCCGCGTGGCGGCCGCCCCGGCTTTAGTTCCACGTCGTCCCCCGCCGCGCCACCTCACACCCAACACGACCGCCGGGGCTGTGGAGGCGGCTCAAATAGCAGCGTCCACTCGCATTGTTTTTTTTATATTTTTTCCCCCCATCGCCGGCGTTCGTCTCCTGCCGCCGCCGTCGTCGTATTAACACGGGGCTGTTGAGAGCGCGCGAGGCGTAGTTCGTGGTCGCTGTGTGCGAGAGCCGCCCCGCTACCCACAATGGGCCTCGCGATCTCGCGTGTGCTCGCCGCGCTGCTGGGCACCAAGGCGATGCGCATCCTCATGGGTCCGTATGCACTCTCTGTCTCTCCTCCTTCTCCCGTGTCTCTCTTCTCTCGCTTCATCATCTGTCTCGTCACCCCACACACTCTCTTCACAACCTCGCATCACTCCACACTCATCATCACCCCACACTCTCATCACCCCACACACTCATCACCCCACACTCTCATCACCCCACACACTCATCACCCCACACACTCATCACCCCACACACTCATCACCCCACACACTCATCACCCCACACACTCATCACCCCACACTCTCATCACCCCACACACTCATCACCCCACACTCTCATCACTCCACACACTCATCACTCCACACACTCATCACTCCACACACTCATCACACCCTCTCATCACCCCACACTCTCATCACCCCACACTAAATCGATAACTTTTATTTTCGTTGGAACGACCCCAATGGTGGCTTGATAATAATAAAGTGAAATCCGTATCCTCATTCATCTACCCAACACGGTCTCAAAGCGTCGCCTTAAGCAATCGAGATGATCGGCACAGCGCTCTCGTTGTACTCTTGTGGTGGTGGTGGTGCTTGCACCGATTATAATCTCGCGTGGCATGTAATTACAGAGAAGATTGTTGAAATACATAGCCCTGTATGTATGTTGAACTTCTTTCGCACCGTACTACGTAGCCAACCGGCGCTCATCGGAGTTGCGATGAAGGTAATGGGATGGTGATGGTTTGGTCAATGAGGACACGGGTTTTGTTGGAGGGGGGGTTTTTGTTGTTGTAACGCTACGTATAGTTTTAACCTTAAAATTCAATCCGTAATGTTGTGTACGTGCCTTGGCTGTGTACGCATTTGAGGCTTCGTTAATCATAAAAAATATAATGGTCCCTGCATCGCGCGGCGCTTTCAGATGCGCTTCTACGGCCGTCTGGAACGTTCTTCCGATATTAAGAAGCGACTGGAGGAGCTACGCAACGTCTAGATCGAAAACTAATTTCTTTAGAATTGTTTTTTTGTGTTTAGTTTCTTCTCCTTCCCCCCCCCCGCACCTCCGATTAGCACGGCCGGCTACGTACGGTGCGATAGAACTTCAAACAATTCATGCCGTTCAACAAAAATATATATCAAAGTGACGGTCGTCCTTCCGCTCGTGTGTGTGTGACTGGCGAAGAACGTCGTCGCTATTGTCTGCGTCACCACCACCACCACCATACGCGTGACATTTCGGTGATGTGACACAATGACTCTCTTGGCCATACTTTTAATGGGATTTGTTATGGTTCATTATTCATGGCACTTCACACGCGTATCTTACGCATTATAAGTTGTTTAATGAGGGCGGCGGGGGGGGGGGTTCTGACCGAGCCGTTAATTGTGCGATGAAATGTTTTAATGGTGAACGTTGTTATTATTTAGTCACCCCAGGCCCACGTGGCGCAAGGGTAGGTAGGGGCTCTCTTCTCATTCGGGAAAAAAAGGCGAGAGTTCAAATCTCGGTAGGGTGTAAACTTGGCCAATCATTACCATGGGCTGTTTGGAGACAAGAAAGATCCACGTTTGTAGGATGTTAACAATGGGTGTATTATGGAGAGACCACTGGCCCCCTCCCATGGCAATGTGTCATTCGCACCCCAGCGCCAGTAGAATAGGTGCTGCCCAAAAACCCCTTTGTGAGAACGGTAATTTTTTTAACGTGACCATAGACAACGCAGTGAATCTGCGTGGTAAATTGATTCCGCGTAATTTCCTGCGTGTGCTGTTAACATATATGCTGTTCTGTAATCTGGCTTAATATACAGCAGGGTTGGGGAACGTCGGGCCCGCGGGCCGTATGTGGGCCATGAAATCATTTGGTGTGGCCCTGCCAAGGCAACCGCAGGCGGAACTCGAAATTCAACAAATCCAGGAGCAAACCTGGAAAAGCAGTTGCGAGTAGCAACATCAATACCAGCTAACATCATCACACGCCTCGCCAAAGAGAAGCAATTCCAGTCATCGCATTAGGGGCGAGTTAATTAAATGTTTGACCAAATATAACAAGCTAATTTTTAAGTTGATAATTTTTTTATGGCCCGCGAATGATGTTGTAAATATTCAAATGGCCCTTGACAGAAAAAAGGTTCCCCACCCCTGATATACAGTATAGCATTCTCCAAGGCAGTTGCTAAGATCTGTATGAAGCGGGTTACTATGGTGTTGGTGTACCTAAGCATACATTAAAAGAAGAGATCGTTGGTCGTTCGTTTTAACCTCGTGTCGGCAAACAATCCAAACCAAACACTCACATAAAAGTCAAAATATTACTCATGCGTAGGGAGGTACGTGCATATACTCCGGCATAAACAAGATGCTTAATCTCATGGAATTTTTCCAGCTAAAAATATTTCGATGTAATGAATGCATGGCTGTGCTCAGCAGTTTTCGCCGTTCATAGAGATAATAGCCGTTCCTAAGGACGTGCTATGGAATGTGTGGTGTGTGTGTGGGGAGGGTGACGTGTGTATGTACAGCTGTGAAGCCCGTGAATGGAGAACGAGTGAGCGAAGCTGGCTTTTGAGTTACGCGTGGTGCTTGTTTGAACGCCTGACTACGGCACTACAATGCGTGCAGTGGTAATGCTGATGCTATGACTTGTGGAACGCAGTTGGATTGGACGCTGCCGGAAAGACGACCATCCTGTACAAGCTCAAGCTGGGCGAGATTGTGACCACCATTCCCACCATAGGTAAGGCCCACCGAGCTACATAGCTCTTTTTCAGAAGTGACCTGGCCACATGCTTTAAGTGCATTCACTTGAGGGAACTTGATAGCTGGCTAAATCCTGTTGTTTGTGTATCTTGCCAACTGCAAATAAAACCGATTGTTTTGATGACTACAGTCTCTTTAAGCATACCATGGTAGTGGCTTTTTGCAAAAGACATTAGATTTATTATTTTAATATACTGAATGATGGTTCTTGTGCACGGACAATGGAGTGAGTAAAAGTCTATTCCTTCCTGCATGCCAATTTTCCACCGTAGGATGAATGCAGGCTGATTTTGTCACGCCATTGTGGTTCAGTCGAGTAATTCCTCACTTTACGCGGCACTTTTCAGGAACGCATCTGCCGCATCAAACGAGGGATGACTATAATTGCTAAGAAAAGGTGTATTCTCTTCGAAGTTAAATAATTGTGCCTTAAGTGGCTTATTATAAATCGCTAATCCACAGTATCATCTTTCTATCACATCGTCAGAAGAGGAGAGATCATTATGGCTGTAAAACATGCCGTAGACCAGTGTTCTTAATTACAAGGCCCGCGGGCGGCCCCTCGTGGCCTTTAGTGCAGCCCCTCGTGGCCTTTAGTGCGGCCCCTGACATGCGGCCCCCCGACAACACACAAATGTGAAAACGCCCCATCATGCTGTCAAACCCCAATGGTTTCGCAATGATGTCGTATCGGCGAAAGTGGCCCCCCTCTGAAAATTAGCGAAGAACACTGCCACAGACGGTTCCGTTTACTATTGTGAATGTGGTTCGTGTCAGGCTTCAATGTGGAGACTGTGGAGTACAAGAACATCTCCTTCACGGTGTGGGATGTGGGTGGCCAGGACAAGATCCGTCCTCTGTGGAGGCATTACTTCCAGAACACTCAGGTACTCCTCGCCTCCTCCCCACCTCCCGTGACAATATTAATCTTGTACTTTTAGTATTCGTGCCTTTCTCAGAGCGCAATGCAATCGTCACAAAGGGCAGCCGCTTTGTTTCGCAGACAGTCTGCAGTAGCTTCACAGTCCTGGGGGGCAATGTTGCTATGTGTAATTGCAATTGTGTAACCTAATCCCGTACAAACCGAGTGCTACGTGAATTGCATAAATATCAATGCACTTGATTTACCAAGGAAAAGCCTCATTGGGTCTCTCAAGACCCTTTTCGCGGGAGGGTCCTGCATTATATTTTTGGCCGATTCATTATTTAGGGGTTGTCGGCTTGCAGGAAACAGGGCTACGTGGAGAAAACCAATGCATAAAGGGGGGATAACACTCCAGTTTTCCACAGATATATTCAATTATTCATTTTTGCACTGCCATCTTCTGGCTGCCGAGCAGCCCACGTCTGTAAAACCTGGTATTCAGCATTTCACATCCAACTATTATTATCTAAGCTCGTCCCTGTTTAGTATCAAAGTTTGATAGGATCAGTCCCCCATTCAGGATGTTTTGTTCATAGGCAGTGCTGCTTAATTTAGGAATGCCTATTCCTTCCATGTTTATTACACACAGGTTATTTGTGTCCGAATTGGAATATAATGGAATACAATGGGCACAACTAGTCTAGCGATAGCCCCAAATGGTACGGAATTAGCCTGTTCAGAAAGAATGGCAATCATTATCATGGGCTGGACAGTGAAACGTGCTTGCCTTGGCGTATTCTGTGTAAATCCACACAGATTATAGTGTGTGCTGGTTGTGTGTGATGCAGCACATGGTGTGCCGTTAAGCTGCAGTGTAAAGACTGCGTGGTAATTCCCAAGCTGTGCTGCTCCCCAAATTCTCTGAGCGGTGATGTGCCCAGTCTGTGTGTGTGTGGCATGGCATACATCTTAACTCCTGAGGGCAGGGTGCTGGGTAGGTACTGTATAGCCCACGACAGGGACACATTCTTATTTATAAACACACAGTGCAACGTCATATCCAAACCGCCACTTATCTGCCCCAGACCAATTACTGGCCCGGTCGCAGAGCAGTATTTGAGGAGTGGACCGCCGCTGATTTTCCGAGCTTGTAAAAAAAAGGGTATTTATTTTCTGAAATCGCGTCACGTGAAAATGTTTACCCAAATTACGAATCGTTTAAGGAGAGGGTGGCAGGGTTGCTTGTGCAATAGGGCACTTGCCTGCCCGTTGGTTGGCATCATGCAAACACTCGTGCGCTGGCTCGGCCAACTTGGTAGGCGCAGGAAATAATTGAGTGAGCAATGTGCAAAGCATGACTTCCCTTGCACTTGGGCAAGAATGCTGCACACGTGTAAAGTCGGCGTGCACTGCTGCCACATGGCTTTGACTATCGATCATGGATCTAAATTCGCTTTTTTAAACTGAATAATTCAGAATATTGTATTTAACAAAAAAAATACGCTAGAATATTGGTTGTGAGTTTTTTCGTGTGGTCTGTGTGAACTGTGTTTTATTGAGTTTAAAAAGTTTTGCTAAATATTGCTTTGCGATGTCTTTAGCTGTAGAAAAGAGTTACGGTAGTTAATATATTTAAAACTGTCACATTCACAAATCCGCAGTGATATTTAGGATGCAGTAAGTTGACCTTTAAGTGAGGTATGGATTGAATCCAAGGAAGACAATGAGAAAAAAAACACGTGTGTGTGTGTGTGTATCTGGATAGCAAGGCCTCAGATTCTCGATTTTTGACATTTTTACTTAGTTGTTTTAAATCACATCTTTTATGTATGTATGTATGTTGACGTTCTTTCGCACCGTACGTAGCCAACTGTGCTAATCTGAGGTGCGGGGGAAGGACAACAAACTAAACACAAAGCGGTTCTAAAGAAATGGTTTTCAATCTTCGTCATTAAGTGTTGGTAACATTTGTTGTGAATCTTATGTTATTCCTAACCATTGAAACGTAAATATGTTTTATATTTGTTTTTAATGAACAACGCATTGCTTAATCTAGCACACGTAGGATTTTTATTTATATTTTAACCATTGTGCTATTGTGCCTGTTCAGTGGGTGTTGCTAACTGGAATTACATAAATGCCCCACCATTACGTTATTTGGATTGTAAGTTTTTAAAACATACCTTTTACTTATAACTTGTGATAATTCCAGAACTTGATGACTTCAGCAGTGCTAATGATTTAAGCTAATTGCAGTATAGTTCAACGCAAAAAAAAATCAGAAAACACAGGCACACTGTGCCATTGAGTACGCAGCAGGTGAGCGCATTTAGCCGTGGGCCACGTTATGTATTCATTTTAATCGGCTTTAGTATGTTTAAGGTGATGTTGTGCTTGTCAATGGACTAGTCTGTATTGTACAAACACATTTTTTTCTCATAGATCAGATAAATAAGTATATTCTTTGGGTCTTTCCATAAAGCCACGTAGATATAATAAAAATAATAATTTTGTATTATTATGAATTCCTGCAGTCACGAAAGCTTTAAGTCAAGATTCACATTAATTTACTTGTTTTCGCAAGACTATTCTGTAATCCGGGATGATGCTAAGGTGCAGTGGTTAGCCCAGTGGCCTTGAGAAAATCGCGTGGCTCTTTAAGCAATGTCCAAGTGGTTTTTAAACCTAACTCTCTCCACCCAGTAGTTGGTGTTAAGTGTGGGTACACACCTACACACCTCATCCAAGACGCCTGGCTAATGTGCAAGAGCAGGACATTAATTCCATCAAGAGGGGCTCACAAGCTAATTTTAGTGGAGGCCGTAGTGGAGCAATGTCATGGTGAGCAAGCAATTGCATTGCTGCACCTTTACTTACAATCCATTTTCGAACGTTCCCTTTGGCATTCGCCAAAAGTGCGACCTTTCAGATCCGATGCTCAAGGCGGGGGGGGGGGGTATTTGCCACGTTCCTAGAATGTAGTTGTGCATTACAAGCATGGGACTTGGCAGACCATGAAGAGCCGGACTTCAAATTTGCCTAATTAGCGTACTTAAATGCATAATTTGTGAGTAAACAAAGAAAGATAAACGCTACATGCAGTTACTTTCTTCCAACTTTAATACCAACGCTGTATGCCACTTAGCTTAGTGGAGCTTATCACCACTCCATGGCCTATCTATCAAGTGCCCCCCTGTAGTTATTGTTACTTGTAGGAGTGCGTCGCTTATTTTAATTGCTTTGAGTTTGTTTTGGTCACTTGACTCCAACGCCTGTGGCGCTCAGTACTTGGCTGCACACAAACTTTATTTTAGTCCGGCCAGATACTGAAACACGGCTTGTGTTCTACCGAATTTTAAGGCGAAGGAACCTCTATAAACTTTCCACATTTTACCGTATGTGCTAAATTCTCATGCACTTTGTGTGATAAGCTTTACATTTATGAATTGCACTGAAGTGGGTAATAATTTAGTGAAGCACACACATTTTGACAGGGAATGGTTTATTGTTCCTGTTTATGAACTTTTCAATTAAATTGCTACTGTCTATACATATTAGCTGGTACTGTAACATTAGAAAGGTGTGCTACCAGTGACAGCACACTGCTGAGACATAATCAAATCAGCACATTGATCTTTTTTAAATAACACCGGGTCCTCTATTTTAGGATATGATGCCATGCCACTGCCCGCTGTAAACAAACGCTCGGCACACATTGCAAATGCGTCGTCGTTTCAATTGCTGTCATCTGCCTCGTTGTCATGCAGGGACTTATCTTCGTGGTGGACAGCAATGACCGTGAGCGCATACAGGAGGCAGCTGAAGAACTGCAGAAGATGGTAGGTCCATCACTTGGAGTTTCTTGCACAGTCAACGGGATTCCTGTACAAAGCAAACCGTCATGTGTACACGTTATGCATGTATAAGCAGAACTGTCTTCCGTGTCTCCACATATAAATGCGATTCTGTTTTTCTCCCTTGGCCTATTGGCTCTCCAGACCAGTATTATGCCAGTAGCATCTCTTTACATAAACCTCTGGAAATTGTTTGGACCTCATGGGTCTCAAAATTATATTGGTCTAAAACCAATAAGCTGATGGACTAAATCATAATGTGTTGACGTAACAGAATTCTGATTTTATGCTATATATGCTTTAACCCATAATGCTCTAACGATCAAATTATTTGTATTCAATCATGTGTCTGCAACTGAATGTAAATCCATTATCGGTATGCACGTTACACACAGGCATAGCCATTTTACTCCATATGATTGTAGATTCAAAGGGCGCCTGCCACTTAAGTGTGTTTTATTTCCTAGATTCTAACACGGCAATTGCACGCATAAAGACCGAAACGACAGACCGCTTGCCTGACATGGCGCGCGTGCAAACACGGACAGTCAGGAAGTGAATCGAGGCCTCTGATTGGTGCGGGGAAGCCTGACAGAGGATTGGCTGGAGGCAGAGAATTGAAGTGATTTTGAGGAGAAATACAAACGTAAAAGGCAGGAAGCAAGGGTCGACTGACAGGGGAACGGTTTACAACCATCGGAGGAGGAGGACGGAGATTGGCCGAGGGAGGTAGGGTGAGGGAACCTTCGAGAAAGGGGGCTCGGGGGATGTAAAAAGGGATAGCACAAGCGGAAGGGACGGTTGGAAAGAAGACAAAGTTCGCGCTTGAAAAAGAGTGTTCGTGTCCACAATTATAGGCTCTTTAGTAAAGTGAAGCGAGCACGTGCGTCGGTCGTCGTTACACATGTAATCCTTGCTAGGGCGCCATACAACGAGACCTGCACGACTCGGCCTCATTGCAGCCCACTGGGAGTCTCGTCTTGGCAACAGTGCAGCTTTACACATTGTGGCGTGAAAAGTTCTGAACAGTGGTGGCCCTTCTCACCCATTATCTGTAATTTAACATGGCAATCGCATGTGTAGTCTGTTAAATTGTATTTATATACCCTTGATGTGCGCGGGTTTAAACAACATTGATGCGTTGCATTTATATTCTTAGCTATTTCGGTAAAGTCACGTTGAAGGAAAACAAAATAATAAAATATATATAAAACAATAAAAATTCTCACGACGTTTCGACCATAACGCAAACGGTCATCACCTGATGATGACCGTTTGCGTTATGATGATGACCGTTTGAGTTATGGTCGAAATGTCGTGAGAATTTTTATTGTTTTATATATATTTTATTGTTTCCCTTCAACGTTACTTTACCGAAAGAGCTAAGAATATGAATTACTCCAGTCACGAAAGCTTTAAATCAAAATTTAGTGTTGCATTTAATAAGACACTGCCATAATTCACAGCGTTGGGAAGCGTGATTGAAAGAAAGTGTCGAAGAAATATAATTACCAATACAAGTTTAATCTGTGAACTGTCACTTTGGGGTACGCCGAATCTTTGCTATGCCTTGTGATTTATCCAAATGCGGCTGTGTTTTACTGTTTGTGTTGGACAAATTGTAGCAGCAACAACAAACATGCGATGCCGATTTAATTTGAGCATCATTGGTCTCCATGCTCGCATGAACACTGTGGCCTGGCAATGAAGAGAGACCGAGACAAAGAGAAAGCAGAAGAAAAACCCAAACAGAGATAGCGGGAGGTAAAGAAAGGCAGAATAAACAGAAAGAGGGAGGAAAACAGATTGCCAATTTATTGAATAAATACGTAAAAAAAACGTCTGCTTTTGGATCAGAATTCAGCGCAATATCTCGTTGCATATTCCAGTATTGAGTGCAATTCGGTGCACCCTAAATGTCACGTAATGTTCAGTCATAGTCATGTGGATTAATAGCTCTTATTTTGTACAAACGTGTTCATCCATGCAATAAGTAAGATAGTATATGTTTACCTATCCATATGTGTTTAATTGCAAATTAACAAGCCATGTCATATTTTAACATTCGAGATGAATGCGTTTTAAAAACATACCAGCAGCTTGGACAGCTGATGGCGTGGGGTGCCATCAGTGGCTGTTAGCTACCTATCCTGTTATACAGGAGATTGTTGGTTCTGTGTTCTCCCCGTAGTCGCGTGCATTTTTTTCTGGGTCCTCCGGTTTTTCCCTCCATTTCGAAACGTACGTTTAGAGCATTTGGCTATAATAACGTTTTCACATGATAAGCCACTTCATAGAGCTACCATTTGTGGCTAAGTCGCTTCTGAAAAAGAGCTGTATATCCTGGTGGGCCTTAACTGGTAAAATTAAAATAGTTTAGTTGAATGCCCTCGGATGTTCCCACGATTACGGCCTCGGCCTGTGCGTCTCCTGGACCGCCGCTTCTCGTGGTGTTTGTGACCGTGACGCCGTGCGTGCGCGCGCGCGCTCCCCTCCAGATGCAAGAGGACGACCTGAAGGACGCCGCGCTGCTGGTGTTGGCAAATAAACAGGACTTGCCCAACGCCATGGCCATCGGCGAGCTCACGGAGAAGCTGGGTCTGCACGGACTGCGCAACCGTGCCGTAAGTTCCCACCCCTCCCTGCTCCAGCCCCCTCCTTTCTGCCTCCTGCACGCGACCCAGAAATGGGTTGGTTCAACTTTGACACAAGCCTGTAAAATAATACATTTTTGGTGGGTTTTGCCTTCCTTATTTTGACACCGCAATCTAAATGCTAATATTTTAATTCAAAATGTAATCCTCCAATCTTCCTTTCAAGGGAGGTATTTCATCTTTTATATCCCTTCAACCCGTCATTTATAGTTGTCTTTTTTTCCAAAGTGATGCAAACTCTGTTGGGTCGGCACGAAAAATCTTGTCACAGCATTCTTATAAGAAAAAAAAGCCAGAACCCTGATGTCACGCGAACTCCGTAATGCCATCATTAATAATCATGGGCGGGTGACGTCACTCCACATGGAGCACCCCCCCCCCTCAATAATCATGAGTGGAATTTTATTTTCGATTGACTATTTCATATTTACTGCAATATACCCGTCCTTGGATGGGGGCTGTAGGCTATTTGTAAGAATCGATCAATTTGTGCCAGTGTCACACCTCAATCCACAATTGTTAACGTACCTTTGTATTGTTAATAGCGTGATAGATTGTTAATGTGCTATTAAGTGTAAGTGGACTCTCACCTGGACGTTGTGCCATGTCAGTAAGGACTACTTTGAAAAGTATACATCTGTTTTTTTGTGCGTGTGTGCATGTGTTTGTTCCAACAGTGGTTTGTACAAGCGACATGCGCCCCCCAGGGAACAGGGCTGTGCGAGGGGTTGGACTGGTTATCCAATAAGCTCGCCAAGTAATAATGGAGACGGCAGCATGGAAACGACCACAGGAGTGAATGGCACCACACAGCATACACACACTGACAGTGGGAAGGAGATATGGGATGTATGGACATTAAATACCAATATGGAATTGGCCTCTGGAGCAGTTATCATTACATTTTATTTCCACTTCATAACATATGTGTTATGTTGTGTGTGCTGGCATCAACACTTTTGTGAGGTTATTTAAACTAAAATTCCTTTCTCTACGATTCCCTTTGCAGTCATTTGACTGCACACCTCGCATGCACAAGCAGACTTAACACGTAATACTCTGTTGAGTTGCACTACCTCCAGTAAACTATCGGCACGGCGTTTCGCTCTTATTGACATAACTTACAATTGAATCATACGAAGATGAAGCTTTCTTAAACACTTCATTCGTCATGCAATTTTACAGACGACAGAACTTCATTTCTTTTGGAATGGCTGCTGTGTCGAGATTTACCAACATTTTGCGTCTGATGTAACGATGATATTGACTCACAGTTTCAACATTTGTGCAATCGAGGAGAGGTTATTGACAGTTGCGGCATTTTGTTTATACTTTGATGTCTATTTAATTCTCCATCATTGAGCTGTCCAGTCATCTTTTGTTCAAATGCAAATATTGTGCCATCTAGTTTGGTAATTATGTTATGCATTCGTGGTGAACGCTGAGGTAAAATAATGGGAATTAGAGTTTGGGAGCTAACGTGTGAATTTGAACACATCAAGGAACTAGTTCTTCGTGTCAGTGAAAAGGGGAGCAAGTTGGCTTTTATTTCGTTTTGTTTTTGAGATGGGTATGTTTCCATAATGTGATTTTCATTTACAATGTAAATCATAAATCGCTTGCAACAATTGCAGTTGCTCGGCCAATATAATGATGTTTAGGAACATTAAACATTGAATGTTTGCTTTCACTCTTTAAGTTCGACATCTTTGCATCCATATCAACAAATTTACTTTAATTATACATTTTGTTTAAAGTTGTTTATTTTTTAAAGTCTAACTTAGCTGTGTTTTCCAACACTTCAGCCACGTGTGATAGAATATTTTTCTTAAAGTATTGGCTCTTTTAATTTACGTTGCAAGATACTAAACTAGTACATTTAAGTATATATTTTTAACATTGCTGCATGCCAATATAAAATGCAAGACACGGTTATATATTGTAGCATACAATATCGCTGTTATTCCTTAAACTATTTGATCAGTAGATCTTGAAATACAAGAGCTTAGCTTTGTGTTGTGTACATCATAATGTGTGTTATGATTCAACATTATAGTAACATTCCATATGGCTTCTGTACTCATGTTGGGACTATACATAACAATCATTGCCCCTACTGGCAGATTGCTGGCCCAGTTCACTCTTGCAAATGAGACTATCCTGGTCTCTTCTCACCTCGTTAAACAAAATACACTTGAACCATGAGGTGATGCCTTTGACTTGAACATTGTGCTTGCAATTGCAACTCCCACGATGAAAGAGCTTGAGTAACACTAATGCGCATTTATTACCATTGTTAGCAAAACACGATCAAGCAAAATTATATCGGGCCAAACATTTCTCAAATCATACGTGTAGTGTGTGGATCTTTTGGCATACATGACCCTTCATGGTAAGGGGCACTTAAAAAACGTGAGTTACGCCTCGCCGATCACGGTGGTGCTGAGAAGAATTAGACCGGTGTTGTGTGCTGGTTGAGAATTGAGCAACACCCATCATTTATGGCCATATACATCCCAGAATAAATGCCGTTTGTGAGAATCCCAGCTTAGAAGTGTGATCTGACTGGGCCTGTACGGCATGTGCTTGTTTAGGCCCGGTAGCCTGTAACATGATTCGCCTTTGCCTTAATCGAAGTGTTTACTGACTGACACTAATTGTATGTGTGCGCGCCATTGGTTTTTAAATGTGGCATTTTTTGTGTGCGATTCCAAGTACCTGTGATTAAGTGTATAATGTCAGAAATGCACAATTTATTTGTGAATGTTAGTGCTGTTTGACATGACACTTTTGGTGTTTATAAAACGTGCACCCCTATTCATATATCCTATTGCTACTTAAAAATATGGGCTCTTGTTTTAGTCGGTGTGGGTTTACTCCTGAAATATGTTAACACAAAAATTGAGCTTGTTTCGATAAATGGTCAAAACCTTATTGTCTGCAATGTGTTTTATAGCTGCGGGGGACACTTAAGACTTGAGTGCATTTAACATGGGACTGCAGGAGACCAAAATATTAAATAATGTGTAAAAACATCGCCATTCTGTATGCTGTAGCTCTTAATAAACTCACGTTTGTACAACAGAATGGGTTGAGATAGTTATTGCTTGACAATCTGTGATCAAGCACTTCGTGGGAGGTGCGAGGGTGTGTGGATAGCACAAACGTCATGAAACACCCTTCCCATGCGCGTCGTGATCACCATACCCTGGCTGTCCAGGAGATGGCAGTACAGAAAGTGGATGAACGTGCACCCGTTGCCACCTTTGCGTGCGTGAGTTTTCTCCGGGTCCTCCAGGTTTCAATCCCCACCTGTATAAATAAATACAGGTGGGGGAGGAAACAGGTAATCGCTCGTTATTCGGAGTTGGCCAAACATCTCGGTGGACGTCGATGCAGCTCGGGCAATATTGCTGGCGCTGGTTCTGGCTGCCCGCGCAAAGGTTCACACACAAACATGCACAAGTTAAATATATGTGACGGAGGCTCCTTTAATTTGCCCTGATTGCATGTTATCTGGATAAGTGTATCGGACTAACCACACGCTACACATAGCGTTGGTTTACGGTGCTATTTCAGGAATATTTTGATTGTTTTTTTCCCTGGATTTTCTGTTTGCACAGTCACATAATCACTTTAAGATGTTTTCTTGTTCATGTTTTTTGTTTGTTGAGGTTGCACCCGATTCAAGAGCCGAATGGCTGATAGGGCTATACCAAATGAATAAACTATGAAACACAAGCCCTGGTCAGTTTGCGTGCAACAGTGGTAGGGTCACGTTGTGGGCAGCAGATGGCAGTGCAGGAAAAAGCAATTGTCCTCAACCGGCACTGACCGGCGTGGTGAAGTGTTGTTTTAAATCACTTCCACGGTCCCGCGCGGCGTTGTTGAAGCCCCTCTTATAGCAGTGGAGGATTGAAATAAGGGGGGCGTCCATAAATGACGTCACGCACCTCGGGGGGGGGGGGGGGGGTCAGACATTTGTGACGATGTGTGACGAGGGGGGGTGGGGTGAGAAATGTGACGTCACATCAAAATACGAAACTTTGAATAAATATAGACAACACGTTATGCTTAATAAAATAGACTTTTTAATAAATGTTTTCTCCTACAACATCAAGAGTGCAGCGCCACATTAAATACGAACTACAATGACAATAGCTTCAAGTGATTTGAAACATGTTTTATTTTTTTTGGGGGGGGGGTGTGCAGGTTTGTGACGTCATATTTGAGGGGGGCAGCTTTGTGACGTCAAATTTAGGGGGGGGGGGTCTGACTTTGTGACGCCGTGTGACGATGGGGGGGGGGGGGGGGTCAAAAATCACGTGAGGTCATTTATGGACGGCCCCTAAAGGCTGAGCATCGATAAATGGTCAGAGCAGTGTTCTCGTGTTTTAGTTTTCAGTTTAATTTGTTTTGGTAAAGCCCTGTGAGCCATTGGGCTCTTGAATCGGGTGCAACCGCAACAAACCAAAAACGTGTGCGACTTTCCCTGGCCTTTTGTCAACGTTGATAAGGGTCGCAAGTTCCCCTTGCCATTAAAACACGCTGGGGAAACTAGACGGTAACTTCACAAATGCTGCGAGTTTGTTCCCATGGCAAATATTCGTGGCTTGTTCGCCTTTTTTTTGTCGTTCTCTCGTCTAACATTGGTAGTTAGACTAATGCCCTAAAGAAGGCTGTCGCTGGTGTAGACCATATTCTTGGTTCTTTCGGTAAAGTCACCACGTAGAAGGGAAACAATCAAATAATAAAAATATAAAACAATAAAATGTTCACGACGTTTCGACTGCAACACAAGCAATCGTCATCAGGTGTGAAAACCACAGCGAGAAAAATTTGAAAAAAGTGTCGTTTTTTCCTTAACGTTAGCACCACGGAGAGCGATTTGGTGTAGACTAATCTGTTTCAAAGACAATCCAAATATATTACCAGATAACGTTTTTGTTTGCATGTTCACCGCAAGTACGTGTTGTTAATGCAGACATGATTCCTTACAAAAGGTTTCTGTTTTGGTGCTTTAACATATTGACGCCTGTTTTATTGCCAGAAAGGGTAAATCAATGCTTATACTATTCATTTATTTTTAAACATACCTCAGTATTTTTACTGGTAGCAGCACAATCATTCTAAATCAGTGTTTTACATTCAGCGCCTCATCACGAACGTCTAGCTTGCTTAGGTTGATTAAACGCAAGCAAATATTGAGGCGGTTTTGTCATTCAGTGTCTCATCAGCATGTCAGGCTTGCTTGCATTGATTCAACAAGTGAACAGGTTTTGCAATTCAGTGAATCGTCAGTAAATTATAGCTTGCATTGTTTCAACAAGCAAACTGAACCGGTTTTGCCATTCAGTGTCTCATCAGCAGTCGGGATGCCAATCGGTTCGATAAGCAAACCGAACCGGTTTTGCCATTCAGTGTCTCATCAGCAGTCGGGATGCCAATCGGTTCGATAAGCAAACCGAACCGGTTTTGATTTCAGTGTCATCAGCAGTCGGGCTGCCAATTGGTTCGACGAGCAAACCGAACCGGTTTTGCCATTCAGTGTCTCATCAGCAGTCGGGATACCAATCGGTTCGACAAGCAAAGCGAACCGGTTTCGACAGAAGCCTAAGGATCCGACGCGTGACGTCACTTCTTTATCTCAAAACCATAATGCGGATGAGCAAAGCCCACGTGCGTCCGATTGGCTGAAAGTCGCCACGGTCCTCCGCGGGGACCAATGGGAAGCGAGAAGACGGCAGCACCGTGCCTATGCGCTGTGGGGATTTGCGGCTCGCGATGGCGAGCGGCGATGAGTGGGACGATGGCGACTGGGAGGAGGAGGTGAGGATCTGGAGGTGGTGAGGATCTGGAGGTGGTGAGGATCTGGAGGTGGTGAGGATCTGAGTCTTAGACTGGAGGTGGTGAGGATCTGAGTCTTAGACTGGAGGAGGTGAGGATCTGGAGGTGGTGAGGATCTGGAGGTGGTGAGGATCAGAACCTTAGAATGGAAGTGGTGAGGATCTGGAGGTGGTGAGGATCTGGAGGTGGTGAGGATCTGGAGGTGGTGAGGATCTGGAGGTGGTGAGGATCTGGAGGTGGTGAGGATCTGGAGGTGGTGAGGATCTGAGTCTTAGACTGGAGGTGGTGAGGATCTGAGTCTTAGACTGGAGGAGGTGAGGATCTGGAGGTGGTGAGGATCTGGAGGTGGTGAGGATCAGAACCTTAGAATGGAGGTGGTGAGGATCTGGAGGTGGTGAGGATCTGGAGGTGGTGAGGATCTGGAGGTGGTGAGGATCTGGAGGTGGTGAGGATCTGAGTCTTAGACTGGAGGTGGTGAGGATCTGAGTCTTAGACTGGAGGAGGTGAGGATCTGGAGGTGGTGAGGATCTGGAGGTGGTGAGGATCAGAACCTTAGAATGGAGGTGGTGAGGATGTGGAGGTGGTGAGGATCTGGAGGTGGTGAGGATCTGGAGGTGGTGAGGATCTGAGTCTTAGACTGGAGGTGGTGAGGATCTGAGTCTTAGACTGAAGGAGGTGAGGATCTGGAGGTGGTGAGGATCTGGAGGTGGTGAGGATCAGAACCTTAGAATGGAGGTGGTGAGGATCTGGAGGTGGTGAGGATCTGGAGGTGGTGAGGATCTGGAGGTGGTGAGGATCTGGAGGTGGTGAGGATCTGGAGGTGGTGAGGATCTGAGTCTTAGACTGGAGGAGGTGAGGATCTGGAGGTGGTGAGGATCTGGAGGTGGTGAGGATCAGAACCTTAGAATGGAGGTGGTGAGGATCTGGAGGTGGTGAGGATCTGGAGGTGGTGAGGATCAGAACCTTAGAATGGAGGTGGTGAGGATCTGGAGGTGGTGAGGATCTGAGTCTTAGACTGGAGGTGGTGAGGATCTGGAGGTGGTGAGGATCTGGAGGTGGTGAAGATCTGAGTCTTAGACTGGAGGTGGTGAGCATCTGGAGGTGGTGAGGATCTGGAGGTGGTGAGGATCTGGAGGTGGTGAGGATCTGAGTCTTAGACTGGAGGTGGTGAGGATCTGGAGGTGGTGAGGATCTGGAGGTGGTGAGGATCTGAACCTTAGACTGGAGGTGGTGAGGATCTGGAGGTGGTGAGGATCTGGAGGTGGTGAGGATCTGAACCTTAGACTGGAGGTGGTGAGGATCTGGAGGTGGTGAGGATCTGGAGGTGGTGAGGATCTGGATGTGGTGAGGATGAGAGTCTTAGACTGGAGGTGGTGAGGATCTGGAGGTGGTGGGGATCTGGAGGTGGTGAGGATCTGAGTCTTAGACTGGAGGTGGTGAGGATCTGGAGGTGGTGAGGATCTGGAGGTGGTGAGAATCTGGAGGTGGTAAGGATCTGGAGGTGGTGAGGATCTGGAGGTGGTGAGGATCAGAATCTTAGACTGGAGGTGGTGAGGATCTGGAGGTAGTGAGGATCTGGAGGTGGTGAGGATCTGGAGGTGGTGAGGATCTGGAGGTGGTGAGGGTCTGGAGGTGGTGAGGATCTGGAGGTGGTGAGGATCTGTCTTTAGATTGGAGGAGGTTAGGATCTGGAGGTGGTGAGGATCTGGAGGTGGTGAGGATCAGAACCTTAGACTGGAGGAGGTGAGGATCTGGAGGTGGTGAGGATCTGGAGGTGGTGAGGATCTGGAGGTGGTGAGAATCTGGAGGTCGTGAGGATCTGGAAGTGGTGAGGATCTGAGTCTTAGACTGGAGGTGGTGAGGATCTGGAGGTGGTGAGGATCTGGAGGTAGTGAGGATCTGGAGGTGGTGAGGATCTGGAGGTGGTGAGGATCTGAGTCTTAGACTGGAGGTGGTGAGGATCTGGAGGTGGTGAGGATCTGGAGGTAGTGAGGATCTGGAGGTGGTGAGGATCAGAACCTTAGACTGGAGGTGGTGAGGATCTGGAGGTGGTGAGGATCAGAACCTTAGACTGGAGGTGGTGAGGATCTGGAGGTGGTGAGGATCTGGAGGTGGTGAGGATCTGGAGGTAGTGAGGATCTGGAGGTGGTGAGGATCTGGAGGTGGTGAGGATCTGGAGGTGGTGAGGATCAGAACCTTAGACTGGAGGAGGTAAGGATCTGGAGGTGGTGAGGATCTGGAGGTAGTGAGGATCTGGAAGTGGTGAGGATCTGGAGGTGGTGAGGATCTGGAGGTGGTGAGGATCTGGAGGTGGTGAGGATCTGGAGGCGGTGAGGATCTGGAGGTGGTGAGGATCTGGAGGTGGTGAGGATCTGGAGGTAGTGAGGATCTGGAGGTGGTGAGGATCTGGAGGTGGTGAGGATCTGGAGGTGGTGAGGATCTGGAGGTGGTGAGGATCTGGAGGTAGTGAGGATCTGGAGGTGGTGAGGATCTGGAGGTGGTGAGGATCTGTCTTAGACTGGAGGAGGTGAGGATCTGGAGGTGGTGAGGGTCTGGAGGTGGTGAGGATCTGTCTTAGACTGGAGGAGGTGAGGGTCTGGAGGTGGTGAGGGTCTGGAGGTGGTGAGGATCTGTCTTAGACTGGAGGAGGTGAGGATCTGGAGGTGGTGAGGATCTGGAGGTAGTGAGGATCTGGAGGTGGTGAGGATCTGGAGGTGGTGAGGATCTGAGTCTTAGACTGGAGGTGGTGAGGATCTGGAGGTGGTGAGGATATGGAGGTAGCGAGGATCTGGAGGTGGTGAGGATCTGGAGGTGGTGAGGATCTGGAGGTGGTGAGGATCTGAGTCTTAGACTGGAGGTGGTGAGGATCTGGAGGTGGTGAGGATCTGGACGTAGTGAGGATCTGGAGGTAGTGAGGATCTGGAGGTGGTGAGGATCTGGAGGTGGTGAGGATCAGAACCTTAGACTGGAGGTGGTGAGGATCTGGAGGTGGTGAGGATCAGAACCTTAGACTGGAGGTGGTGAGGATCTGGAGGTGGTGAGGATCTGGAGGTGGTGAGGATCTGGAGGTGGTGAGGATCTGGAGGTAGTGAGGATCTTGAGGTGGTGAGGATCTGGAGGTAGTGAGGATCTGGAGGTGGTGAGGATCTGGATGTAGTGAGGATCTGGAGGTAGTGAGGATCTGGAGGTGGTGAGGATCTGAACCTTAGACTGGAGGTGGTGAGGATCTGGAGGTAGTGAGGATCAGAGTCTTTAGACTGGAGGTGGTGAGGATCTGGAGGTGGTGAGGATCTGGAGGTGGTGAGGATCTGGAGGTAGTGAGGATCTGGAGGTGGTGAGTATCTAGAGGCGGTGAGGATCTGGAGGTGGTGAGGATCTGGAGGTGGTGAGTATCTGGAGGCGGTGAGGATCTGGAGGTGGTGAGGATCTGGAGGTGGTGAAGATCAGAGTCTTAGACTGGAGGTGGTGAGACGCTGGGCACGTGGCGCCACTCGTTCACTGCTACCGTGTTTTTGTTGTCTTAAGTTTTGTTGTCTGTGGAGGAGACTTCTGAAGATTGCTGCTACTGGGGAGTTAATGGGCAGTCTCGCCCCCCCCCCCCCAGCAGCAACGGCGGGCAGAGGAGCGACGCTCACAACAATGAGCGGAGCGTCGGACGACTTAAACGCAGCATGTTGGCGCAGTAGGTGGGGGTGGGCACACCCCGGTGCATCCGCCAGCCATCTCAGTCAGCCGACACACGGCAATTGGCGCTGGAGGATTCAAAATCCTGACTCGTCGTAGTTAACGCGATCGACACGTCAAGTTAAACAACAACTTTTAAACTTAATTGTCGCGCTCTCATAACGTCACTGCAACATTGACTGTGGAACACGCGGACGTGCCCGTGGCGTCACCGGGCGCGCGAAAACGAAACGTCGAACCAACTTTGGGTCAACCACATCCCATAGTTGGGCCAACCAAATGCCAAACGTGAAACCAACGTTTGGCCAATCACATGCCAACTTTGGGCCAGCTTTGCATGTCTTCTGGGTATTTATTGCATTGTAACGTCTTACCGTAACTTTCAAGGTTGTTTTTTTTTGTGTGTTCTCGTTATCGAAGCATATATGTGTTTATTTTCTTGAGTCTGCCTTTAAAGAGCACCTCCTCGTGAGATAACAAGAGTGAAACGTGAAACGGAGTAACGAGTGTTCGGGCAGCCACGGCTCAATCACCCTGGCGAAAGCGACAGGACAGCCCCCAACACAGCCCACGTGCTTGCGTCCTCCGCGTAATGCAGAATGAGAACGTGTCTTTATGCATTCCAGTTCAGACTACGAATACGATTCACGTGAAGACATTTCCTCGTGTATAAAGGAATTGAGGGAGGCTGTGTGGCAAAAGGATGTGGTCACCACAAGGGGCTACAGCGGGGATGAGACTCCCGCATCACGGTGCTAGCACCGCTGAGTGGAGCGAACGCCGTGCCTGGGTGTTACGTGGGGTGTGGATCGGCTGACAGACATGAGGCTGCCGGTTAACACAGTTAAGGCGGTGGTGAGTTGAGCAGATACACACAGGGGTGGAATGGCAGCTGGAGTTGAGTTAAGCCTGGAGAGGAAGAGACGGAGCGGCTGGGTTGTGAGACCTCTACATGAAGTGGCGAGATGTTAACTACCTCGCCTGCTACGCAGGAGGTGGTAGGTTCAATCCTGACCCCTGTATATTTGCAGTTTGCATGTGGTCGTGGGGATTTTGCTCCAGGTTATCCCTCCACATTTAAAAAAAAAAACATGCGTTTGGAATATCTGGCTGCTATAAATTTCCACACGATGAACAACTTCATTGAGCTACCATCTGTGGCCAGGTCGCTTCTGAAAAAGAGCTCTATCGCTCAGTGGGCCTTACCTGGTAAAATTGAAATTTAATAATACAAGTATCAGAGTGAAGGTAGATACGCTTTCGATTGTTGCAGTTGTGGAGCAGTATATTTTACTAAATCGTGTTACCCATTTGGGTTCAAACAAACGTACACGATTGTCGGAGTTCTTCTCTTGTATGTATGAAGCTAATGTTACTGTTACTGGTAGGAACCTCCTGGTTACACCACCAGCCCACAGGGGATTATTGTGTCCGTCCGTCGTGCATCCAAAAATGGGAGGGGTGGGGCTGGGTGGAGAGGGGTGGGGCTGGGTGGGGAGGGGTGGGGCTGGGTGGGGAGGGGTGGGGCTGGGTGGGGGGGTGGGAGGGTGGGGCTGGGTGGGGAGGGTGGGGCAGGGTGGGGGGGCGGGAGGGTGGGGCTGGATGGGGAGGGGCTGGTCACCCCGTGGTGCCCTTATAAAACTCAACGTTTAACCTACTCACGCCGGCTTGTGCCCGCCCTCACAGTCGGGCATATTTGCGGAATACACCACGCCACCGTTGACCCTGGCTATTGACCGAGTCCCGTCGCCGTTCCTACCAGCTCCCTCCGCAGGAATGTGTTTAGATGTAGTACAATTTAGGCGACGTTACAACAGAATTACAAATTCTCTGCTCACGCTGCTGCTGCGTTGGCAGTGCTGCACGAGTACGAATACACAAACAAAACTCAACACATTCCTCAAGTACACTGTGGCCCTAAAATGAAAACTTATTTCATAGGCGTCGTTGGTTTTAATTTGGCAATATTTCATTCCAACAATAGGTGTCAACATGATCACTGCTCACGCTCGTTTTGTTCACTTTTCATCTTGTTCCAGGAGCAATACGTGGTGGTTGAGCTGTCTGGCATCATCGACTCGGATTTCCTGGCCAAGTGCAACAACAGCTTTAAAATGCTGGTCAGTGGAGGTTACGTGAGTTTACGCTTACCTAATGTTTTAGCTCTGCTTGATATATTGCGTGCCATTTTTTGGGAATATCAAGTTATGGTAGCATTGTACTGAAATGAGTGATGGGTGGACATAATAATAATGATGATGCATGTTTTTAGAATGCATCATTCATGCAATTTGCATATCGTAATGCTGCACAATCCACCAACACGGAGGTGCATATATAACGATTTTTCAGCCAATTAATGAGTGTGTGTATGTATGGGAGGAAACCAAAGCACTCGGAGAAAACCCACACTTGCGAGGGGGCAATACTCTTATCCTATACAGATGTAATAGAGGATGTTAGTTCTTGCTTTAGTATATGTATATAGTGTCTTCTATCTGCAAACCAGAGTAAGGCACCTACTCGATGCCCATAAAAAGGATATTTCGTAAAATTGTTTCCGATCCACCAACCCTTGGTTCCAACATCGTGGATTATCGGCGTGCGCCACCGCCGCCCAGCGGCGTTCACGTCTCCCTCGCCAGTGTAGGCAATTCCACATTGTTATCGTGGTCATTAGTTTATCCGCATGATAACTGCAAAATTCAATTCCCGCAAAGTATTCTTGGTTCTTTCGGTGAAGTCACTTAGAAGGGAAACAATAAAATAATAAAAATGAGAATTTTATTGTTTTATATTTTTATTATTTTATTGTTTCCCTTCTACGTGACTTTACCGAAAGAACCAAGAATATGAATCCCTGCAGTCACGAAAGCTTTCAATCAAAATTTTCCCGCAAAGTAATTTCGATTTGATCAACCGCGAAGAGAACGGTGAGCTTTCAAACCATGGCTGGCCTTCAACTCTCAAACCGATGTATTCTAATTGTCTTTAAGATGAACTGGAATGTTTTGTTGTGTCATGATAAAAAAAAAAATATGTTCTGCTGCAGTATTATTGTCCCAACAAGAGGCAAAATTGTTGAACAGGATAAAAAAAATACCTCGGCACGTTAAACAATTCCCAAAGCAATGCTCTACGTCTGTAAAGGTTCCAAGCTGAATGTGTGTATAAAGTGAGTGCCTGGAATTCCATTGCATGCTGTGATGCTCAGCAGAGCTTAGATTTTTTTTTTGCTCTCTGCTAGGTTGTAATATTTCATTTAAATTTTTCCACTTGACCCGTGGATGATGTGCTATGTGATACAAGCTCTGCATTGCCAGCCAAAACTGATTTGTGGTTTAGTTTGACATCGACCGAACACATTTAATTTGCAACCAAGGGATTAACGTCTGCACGCATGCCAAACACTTATACTGTAACATCTAATGTCTCCTTTGCGTGTAATTAGCTGTATACATTCCACAAATGAATGAATGAAAGTTTACGTGCAATAATTAACAAAAAGTAAGCTGGTGTGAATGAAGTCCCCTCACGCTCTCATCCATCTCTTCCTCCATCCCCGATTTTGTCTTACGATACAACTCAATTATCCACACATCATGTATAATGTGTGTAATAATATCGCCGTAATGCAAGTTTTTTGGGTTAGATGCGTAAATATAAATGTGTCATTAAACCCACCACCACCCGACACAGCCAATTAGTAAGCTTTGTTACATAAACAGAACATGCCAAATCGTTACTAGTGCAGCACACCTGTGTGTTGGAGAGCAAATCCACAATGTTTACAGAGTATGACGTTTTGCCAGTAATTACAACTAGCATCATCAGGTGGACAGCCACATTTGTGTAGGAATCCTCCTGTTTCGTTCCTTAAATAGAGGAATAATATCTCCCTATAAGGGTAACGATGGCACACATAGCACATTGTGCTATGAAGCGAGCCATGGCGAATGTCAGTGGCCAGTGATATATGAACCGGTTCTGGCCCCTCTTCACCAACACGCATGTTGAAGTTTGAGCCAACAACCCACCATGACCAACACAGCATGGGAAGCCCTTAATGTAGCAGTGGATTTGCAAAGGGCTATACATTATTGATGTTACATCCCCCTATTTAGATCTCAGAAGAAAGCATCTTTATAGTTGGTGATCATAACTGGTTTTAATGTGTTGTGGTTACAATGATGACGATGCACTTCACCAAGGAAGCCTTGCTGAGTCTCAAGACTCACTCAGGAGGGTTCTGCATTGCAATGCTGATCAAATTTCATTAGGCGGTGTTTGACAATTGGAAGTATACCAGAATTCCTGGAGGAAACCCATGCATGTCTTGAGCTAACACTTAAAGCTCTACTGAGATCCAATAATTGATAGCTGTACTGTCATCTTGCAGTATTGCATTCCTATCCTACAATACCTCGTATACTCAGGTAGTCTCCCAGGCTCAGCCCTGCTTATCCTCTATTTTCTGATGAGATTATGCCCATTCATGATCATTTAGTCACTGAAAATGAACCTGTTGCACTGTTGCTTATTAGTGAACCAGATCTCAATATTTACCAACAATCGAATGCCATGCAAATTTTTGGGCAATGCAATTGTCCCCATTTGAATGGAGAAGGCTGGTGAACATGGAAGTTGGATCGTAGTCAATTTCAAGAGGTGGAAGTCTTGGAAAGCTCTGCCTTAACCCAGCTTTAATGTCGTCCATTCTCACGTCCACACTGCCTGCAGGGAGTGGACACGGATGAACCCATCATGCAACTGGGTGGTTGTGTCTTTGCTGGTCGATACGAAGGTAATGAACAACATTGCTGGTTGTGTGGTTTCCTTGAGAGTTATCCATGCTGTGGACTCCCTGACTTAGTTCCAGTCCAGGCTGAACAACTGCCTTTGTTCCTCTGCTTGTGACTGGCTTCCACTCTATGAAAGGGTATGCCAACTGTTTGTGTGCAGTGTCTTCAGAGGCGGTTACATTTAAATGCTACATACGTCAAAATTGTGTGATATTTGTGGCATGTTCAAATGTGAGTCTGGCTTGAGCTTGTTTTTTTTGTTATAAAAACACGTTTGTAATTTTGTGTCCTGTACTTTTGCACTTGCTTACAGATGCACTTGGGACGTGCGTGTTATTCAAAGAAAACGCCACTTCAGGTTAGTGTTGCAAAACGGATTGACTGATTGGCATTTCTGTATTAACATTGCCTAAAGTAGCGTCGTTTGCTCTCAGGTCCTGGTATGGTCAGTCATAATATCGCTGTTGTACTCAAGCATTGGCTGGTGTTCTTGTCAGTTGATGGTCCTCGGCTATTCGTGACAATTCCCACATTTCGTTGACCGAGGTCAGTCTATTCCACCCAAGGACAACCACTTTGACTTCCAACAAACGAGGTTGACCCGCACCTCCGATTAGCACGGTTGGCTGCGTACAGTGATAAATAAATTCAACGTACATACATACATACGACCTTGACCAGGATTTTAACTCATAGACTCATGACTTAAAGTCCTACTGCTATATCAACTCAGCCATTTCCCAGCCTCTGTGATAGAGTAATACATCTCATGCTACTATAGGAATAAAGAACTTTATATTAGTAATACTTGAGGTATCGTGATTTTGTGTATAATACTTAAGGTAAAATCTCCCTTTACTTGAATGGGATTCTAACGGTACCATATAGTGGCAATTCTTGGAATCGCCACTATATTTTTAATGGGGATGTTGGCATTTCCATCAAAAGGAATGGGGATTCTTTGACAGTTTAGCAGTCATGCATATAGTTCCCATGCCTTTCAATGGAAACTCCTGAGTCTCTTTTAAATTTAATTGGAATCTTGGTGGAAATTTCAAGGATCACCTCTTAGATGGTACACTTTGGCAATGCCCCATATAAAATATCGACTATCCAGGAGTCTTTAACGATCCCACATTCCTCTTGGGAATTGTGTTCCATTTTAAAGTTGGATCACGATTAACAAGTATAGTAATCGCCCAGCACTAATATATACACATGTATGCATATGCAGGTAGAGCAGCAGATACAATGAACATTAAAAAAATAGGAAGGTGTGGAATGACACAAGGATCACTGATGAATTTAGCTTTTTATGATCACGATGCATGCATCAAATTGCGTATTTGAGAATGTGTTTTGATTCGTATGTTGGGTACACGTGACCCCTGTAGCCACCAGCGGCCACTGCTTCACCCCTCCGTTTAACAAAAATAAAATAGTTTTGGAAGCAAATTAGGACCCCTGACTCGTGATAATTCATGGAATTGTGGGAGTTGGAATTTTTAAACTCCTTAATAATTACCAGCATGGACAATTATTTGCTTCATGACAAGTTGTGGGAAAACCAATTTATTGGGCATTCCTGCCATCTCTCAAGTTTCATTCCACAGGCAATCATTCATTGGCAGTCACGAATGTGAATGTTTTGGAAATTCACAAAACCATTTCCCAGCAAATACCACAATTGTCATAATCTTTGACTTATTCTTGATGGTGGCCAAGTGGCTTGGCCAACTATTTTTATGTCAGATCTCTGAACCTTTTGCGTTTATATCTGTTGAATGTATAATCTTAATCAGGTTGTTTTAACACTCCATGCATATATTGTGGACAATGCATATTTCTCTAAATGCACTTTGCAACGACATGTTTTTTCCACGTTTATTGATTTCAGTTCAGTTACTACTTTTGTATGTGTTGAGATATATTGTGCCACACTTGTCTCAACAGATTCTCACCTGGTTACAAACAAAGTTTACGCATCCATCATTACCTAAATTAGACAATGGGTGAATTCATACTCACGTGACGTCTGGGCATTACGCAAAAACCTGGTACCAAAGGAGCGTCGAAGCTGTCGCGATACGCGTCGCTGAGCCGTGAGCAATGATGGCTGCTTCTCTTGTTTTACAGGTCCTGGGGACGCGTCGGAGGGCACGGCCTTGAGCTACCAATGTCACACGGCCAAGAAGCTGCTCATGCATCGAATGTTCCTATCCGAAAGGCAATCGTCTGAGCCCATCTCTGGTGAGAAAAAGGGGGCGGCAGTGAGTGAGGGAGGGCAGACACGACTATGCCTTGACTCACCGGTGCCGGGAATGTGACAGTCCAAGGTCATAGCACCGAATGATACAATTTGGATTTATCCGGTAACGTCACGTGTTCGCAAAGGAACAAGGTAGTTGTGTGTTGTATCGTCAGCCTCCTTTGGCTCCCCACTCTGACATGAAACAGACCTGGGACAGAAGGGAGGTGATGTATACCTGCATCAATTGTTGAAATAGGAGATCGGAATAGAATGCTGCTTTAGGAAAACTTTACCCAAAGAACCAAAGAGTTTAAGTTTGTGAGTTGAATGTTTTCAACCATTACATATTACCTCATGACATGCTATAGAAAACTGGACCACATTTTAATGATAGCGCAGTGGGGAGCGCACTGCATTATGAACCCGGTGGCCACAAATTTGATTCCCAGGCCACTGCTAATATCAGTGACGAGTCATATCTGAACTAATTCTGAGCTCTTCGGCTTCACCAACCTAAATTGATCAGCATGATGAAGTATGTCAAACAACCACCATGACCAACACAACATGGGGGGGAGGCCTTCATCCAGCAGTGGATTTACAGAACTCGATGTATTTTTTTAATCCACATATATCTGGATAACAGTCATCCAGGAGTGGTTTCCCAGAAGCACTACATTTATCCTATCCACGATTTTCCACGATTTTCCGAAGAAGAGAGCAGTCACCTAGAACTGGCAGCAAATTCATTCCGTTTGCTTTTATCCGCGGGTAACCACGTTGAATTATGGGGTCATTTTCACAGGTAGTGATAGATAACGGTGTCTGCCAATAGCACCCCCAATGTCAATGCAGATAAGGGGAGTTTTACTGTACTGGAGGCAGTCGCAAATACCATTACAGCAGTGTTCTTCATTGCAAGGCCCGTGGGCCATTGGCGGCCCCTGGTGGCCTTTAGTGCGGCCCCTGGTGGCCTTTAGTGCGGCCCCTGGTGGCCTTTAGTGCGGCCCCTGGTGGCCTTTAGTGCGGCCCCTGGTGGCGTTTAGTGCGGCCCCTGGTGGCCTTTAGTGCGGACCCTGGTGGCCTTTAGTGCGGCCCCTGGTGGCCTTTAGTGCGGCCCCTGGTGGCCTTTAGTGCGGCCCCTGGTGGCCTTTAGTGTGGCCCCTGACGTGCAGCCCCCGACAATACACAACACGTGACAACGCCCCTTTGCAGGCGGTGTGGCGGCTGTAGCACCGATGCCGTATCGGCGAAAGTGGCCCCCCTCGGAAAATGAGTGAAGAACACTGGATTACAGCATGAGTGGCCCTGACCCAATCGCACCACCCTCACCCACCCTCCCACCCGCAGGCATCGAGGCGATGCAGTTAGACTCGCTGGACGGATACCGCCACTCGTCGGGATACCACTGGCAGCCGCCCAAGGAGGAGATGAACCCAGACGTCGCAGGAGGTGACGACGAGGATGAGGACGACGATGACGACGACGGCAAAGATGACAATGGGGACGGCGACGATGACAACGATCACGATCGGCAGCCAGCGGAGGCTGCGGCGCCCAGCCCAGGAACAGCGAACGAGGGCAGCAAGGAAGCAGTACCCGAACCATCTCTCGGCACGAAGGCTGAAGCCTCAATTGTGCCGTGATGGCCGACCAATCTCCCTGACTTTTCCACTGGCTTGCGCAGAGTGGGCCGTGTAACATGCCCACTAACGTTAACTAAATTGTTTCCTTGCTCAAAATAGTAACAGCAGAGTGGGCCACATCCTGCTAAAGGTCTGAACCAGGGGAGAAAATTCCCCGTTTTCCATCGTGGGAGCCATTCCCTTCACAAGTTGACAACTGCTGACTTGCTGCGAAGTGGTTATGTATTTTATTTACCTCCAGAATGATGATGATTGGCTGAGTTGACATCCACCTTCTGGTAAGAGTTACACTCCAGAAACCACACCACCACATTCTGCAATGTAATTACTATGAGACATATTAAACCAAGCGTGCCACCTACATAAAAGCGATAGTTTTTTGGTCAACCGGTATTGAGCTGCATACGGCTAATGTAAAAGAAAGCTCCGTGCCATCTCTAATAGGCCGAGCCTATGTAATTGACAATGATGATGTATCCTGTGCAGGTTGTTTGATAATGAAGTCACAGCACACTGGCATCAGTGTTGCCACGTTGAATCTACGTAGTGCGAGGAGGAGGCTCCTTCTATGATGCTTGTGCAATATCCTGAATGTCCCTTGAGGTTTGTATTGGTCTTTATGTCATTGGTCTAGGGAAACTTCAATTCACTCGGACTGTGTACACAATGTAGATACATGTCATGTAGACGTGTTAATAAAATGTGTTTTGTTCACCATGACCCTCATGGAGTTGATCACGGACCTGTGGAGTGTTTGGGTACATTTTGTATGTTGACAATACCGCATAAAGTCAGCGCTCTTATAAGTCGGTAACATGAATCCCGTTTACAAGGCTGTGCGTTAAATAAAACCATTATTTGATTTGTATTCATTTACAGCATTTATTTTCCACACGTAACACAAAGTACACTCAGATACAAACTCAATTATCACGAACATCCAGTACTGTCCACAACACACCGACTTCAAACACTCGATATTAAGAAAAACACTCAACTGGCTACAGCATCCAGTATTATCCTCAATATTAAGAAAAGCGAAATGCGCAAGACGATTGTTGTGGGCCGTGTCCGGTTTTTTCCCCCTGTGCCATGTTAATAAAAAAGCAGAAATGAGTCAAAATGCTGAGCATATGTCGTTAAATACATTTACATTGTTCACTGTAGCCAAGAGGCAAATAAGCATTTGTTATTGGCAATTTAAAAGTCTGAGTTGCTCACAAAGCAAGGCATTGCTGAGGTCTGAGTTGGCATGTAATGACGCAACAATTAAAATATATTGTGCGTGTTAGATACATTTTTATTCGTATATGTTGTGATTAGCTTTACGTAAACTCTGCAGCCACTGGATTCTAGTATCGTGATCCAGAATAATTCAGCGAATCACAAGGGAGAAAATGATGAAAATATTAGGTTTGAGCGTATGTACGTTGAACTTCTTTCGCACCGTACATAGCCAACTGTGCTAATCTGTTACCCACTCAAAGCTATAGTCATGGATTTTCCTTCAAATGGCTAATTATGGCCAATTGATAGACGACTTAGCTTAGGTCTCTGTGCTAAGTTGTGTATTTGAGTTGAGATATCACTTGCATATACCCTGCTGCAGTATTGTAGTGTGTTTTCTGTCATTTCAAAAAGTATAAAAGGTGCCTCTTAGCATGTTAAACTATGAATTCCTCGTGAAAGAGCATGTTTCTGGTTTCGTGAATACCAGTCACACCAATGTTTACATTTTCAATGGTGCAATTTGATTGATGAGCACACTGTGATTAATTGATGGGCACACATATATTGTGTATTCATGCTCTTCAGCCCTAATTGGGCAGCTAGTGCAAGTTTTGACTCGTTCACATGAGTTGCCGTTATGTGCCCCATAGGCTCGGATTATAAAGGAGGTGTGGGTTAGGCACCGGGGTCTAATCTCCAAATTGTCTGCTGTAACAAGCGCTTGGGTGCCTCTCAGTTGGCAGCCTTGAGGCAATAGTGGGATATCCACATTCCTGTGAGAGAACAAATCACTGTGAACTTCCAGTACTTATTTTATTGACTCCAGACGGATGGTGGGATTTGAATGAACAATTTCTACAATTGTGAAAAAAAATTCAGTAATTTTGAAACGTTTACTCAACATCCGCCACCCCCCATTGCCCCTCAATGTTTAGCCGGTTGTGATACCGGTGTCATGAGATGAAAAATCTTTTCAGAACTCTCGCAGGGAAGTACATCTCCCCTTGTTAGAGAACGGCCCGCAGAAGAGGCTATTACAGAACCAATACTGAGAACACGTCAGGTGACCTCTGGCCCACACAGTTGGGGCAGCACTTTCCCACCCACCCTTAATATTGGTCACGTGACAATCATGCAACAGTAAAACTGTTACTTGGCAAAGTGCGGAACCATATTTATTGGAGGGGGGGTTTGCAGTCATTTGGTGACTGGGTTGAGACTTGTCAACTCGCTACATTCGAGAACCCATTTAATCACAGGCGGTTGCCTGGGTTTGAACCCAGGTTCTCGGTGGTGATAGCTCGGAGCTATGAGCTGCTCAGTCACCTCTCGGAGCAAAGCACTCGCACTGCAGCACCACCTGGCAGTGGTTCATGCACTGCACTATGAACCCAGCCATCTGGGTTCACTTACCAGCCATCGACAACATCAGCGGCATATGGAATCTATACCAGCCCTGGACCTTCCTTCGGTCAACTCAGCCCTAAAATAGTAGCTGGTGTACGTGTGTAGTGTGCAGTGAATGCTGCAATATTGAGGTAGTGCAAAATGGCACCATGTCTTCAAGGCCTTGGTAGTAGAGGAATACAAATAATGCTTTGGCTCATTTTGGTCCGCCGGGATGTTGTCACAAACCAACATAATAGCAGAAGACGTTCCCTATTCAGGGAAGTAATGGTGGCACCATGCTCATATCTGAAATCAGCACAAGCAATGGGACGGGGTAGTAAAGACGAGGACTAACGGTTAAGTCTTCATCCGGTCAGAGGTCATGGCAGACACAACGCTCACACGCAACTTGTAAGAAGTGGCAGTGTATCATGTCGACAAAAATCGGGGGTGGGGGGGGTCTTTTAACAATGTCTATGTTCAACGTACACGTTTAAACAATCACAACATATCTTGACACATGACGTGGAGGGGGGGGGGGGGAAACGCCCCACAGTCAATATGCGTGTTTGTGTAATCCATAAATAGTGGAAAGCTTTCTCGTAAATCTCCAACATTTGGAGATATGCACAGTCTGCAGCAGTGTTTTTCAGTCGACGAGATCCATGGGTCGGGGGAGTTGAGTTATTTAAATAACAAGCACCAATAATATTAATTATCGGAATATTTCTCGTTGCACAGCGCAAATTCTTCTTCAGTCGGTCTTGACAAGGCCCATTTTTTTCAGATATAACAGCGATGAGAATCGTATTCCACTGTTCAGCCAACCGATGGAATATCTGCATACACGATCTTTCATCACAAAAACAGGAAATGAAGTGAAATCCGCCAGTCCGGCTGGCCAATTTGAGTTCAACAGGAACAAGAGCTTTACTGTTTCTCCAAGAATTGTGTTCGAGAATACAGATTGTAATTTAATAAAGAAGCGTCACTGCTGTACCTTGCTGAGAAATATGTAATATCGTTATAAAGACAATTGTCTCATGAAAATGAGAGCCTTTGTTCCAAATGACAAAATCCGTACAGATTTTTCAGCATCCCAGAAATTGTTAATGTTTTGCATCATAATGTGTCCTAGGATTTAATTTTCAATATAAGTTATCTCTAAAATTAAGCAAAAAATATCCGCGTTTCATCTGGTTCATGCAGAGGCGAGCTGTCCCTGGTTGTTTCTGCTTCACCGCTGTCCTGTTAGGTGGCCTGGCTTTCTTCAAAATGACCTAAATGACCGAGGGCCTTCTTTTGCCCCCCCCCAACCCCCTTCGTAGAGCGACGATCCCTGCGTTTGATTTATAACGTTCAAAAGGATATTGACGGAGCCCAGTCTTCGACGATGTTTTATTTTTATAGCTGTTGGAATTCCCTGTCTAAGACTCAGTGGGGGCGAAACATCAACAAACAGCTACGTCTTTAAGTCTTGCCGAAATGCTCATGTCTGTACGTTTGGGGGGCGAGCAGGTGGTATGAACGCGGCTCGGGCAGTTAGGGCATGCCGGGGAAAATGCAGCGTAACAAATTTACGTTGTGCCGCTGGATAATCTATTTAAATAAGTAGACAAATAAGGTCGTGTGTAAGTGCTTGCTGAAATATTACGTTGCAGGATCATGAGAGATGGCATTTGCTTGGGGAGGCCTTCATCCAGCAGAGGATTATGGCTGGTGATTAAATGGTATGCAGCCAAAGCCCCTTTTAAAAGTAGTGAATAACCTAACATCCACTCTCGTCGATGGTTGTCTGTTACACACCGGATAAAACCATGTGCACAATATTCAGGTCACGAACCCTATAAGCTTCGACACTCGTTTAACAGCCGAGAGGAGCCGTCACATGGGGATGCTGTCTGAGAGACGGTCAATATCCCGGCACACTTGGAGAAACTCATCCTGAATTTCCGGATCGGCATCGGCCCATCGGAAGCCGCCCATGGATCTAGCCGACGCCTCGCTGTCGTATTGCGGAGCCGACCAGGCTGGTGAGTAGTGGCCTTGCTGCCGCTGCTGCTGCTGTTGTTGCTGCTGCTGCTGATGATGCTGCTGCTGTTGCTGCTGCTGCTGATGCTGCTGCTGCTGCCGCTGGCCGTAGCTACTGCCCTGCCGCTTCCTCTCGCTGCTCGAGTCCGGGCTACTGGATCCCAGCAGCATGAGCGACGAGTCGTCGCTGCTGCAAGCACCGGGCAGGTACGACGCCTCGGCCTGCCTGAGCCGCGAGCAGCTGGGCAGGGTCTCGCTCCACGACAGGTGCATGGGGAAGTCGGGGTGGTCGTCTCCCGCGCACGACTCTCCGTCGCGTTGCGCCTCCCGCCTCCGCGCCTCCGCCTTGCCGCCCGTCTTTCCCCGCCCGCCGTGCCCGTTGCCCACCACCCCCACGTGGGCAGGGTGCCTGCTGTTGGTCGACCGCTGTCTGCCACCCCCGGCGCCGCTCTGCTCATCACCGACGCCGCCGCTGCCTTCGGAAATCCGCACGCAGATGAAGGACTCGGACACCGATGCGTTGTCCTGGAGGCAGCCGCCGCCATTGTCTCTGCGCTCCATCGAGCGGCAGCTGCTGGAGACGCTGCCCTTGAGGTCGATCATGTCCAGCAGCTCCGGGTGGACCTGGAGGAGGCCGCCGTTGCCGACGCCGACATCGCCGTTGCGGGACGCCCCGTGCTGCTGGTGCCGCGGCGCCGAGGGAGGCAAGCGAACGCCGCTGTCCAAGAAGCGACGCGGGGCCACGTCGCGCCAGCGCACGTGCAGCAGGCGGAGGTAGAGCGCCAGTCCGCTCGCGGCAAGGCAGAGCGCGAGCTCGCCCAGCCGCAGGCAAATGAGGAGAGCGTCGCGCCGCGCCATCGCCAAACCCTCGTCGCCCTCCTCGTCGCCGGCCCAGAGAGCGAGCCCCTGTGAGCTGATGGCGGCGTAGAAGCAGAGGCAGAAGTACGGCGCGGCCACCGCGGCCACGAGCAGCACCACGGCGCCGGACGCCTGCAGGCCGGCGCCCGCGGGGCCGCCGTGGAGCGCCAGGCCGTACAGCTTGGTCTTGCACAGGCTGGCGGCCTGCAGCTCCTTGCGCCGGCAGCTCATGGCGCGCCGGAGGCCGGGGAAGGCCGCGACGTACGCGAGCGACAGCGCCAGGCCCCACGCGGCCGACAGCGCCCGGCTGACCATGAGCAGGGACGGCCCGAGGCCGCCGCCGATCTCCGCCGACGGTGCGGGCGGCTCGCCGCGTCTCTGGAAGCGCGGAGGCGGCGGCGACGGCGTCGCCGTGGCGGCGGTCGGCCCCGCCGCCGTCGCCGCCTCCGTGAGCCCCGCGGCGGCGGCGGCGGCCAGCGAGAGGGCGAAGTGAGCGAGCACCGCGGCGAGCAGCGCGAGGGGCCCGGGCGTCCCGCGCAGCAGGGGCACTCGCATGCGAGACGCCGCCAGCATCGCCAGGAAGAGCGCGGCGAGCGCCGAGCCGGGGCACGGCAGCGCCGCGTCGTGCAGCAGCAGCAGCGGCGGCGGCGGCGATCGCTCGCTCTGAAGCCAGAGCAGCGACGCGGCCCTGAGCGAGGACAGCAGCAGCGCCGCGCCGCTCGACACGGCGAAGTGGACGCGCGCCGCCGGGAAGTGTCGGGCGCCCGGGGAGAGGGCGAGCGCCGCCAGGGAGAGCAGCGCGAGCAGGGCGAAGCAGGCGCCCAGGCCGTACGCCAGGCTGGAGCCGACGCCGGCGGGGCCTCCGCACGCCCACGCGGAACCGGCCGCTCCCGGCACGGGGAAGAGCGGGGCCACCCGCGGGCGAAGATGCCACGGCGGCCGCCCCCTTGCGGCGGCGGTGGTGGTGGGGTCGGAGGTCGCGCTCGCGTTGCCCGTGGGAGAGGGCGTCCGTGTGTCCGTCGTGTGGGATGGGGGCGATGATGTCGGCTCACCTGCGCACGACGAATAAAAAAATGAAATGGTTTCAGTTCAATCTTAAGACGTCGTGACTGTGACTGCTAGAAATAGCACCGCACTTCACATCTTCCTTTGCTCTGGTAGAACGCGCAGTCGACACTCAACCTCAATGGTTGGCTTTTTTCTTCATCATTACAAAAATAAAGAAGAGTCCTGAAAATGATGTTTCAGTGCCCTGCAACAAAAATGTTTGTCATGCGGCAATCGGACCAAGATCATGAATTCTCAAAGTTGTAATGTGTCGGTGAAACAGCAGATATGTCTTTTGTGCGTGCAGTCTTTGTTTACTGACACAACCAACTCACTATACATGAGACCGCGGTTTAATGAACGGTGGCTAAAATCCGGATTGAATCTCAGGATATCGATGTTGGCAGCCCCTGACACTGTACTAACCTGCCACAGCAACCCCAGTAACCTCTAAGAAAAGAGGAGGCTCTGAGACTCATCAAGGCTTTCCCAGATAGAGGACATCATTTCACTGTCGCCTTGCCGAGCGACGGCGTTTCACGGATTGACGATCGAGGCCCTGTTCCGATTTGTTGACCTAAAGCAGCCACCCCAATAATGTCGCTCGCAGACGACCTCGAGCAAGGACACTGTGCCTACGCGCCATCGTCCGTCCAGCCTCAGCAGCAGCAGCAGCAGCTCAGGGGCCGTCCATAAATGACGTCACGCGATTTTGGACGATTTTTGACCCCCCCCCCCCCCGTGTCACACGGCGTCACAAAAAGTCAGACCCCCCCCCCTCCTCCAATATGACGTCACAAAGCTCTGCCCCCCCCCCTCCCAAAAACATATTTCCATTTTGAAAATAAAACATGCTTCAAATCGCTTAAAACTAGTCATTGTAGTGCGTATTAAATGTGGCGCTGTACTCTGATGTTGTAGGAGTGTTGTTATAACAATTAGTTGTTATAACAATTCTATATTTATTTAAAGTTGCGCATTTTTACGTGATGTCACATTTCTCAAACCCCCCCTCCCCTCGTCACACATCGTCACAAATGTCTGACCGCCCCGCCCCCTAGGTGCGTGACGTCATTTATGGACGGGCCCCCCATCGTAGCCGTCGGTTATTAAGCAGCATCAGCTGGGAGGCGGCGGTTACCAAGAACCCCGAAGAGGCGTCGGGGTCAAACGTCAGAACGGCGGTGGGCTGGGGCCACAACGACAGTCAGGACGAGTCGCCCGGCGTGTATATAGCGGTGTGGACACACGAAGAGGGAAATGCGTGTGACGAGGCCGGGTGGTGCTCACTGGGAGTGCCAGCTGGCGATGTGTACTACACACCGCACCGTGTACTCATTTGAGGCTGAGTCGACCTAGGGGAGGGCCCAGGACCGGTTCAGATAATCGTCACCGGTATTAGTGGCCGCGAGCGGGAATTGAACCCCGGGTCGACCATGTTCGTAGTGCAGCGCGCTAACCGCTGCACCACCGCTCCCACACGCCACCACCACCGCTCGTACACGCCACCACCACCACCACCGTTCCCACACGCCACCACCACCGCTCCCACTCGCCACCACTACCACCACCCCACAAGGCAGCCCTGCGCGTTCCGCGCAGTGTTTTTGGGGGGCGCGGAAATGAGGCACTAGACGACGTGCCCTGGTTTGTTGTTGTTGTTGTTGTGCCCTGGTTTGTTGTTGTTGTGCCCTGGTTTGTTGTTGTTATTGTGCCCTGGTTTGTTGTTGTTGTTGTGCCCTGGTTTGTTGTTGTTGTTGTGCCCTGGTTTGTTGTTGTTGTTGTGCCCTGGTTTGTTGTTGTTGTGCCCTGGTTTGTTGTTGTTGTTGTGCCCTGGTTTGTTGTTGTTGTTGTGCCCTGGTTTGTTGTTGTTGTTGTGCCCTGGTTTGTTGTTGTTGTTGTGCCCTGGTTTGTTGTTGTTGTGCCCTGGTTTGTTGTTGTTGTTGTGCCCTGGTTTGTTGTTGTTGTGCCCTGGTTTGTTGTTGTTGTTGTGCCCTGGTTTGTTGTTGTTGTTGTGCCCTGGTTTGTTGTTGTTGTTGTGCCCTGGTTTGTTGTTGTTGTTGTGCCCTGGTTTGTTGTTGTTGTTGTGCCCTGGTTTGTTGTTGTTGTTGTTGTTGTTGTGCCCTGGTTTGTTGTTGTTGTTGTGCCCTGGTTTGTTGTTGTTGTGCCCTGGTTTGTTGTTGTTGTTGTGCCCTGGTTTGTTGTTGTTGTTGTTGTGCCCTGGTTTGTTGTTGTTGTTGTGCTCTGGTTTGTTGTTGTTGTGCTCTGGTTTGTTGTTGTGCCCTGGTTTGTTGTTGTTGTTGTGCCCTGGTTTGTTGTTGTTGTTGTGCTCTGGTTTGTTGTTGTTGTGCCCTGGTTTGTTGTTGTTGTTGTGCCCTGGTTTGTTGTTGTTGTGCCCTGGTTTGTTGTTGTGCCCTGGTTGGTTGTTGTGCCCTGGTTTGTTGTTGTGCCCTGGTTTGTTGTTGTTGTTGTGCCCTGGTTTGTTGTTGTTGTTGTTTTGTTGTTGTTGTTGTTGTGCCCTGGTTTGTTGTTGTTGTGCCCTGGTTTGTTGTTGTTGTTGTGCCCTGGTTTGTTGTAGCTGTCGTATGCCCGGAGGTGGCGACCCTGGCGGTGTGCCTCATCAGCTGAGCGTTAAACAACACTCAGCCCGCCACCGCGTGGAGTTGCCGAACCCTGCGGGCCCCCTCCCCATCTCTCTCTCTCTGATCGTTCTCTCTGTTTACTTTAGGCCACAGGCCGATGAGCCTTAAAAGGATCGTGTCTCTCTTTGCCGGAGATTATGTCAAGGTGACAGAACGCAGTCGCGCCTTCAGCACTCAGAGATTTGTTTTACTTTCGCACAGGCTTAAGAATTAAACTTTAGCGTTTCGTGCAAAAGTGAGATTCCGTGGAAATGGAATCTCGTTTAGGAAAAGGTTTTTAATAAAACTGCATATAATTGTGCAAACGTCACAGTGTTCTCTCCTTTTACTTAAGACGTATTATTTTTTACATCGCACTAAAGTTCGGATTAACGTAACGTTGGGGCATAGGGGCACTGGGGAGGGGATGTATCTTTATTCATACTCTGGTTCTTTCGGTAAAGCCACGTAGTTAGAAATAATATAAAACAAATCACGACGTTTCGATCGCAACACAAGCGATCGAAACGTGATTTATTTTATTTCTAACTACATGATTTTACCGAAAGAACCAAAGAGTATGGATTCCTGCAGTCACGAAAGCTTCAAATCAAGATCTCTATTCATGTGAAGGAGAGAAATACCTGCCACAGGCAGAGGTAACGGAGGGAGGAGGCCTTGAGCCTGGACTTTAAAACGGTGGCAGGGATTCAAGAGCGCGGATGGTTTTTGGGAAGGGAGTTCCAGACGACTGCAGGAGCAGAGGAGTAAAAGCAATCTCCGGCTGAGCGGAGGTCAACTGGGCTGTCGCCTGATGAAGCTAGTTGTAATTGCTGGCGAAACGTCGTACTCAGATTGTAAATGTCGTCACTTGGCTCTCCAACACACCGGGTGTGCTGTACTAGTGACGAATTAGCCACGTTCTGTTTACGTGACAACCCTTACTAGTTGGCAGTGTCGGGTGGTGGCGGGTTTAACGACACATATATTTACGCGAGCTAACACAAAAAAAAAACCTCTCATGGAGGATATTGTTCACGAAAGCCTGCCACGTGTTAAACCAACTGGGGGGCTTTGACGAAAGGCCTTGCTGATGAAGAGAGTTCACAGGGGGCAGGGGGGGGGGAGAGTGAGAGGCAATGACGAGTCCACGGAATGATCGTGATGACGGCAAGTGTGATCCTCGACATGGACCAAGGATTGTATTGGGAGCCAGTGGAGGGATCGGGGTATTGGGCTGATGTGGTCTCATTTATGGGTGCGGGTGAGCTGTCTGCCAGCCGCATTTTGGATCATCTGGAGTTTGATGATGGGGAGATTCGTGGATGCCGTGAAGGAGGGAGTTGCGTTAGTCGAGCCGGGGATGCGATGAAGTCTTGGGTTAGAGTCTCGGTGGCAGCAGCTATGCTAAGGAAAATAGTGGATGCGAAAAGTGAACATTCCTTTTATTCTAACATAACACAGGCCGCAGAAAGTTAAGATACGACTGCAAACAGACCTGGACTTTTTTCTTCATTAAAAGCCTACAATGAGTCACATCTCCTGTGCATGTCTCTGTGGAATAAATGAAACACATTTTCAAGTCTTTTATTAATTCTTTTTTTTCCACAGACCGGGTCTTTTACTTCACTAAACCCACAAAAAATTATCCACAGTTGTGGTGTCTCCTTCCTTCAGGCTCGAGTGATCCCAACTGGGTGCCCAATTATTGTCCTCATCAACAAATAAAACCACCTCCAACAAGTTCCTGACGCACAGCACGGGTCCGTGGCTGCGTGTGTGCACGAACGGTATACAAAGACAAAGATCCCCCGTGTAGCCTGTAACAGCTTGTCGGAGCAAGTGCTGTTAGCGAGTAGCACCTATGAAGGCCGGCACGGCACACGAGGGGGTGGGTGGTCAACACCACGTCCGGCCGCCTTTGTCTCCCTAGTGGCGATGTTTGCACACTGCACCAGGTGCTAATTAAGGCTGAGTCTAGCTAGGGGACGCCCAGGACCCGTTCAGATAATCGTTGCTGGTGTTGGCCGTGAGCGGGAATCGAAGTCGAGTCGCCGGGTTTGTAGCACAGCGTAGCGCTAACCGCTGCACTACCGCACATTAGCGGAGTAATGATGCATCGGTTAATTGATTCATGTACATTTTAAAAAGCTTATCATTAGGCATAGTCGACCCACTGCAATCCACAGCGGGATGAAGGTCTCCGCCAGTCCCTAGCCACCTCTCGTGGTCTTGCCCTACAACAATCATCCGGCACCGGCACACGCTCTGTCTCTGCGGTGGGTGTTTCTCTCGGGGACCGTTCCCGACTTTAGCCTTGCTGCCACTCTTTGGGTCTCGATCACCCAGCCGCCGTCACTTTCTGGTGACCTGTTCTGCCCAGG